AGCCCACCCGCCGGTCCGCACTACACCATCATATGTACTTTTGTGGGTTAATCAGTGCACAATCTTGACCATGCTGCAGAAATATGATGGAAGAAACCTGGCCTAGTTGCCAAGAATATAGCCCTGCTCATGCGTTGCAAGGTCCCCAAAAAACTTTTTTTTAAGTTTGGGACCCCAGCCACCCTAACATGGCTTTATATGTGCTATTTATACCTCACTCCAAGCAGGATTATCCACTCTCTGCCAGCTGGACAATTCATACAGGGCTGAATATGACTGGACAATTGCTGGACACCTTGGAACGGTCCAGATGCTGCCCAGCAGTGGCGCTGGCCATTTTCGTAGGACCTGTCCATTGTCCAGCAGGCCTCACTAGGTACATATTTTTGTGACCGAATTAAGTGTAATTAGGGGGTGGAAAAGGTAACCTGAGGTGTGAACAACAGGAACTCGCTTAAATGTGTCATGTGTCGTGGTCGCTGTGTACTCGCCGGTGGCTTCTGCGTGGATCAGTCGAGTGGCTATGATGCATAAACGGCTAGAGATCGGTTCGATCTTGTATGCCATATCTTCGCTGAGCGTTATCGCTTGCACTATCCTACGGATCGCCGCTTGGTGGACGATGAGGACACTATCCGCGGCGTCGCGAAGCGATCGGGTCGGCTGTAGCTGGATCGAGTGCTAACCTCGAGGGCTACGCGTCTGACGATCTACGTGGGTCTGAGTTCTGGCGGTCGTTTCGGTGATACCTTGTGTGTTCGTCCTACGGACCTGCCTTAATCCTGCGATCTCGTTGCAAGTTCGCGATGCTGGCTCGGTGACGTCGGTCGACCATGGAAAGAACTCATCGGATAGAACGGTGGTGACGATTCTCCTTGACGTCTTGGCCGGCCTGATCGACATCCTTGCACAACAACAGCGCAATTCCTTCGACGTCCTATGGCCAAGACGATCGAGGAGAGCTCTTGATGTGGACTCAGCAAGCGTCAGCGGCCATCGGGTTCATCAAGCTAATATCTGCTTGCGAACACCGGAGTATTGTGGACTCGTCTAGGCAACATTCCGCTGGTTACACATTTGCCAATCCACCTAAGGTTCTCGCTGCCTCATTTAAGGCGTGGAAAATTGAGATTGTGCAAGACTGTGCCTGACCGATCGTCGGCTGATGATGAAGACCGGGCGCCTTAGCATCAGTCACCGCGGAAGGACCATGTGCTACTCTGCCCTTGACCTGGACGCTATCGAGTTCGCCTGTGAAAAAACCAGAGATGGCCGTCAAGCTTCGCTCGTCAGTCTTCTCGCCTCGTGGCTATACCGTCTTGTTCTGCAATAGGCATCCTCGACCCTCAAGGATCTGGTATTGTCGACCGTTTCCCACTCAGCATGATTCCGCCTCCGACCTGGCCCCATCTACCTTCCCTCGGCTACCGCGGCAGTGCGCTCGGTCCGGATTTCTTATCCTCATCACCACGCGCAACGGTAGGCTCATGCACGGCAGCGTGGTAGATGGTGGACCAATCTGGCCAGGCGCAACTTCGCGAAGCAGAAACAACCTTCAAAGTCCCCTCGTGCGAAGAACCTTCGTAGAAAGAACTCCGATCTTGCTGGTGACTCACGGATGCTCTCGCTGTTGATGCTCTAGACCTTGTGCTCTTTCAGGCAACGAAGTGACCTCGCTGTGTTCATCTTTGTACTACGGGGCTGCGCCTGGGTATCGTGACTGGCCGTCGTGGACCCTGATATGCTCTCAATATGCAAGACTCACTGCTCTGGCTACATCCGTTAAGCTTACACCGTCATCGGTGACATCAAGGCACTAGTCGCCGCCAGCGTCTCCCGTGGGTCGCTAAAACCACCATCACCGAGGGGCTGGGGTGCTCTTCATCGGGAACCATCTGCTCACCGCCTCGTGTACACCGTGTTCCCAGGGCGCTCTATGCTGCGCCACACGACTCTTCAGCGCCTTGTCGGGTACGGCCTTGCTCCATTGGCACACCGGCGAGGAACTCGCGCGGCCTCTCTCAATCGTGCACCGTGTGACGCGCGGCCGTTTCCTGAGCATGGTGGCTTGCTTCTCATCGTATCTCAGTGGATGTCGGCCCAATCTGGGAGCTGGCGATGGCCCGTAGCCATATCCTATTCCTCGGTGAGTGTTGGCGAGTCTTCCTGCTCGTGCATTGTGCACTGATTGTGTCCTAGCGCAGTTCCAGTGTGCCCTACACCAACCTGCATAGTCCGATCTCTTCGAGAGATACGGAGAGCCCTTCATCGGGAGATCCAAAACAATTTTTTACCTCGCTCGGCCTTCGTGGCCGTTTTGGACCTTGCATCCCACCGATCCGTTCTTTGCTGCTCCTCCGAGTAGGAAGCATCGAATTAGTCTTCGTGGGTCGTGAGATGACCAAGAGCGACACGACACGCATAAACTATCTTTGTCAAAACGTATTGCAGTCATCAAGCTGAGAAATCGCGGCCTTCTTCCAGGAATTTCCGCGCCTTCTGGAAATCTTCGTGACACCGAGTAACTTGTAGCAAGGCGTCCTCACACGTGGTTATCTCGATCTTTCGCCTATAGCCAGCTTCTGCCATTCCTATTCTGCCCCCCGCCACGCTATCCATCCTCTAGACCGATGAATCACGAATCACAACGTGGGTCGCGTGGGGGGAAATTATTCCCCAAAGAAACCCCGATGACCAACAGCTGCCGCGGCGCGTTGTATCGAGCAATGCTTCGTTCGCAGAGCTCGATTTTCTTGGTTTAGCTTGGTTCGCGCTTCGTATGGAATCAGCAGGACAGAAAGCGCAGTGGCCTACAGTGCCTCACCGGTCTTCTAGACACCACCGGTCGTTTAGACACGGGCAGTTTTCTCTTCAACCCCGCACTCCCTCACCTTGATTTTTTTTATATAAGTAGCTCTGACACGTAGCTACTAGAACATACAGTTTGACCGTACAAATGTTGCACCGTGCAGTAATTAAAAATCGAACAGTGGGTGTGATGATGCTGTTTGAATTTTGTTTTGTCTCTGGTGCATTCTCTACCTCTCTGATTTCCTTGAAACAACTTCCAAGCGATTCTCAAGCATCGATAGTTCCCTCAGACAAAGTTTGACACATGGATATGCTCCGGTTGATGTTATAGAGACGTTTCATTTCCACTGGCGCAGTGAGAGTAACGTAGAGTGGCTGTGCATTAGATTCCCACGCCACCTGGGCCCATCGCGATAAGCGCATCCTCGCCGTCGACACACCTTGTATCCGCACACAAGCTATGGCCAGCAAAGCCACTCAGGCAACGAGAGTCAAGAGGACGGTCAGGGATGAGAAGAATATGCTCTACGAGCAAGCGGTCAATGTGTACCAGATGGAGCTAGACAAACATAACAGCGATACCACCAAGAAAGGTCTTCGCGGCGTATGCGATGAGGTCTCGGATGAGTATTTCAACGAGACTGGGAGGAGGATCAAGCTTAACCATCAGACCCTTTCCAATCGTTATAATGGAGTCATGTCATTAGATGCATTCAATGCTCTCAAATGCTGGCTGACAGCCCAGGAGAACGAGATCATTGTCACCTATACTCTGGAATGTGCTTCCCGAGGGTTCCCTCTTAGCCGTCGCCGGCTCCAAGATCATGCTGAAAAGATACTCCGTGCACGCCTTGGTGGTAGCTTTCCTCAAGATGGTCTCGGCATCAACTGGTCCGATCGTTTTATTGAGCGAAACAACAAACACTTGAAAAAGTGTTGGTCACGTCCTCTGGATGGCAAACGGGGCCGTGCTGTCAATCCTGCCACGCATCAGGCATGGTTCACACTCTTGAATCAGGTGCTTGCGGAGCAGAATATTGACGGGGAATGCATCTATGCCGTAGATGAGACGGGATTCCAAGCGGGTGAGGGTAGAACAGAACGGGTTATTGGTGCTGCTGGCACCTACCATCAGCATCAGCAGCGCAGCGGTGGACGGGAGAATATGACAGTGATTGTCACAATCTGTGCCGATGGCACCGCAGGTCCACCCGCCGTCATCTTCAAAGGCAAAGCATATCAGTCTACATGGGGTCAGGACAACCCGCTAGAGGCACGGTAAGCACTGATCATGATGAAGTCAACATGATTACTTACACAAAAAGTAGTATTGGGTATGCTAAGAAAGGGTGGACGACAGGCGAGATTGGTCGTCTGTGGATCGAAGGTTTTGACAACGATACACGGGACAAAGCAAATGGACGCACTCGTCTTCTCCTCGTTGATGGGCACAACTCGCACTACACCCGTGACTTCCTTGAATATGCCCGTGAAGCCGGAATTGTCATCCTCTGCTATCCATCCCATACCACCCACGTATACCAGGGACTCGACGTCGTGATTTTCAGCCCCCTGAAACGTTATTGGTCACAGGAGCGAGATGCCTACGAACGTGAACATGGTGCCATCATATCCAAGGAGAATTTCCTTGCTGTCTACAGTGCTGCGCATGCGCGCGCCATGACTCCAAGCAACATCCAGATGGCATTTCAGAAGACCGGAGTATGGCCTTACAATCCAGATATAATATCAAAGAAGGCCATGGCACCGGCCAAAGAAACATCACGGCGGGCTCACATACCTGTGCCGCCGCCGACCCCGGTCCGCATCTTGGCTGATGCTCTTGACCGGCTCGCTTCTGCCCCGCAGACACCGAGAGCCTCATCTAGCCCTAGCCGGGCGGCAGGACCTACGACCCCCAAACCGTCGAGACCCCGGGCCCGGCCAAACCGCAATCAGGTAGCGGAACCCATGGTCGCCAATCCGTCGAGAGCTCAGGCCCGGTCAAACCGCAATCAGGCAGCGGAACCCGCAACCCCCAAACAGTCAAGAGCCCTATCAAACCGAAACCAGGCAGCGGGACCTATGGCCCCTGACCCGCGGCAGGGTTTGCATGATGTGGATGGCGAACCACGTCAGGGCAATCAACCTGTGTTTATGGTCCCAACGAAATTAGCTCCCGTCTTTCATGAACTGTCGAAGACATCAGCGGCATACCTTCTATCCAATTCCCCGTTGACATCCGATCGGCCACATCCTACGATTGATCCTGTTACTATTTCACCAGTCAAGCCGAAGCATGCAGACCTGCTCACCAAAAGTCCGGAAACGGAGCGTGAAGCACTCTTGCAACATGCACTCCACAAGTCAGAAGTCAATGCGGCATATCTAAAAGGGCAATTGTTGGGTCAACAAGCCGGCATGGTGCTCCAAAGCCTCTACTGTGAACGAGTTCGTCGACAGCTTGCGACACAGGAGAAAAAGGAAGACAAAGCTGGCAAGAAGAAGAGGATAATGGGGGACGGAATGCCAAAGCTACTCACCAGTGATGAGTTTGTTCAACTTGTGATCGATCACGAAGAAGCCGAGTTAGAGACGGAGCGGACCAAAGCTAGGCGAAGAAAATTAGCGGAGAAGAGGGCCAAGCTCATGGAGAAGTGGAAAGAAGATGAAAAGGCACGTCTGGAGAGAAACAAGGCACAAAGACAGAGATTCAAAGATGAGATGGAGGCCTATGAGGTGGAGAAGGCCAATGCGAAGGCAGAAAAGCGGAAACTACACCTTTGCAAGCCCAAACTTGGCAAAGTCGAAGCCCAGGCACCAAAGCCAAAGATATCCGAGACCACAGATGATGATTCCGAGCAAGAGTCGGATGAAACCGAGCTTGAAGAGAGTGCAGATGAGACTGATTAGGCCAGAGCTGGTGATTCTTCGGCGGTATCATCTAGTTTTGCTGGATTAATGGTGTCCTATGCGTGTCTGCGTGTATTTGTATGTCTTTCCGGTGATTTTGTGCAATTGAGACAGGCTCTAGAGGCGTGTTGGGCAGCAGTTGGTGCTGTCGTCGGTCGAGAGGAGTCGGTGCAAAACCGGCGTCGCCGCGCGTTCACTGTGGCTGTGTGACCGTGGGACCGTGTCTAAAGGAGTAATAACGGGCCTCAACGACCTACCACCCATATTTTGCTCGAAGCAATTTTTCGACGCCATAGATCGGGCTACAAATATTCTATAGCATATATCAGACATGTATCTACAGGCTGGTGCAGTTATTACAAGGAAAGACGGAGTCAGAGGCTTTCAGGAGGCTGAGACATTTTTGGCGTCTAAAGGTCCGGTGAGGCACTGTACTCCTGCAACGTTACCGTGCGATGATGCCGGCGCGGCACAGCCGCGTCGGTGCCGAGCCGACGGGAATCTCGATGCAAAAAATCAAATGATTTCCACTCCACCCACATCCGAGTTTATCGTCCCGGGAACTATCGGAGGGATCTTGGGTTTTCATTATGACGGAGCCTCCGGTTTTCGTCCGGCGATTTTGAGTAAACCACCCATGCGTGACACAACCCAATCGCGAAGACCGGGAACCGGGACATACTACTTACACACAACCTTGCCGCATTCTCGCGTGAGCTCAACTCGACCTAACCCAGATCCTTGCCGAGTTCCCGTACGCGTGACGTCGCTCGCTGAACGAACACGGTCGGAACCGTCCTGTCACGCCAACCCCAACGCAGATCCTTGCGAAATTTTGTTCGTTGGCATTCGATCAAAGACGCAGATCGAGGGTTCATAATTGTCGTGTCATATCATGCTCCATCCTTTTTGACATTCGATGCGCCTTTGCAGGTCTTGGCAGGAAGCCCCGGACACGGAGCTCGAGTGGCGCTAGCATCTTTTACCTCATGAGTAAGTAAAGCTTTGCCTCAAGACCCTCTCGGCGGCGTCACGCCGTACACCCAAGCAAGCAAAAACTGGGCAAGGTTCTCAACGCACGGGAAGGGTTGCCCAAACTTTACCAAACACGCGAGGTTCACCATAAACAAACAAAAAAGCCACAATCGGCCGGGGGGGAGGCTTTTCCATTCCATTACCTCGAGAACGATGAACAAGAAACAAGAAACGTAACACACGAAGAGACACCCAACAAAACGTCGCCGTATAAGAGAGCCTCTCTCAACCTTTTCAGCTGGTCTCTACCGACCCGTCGCCGTCCCGGCCACATCGAACCCCCTCTCCTCGCTCGGCCGCGCCGCCTCCGCCCCTCCCGAGCTCGCCCCCGCCAAACGCTGGGAGCCCGACCGGCTCGGGGGGTGATTGGCGTGGTCGGGCGAGTGCGGCGGGAGGACGTCGAACCCGCTTTGGCCGAGGTCGGCGGGGAGGGTCGCGGTCTCGTCGAGGAGCGCTTCCGTCTCTTCCGCCGCCTCTTCGGGCGCGTCCGGGGGCGGGCGGAGAGATTTGATCGGGAAGGCGACGAGGTTGTTGAACAGGAACGTGCCGTACCTAACACATCAAAAACCCAAGAACACGAGAGCATAAATCAGTAAACCACCAAGAGAGAGAGAGAGAGAGAGAGAGAGAGAGAGAGAGAGAGAGAAACAGCCAAGGAGGGAGGGAGGGAAGAAAGAATCGAATGGGAAGAAACGAAAACAAATAATGAAAAGAAAAGAAACACGTACACGAGCAGCGCGAACCCGGACACCTGCAGCAAGCTGATCGGGAACAGCAGCTTCTCCCATCCCAAGCCGAGCGACACGATCCAGATGGTGAGCGTCCGGCAGGTATCGGTCAAGCTCCGCGCGGTCGCGGACACGTGCCGCGTGACGCTCAGTCCGAAAAAGTTGAAGAGGGAGATGCTGAGCGCGATGGCGAGGCCGGAGTAGAGCACGCTGGGGGTGTCGACGAGCTGGTGCCAGCCGCGCGGGAGGTCGAACCACATCTCGTAAGGGGTCGAGGGGGTGGAGGGAGAAGGAGAGGGGGAGGAGGGGGAAGACGGGCCCCAGAGCGCGAGGAAGGGCATGAGGAGGAGGATGGAGAGCGCGCCGAAGAGGCCTTCGTACCCGACGGCGACGAGGGGCGCGACCGCGTAGCGCGAGAGGATGACTTCCTCGACGACGAACTGGGTCGCGGTGCTTTACCATCGACAGAACGGGTCAGGATTTTTGTTTTTTTTTGAATTATACGCGGGAGGGTAAAAGAGGGAAAGTACGCACAAGATCTGAGCGAAGAGGATGAAGAAGACGCCGATGAGGACCTTGGTCGCCTCCGGGCGCTCGACCTTTTCGGGCGGCGGGAGATCTCCTCCGGTCGGTGCCTCGGCCCCGATCAGCGCCCTGGCGACGGCGTCTAGCATCGTCCCTCCGGCGTTGTTATCGAGAGACTCGGGCTCGTCGCGAAGCGCGTCCTTGACCATCGAGCCCGAGAGGCCGACGAGGGCGACGCCGGTCATGACGGTAAGGAGGGCGAGCCATTGGTAGGCGCGCAGCCGGCGGCGGAGGAAGATGACGGAGAAGGTGCCGACGAAGAGGACGAGCGCGCCGCGGGTCATTTGGTAGATCGAGACCGGGGTGTAGAGCAGGCCGACGTTCATCAGCTGTTTGGGGATCCGGGCATCGCGTGGTCGGGCCGCGTCGCAATGCAGAACGATAGATCGGAGGTGGCAAGGATGCGGGAGCAGCGCCACACAGAGGAGACAGAGCGGGATCGCCCGCACGTGGAGAGCGGTTCCAATAACGAAGGAAGGGGAAGGGGAGGGGGGAAGGAAAGAAGACGCCGCCGTCACGGAGGCAGATCGCGACCGACGTCCGTCCGTCGCAGCGATCCCGGACGTCGATGAAATGCATTCGGGTGGCGACAAAACGGTGTATACGTTACAGAGAGAGAAGAGAAGGAAAAAAGGCAGGATCGTCAGAGAATGGAAACCGAAAGGACGAAAGGACGGACCGTGGTGCCGGTGAGATCGCAGGCGGCGGGGAGCCAGAGGAGGAGCACGGCCCAGCCGCGCAGGGCCCGGCCTGCGGGCTGCGGTTTCGCTGAGGCATCGTCTTCGTCGTCTACGGATCGCGCGATGGGGTCTTCGCTCGGGAGCTGGATGCGACGTTGACGGTAGCGCGCGGCAGCCCAGGCGTAGAGCACCGGCAGGAAGCCTGAATGAACCAAAGGGAGGCAAGAATAGCGAGCGATATGTGACGGGTGGTGAGTGTGACGTGCGTGATGGCTGAAAGCGGCAAGATGGGCTCACAGAGCATTTCTCCGGCTGGGTCGGAGCGCGCGAGAAGAGAAGGCCGGAGGAACGTGACGATCGTGACGGGCCAGCGGGGTGGGATTTGACCGGATCGGGAAGCGGTGGGGCGAAGAACGCCGGAAGGGAGGGTGACGATTACGACGGTGTTGGTGTCAGTGTCATATCGACGCGAGACGGTTGGGCAAAGGTGACGGACGCACCGAACATCTGCAGCGTCTGCCACACGGGCTGCTCGTACAGGATGTGCTTGCGCGGGTCGTCGTCGTTGCAGTTCTCGACGCATTGCATGTCCTTGGTGTTGGGTTCCGAGAGGACGGCGCGGGGGAAGGGGGGGAAGGGCAGAGGTGAGACAAGGGTGCACATCAGCAGGGTGTAGGTAACGTATGAGGGCGGGTAGAATACGTGCCTGCCACTTGCTCCAGAGCGAGTTGCTTGAGCCCTGCGAGACGCGTCAGAGCGCCCCGACACAGGAGCGGGGAGGCCACGCACCGTGATGAGCATGCCCGAGATGAGAATCGGCACGTAGAACGAGCGCGGCATGGCGGGCGACGACGAAGGGGGGACGGCGGGAGGGGAAGGGGATCGTCAGTGGGTGGCCGACGCCGTGAGCGACGGAGGTGTTGGGCGCGGGGCCATGTGGCACGCCGGGGCGTTGGCTTCTCTTCTCGGACTGATGTCCTTCGCCCCCGTCCAGTACAAAATGGTCTCCGCCCGGGCGCGACCCAGCTTCTCGATTCCTCCTCCGCCGCCCCACCGCTACCCTTGCTCGTCGCCGTTGGACCGCCGCCGCCGTCGCGCGCGATAGATGGTCCAGCTGCTGCTCGCGTCGCCGCGGGGCAACTCGGCCCGCGCGTTCCCCTACCAGGGCCTCCTCGGCCTCACCCCCGTCCGCGTCGAAGGCCGTGAGTCGCATCCCCAGCGCCATCGTACCCGAAAATGGCATCTCTGATACTTTATTCCGAATCGCAGTGGTCCGCACCGTCGTGGGCGACGACCGCAAGCCCGTGCCCGCCAAGTCGCTCGTCGTCGCCGTGCGCTGCGTCGAGCAGCGCATCGGCAAGCGCGGCGTGCTCCAGACGAACGTCCTCGCCGAACACGCGACCACACTTTGGGCCGCCCCCGCCGGTGTCCCGCTCGCCGACCTCGGCGACGGCGACTACCCCTTTCGCATCGTCCTCCCCGCGTCCACGCGCGCGCCGAGCGCGATGAACTTTCACGACTACCGCGTCGGGTGGAAGATCGAAGCCAGTGCGTCATCCTCCCATCGTTCGTACCTACACCGCATATATGCTGACGAACATGCGCTTCGTTCGAAACAGCGCTCACGCACGCCCCACTCACGGGGCTCGGCTCGCGCCAGATCAAGTCGTTCGACCTCCACCTCGTCCGCCACGACGTGCCCTCGCCTCTGCCGCGCCTTCCCTCCGCCTCGGCGCGCTCGCCCTCCTCTCTCTCCGTCGCCTCCTCCGACTCGCAGCAACACGCCCCTCGACAGCCCGTCCCGCCCCTGCTCGACACCGCGCGCTCGCCCAAGACGCGCGCCGCGCTGCTCCGCTACCGCCTCGCCGTGCCCGCCGCCGCGATCGGCCCGAACGACCTGCTCTCCGTCCCGCTCTTCGTCCAATGCGCCGACCCCGCCGCCCGCATCCGGAGCGTGTCCGTCACCGTCGAGCGCCGTATCGAGACGAAGGGCGCCTCCTCGTCCTCTTCCGGCTCGGGCTCGGGCTCGGCGTCCACCCCGTCGCCGTTCGACGACCCGGACCCGGACCACCTCCGCTCGACCGCCACCGTCACCGGCTCGTCCTCCTCCACGCTCACCCTCTCCCCGCACACCTACCGCCACCACGGCGGCGGACGATATAGCATGGACGACGCCGACGCCGACGAAGACGACGACGACGCCGCGTACACGCACGTCTCCTCGCACGATCCGCTCTTGCCCGCCTCGCCGCCCTCGCCCGCGCAGCCGACGAGCAGCGCGACCACGACCTGCATCTCCTCCGACTTTTCCGGCGACAAGTTCACCCGCATCCCCGCCTCGTCGTCGTCGTCTTCTTCTGCTTATTACTACCCGCCCCACCCGCCGACCTCGCCGTACTCGCCCACGTCGCCCTACTCGCCCTCCTCGTCGTACTCTTCTTCCTCGTCTTCCTCCTCGCCCTACAACAACAATAACAACAACAACGGCGGCAGCGGGAACGCACCCTCCGACGTCTGGACCAAAACGCTCACCCTGCACTGGCCCGCGGCCAAATCGAACGCGCGCTGGTCGCTGGGCGAAACGCTCCGGACCGACCTCTGCTCCGTCCGGTTCTTCCTCCGCGTCCGGCTCACGCTCGCCCTCCCGCCGGCGTCCTCGTCCTCCTTCGCCTCCGCCTCTTCCTCCGCGTCCTTCTCCTCCTCGTCGAGCGGTGCCGGTGGCGGTGCCGGTGGTGGAGGAGGAATAGGAGGGAGCGCTGGCGCTGGTGGTGGTGGAGGGGAGTTGGAGACGGTCGAGCTGGACGTGGACGAGGCGGAGAGGGAGGTGTTGGTGGTGAGCACGAACGAGGCGGAGCGGCAGGTCGCGCTGGCGAGGTACGACGAGTGGGCGGCGAAGGTGAGGGAGAGGGCGAAGAGCAAGAGCCGGAGTCCGAGGCGGAAGAGGAGGGGGCGCGAGCGGTCGGAGCAGGCGGAGGTGGGGAAGGGAAAGGAGAGGGAGAGGGAGAGGGAGCCGAGCAGCTCGTCGAGCCACCGCACGGTGCCGTCGTCCCCGGTGCCGGACGGGGAGCACGAGAGGGGGGGAGGGGGAGGAGGAGGAGGAGAAGCGGCGCGCGTTGTGCAACCGCCGTCGCCGTCGCCGTCGTCGTTCTTTGCGCGGACGATCCGGCCGATGACGAGCCCGAAAAGCCTCAAAGAGGCCGCGTCGTCCTCGTCCTCGTCTGCCGGTGGCGGCGGCGGCGGCGGTCCGTTTAGTAGCGCGCGGTCGCCGCACCACAACGTGGACCCGTCCCCGCTCGCGTTCCCGCACCCCCATTCGCCGGCGCCGTCCGCGTCCGCGTCCGGGACGACGAAACCGAAGACGGCGAAGACGCCCCGGCTGAAGCGGCCGCATACGAGCGCGGGAGAGGCCGCGCGCGCTAAGGATAAGGACGGCAACCACGGCGGCAACGGCGGCGGCGGCAGGGACAGGGACAGGTTGAGCACCCTGGACGCGCGGGCGTTTGGCGCGCCGGGCGGGATGTCGCATGGGTTTTATTACGTGCCCGGGGCGGGCGACGTGCATTCGTCGTCCGGCGGGATCAGGTCGGGAGGGGCGGAGAGAAGTGGCAGCGGCGGTAGTAGCACGCCGCGCACGGTGGACGGACGGGACGTGAGGGCTTGGGAGGAGGAGTTGGCGAAGATTGAGAACAAGAGCCGGAGGAGCAGTCGGAACATGTTGGGGTTTGTGGGGAGGGCTGCGGAGCGGGTGTTGGGCGTGAGGTGAGGATTGGTGAGGTGAGGATCGGCGAGGCGACGAGAGCGATCTGTCTGTTTGTTCGTTGTTCGTGTGTTTTCTTTTCGCTTGTCGAATGGTGTGGTGGATTCGTATTTTTTGTTTTTGACTCCTTCCCTCCCTCCCCCCCTCTCTCTATCTCCCTCTCTGGTGATGGAGCAGATTCGTACTCATGCGTCGGTTCGTCGTTTGTTTTGTCATTCGCGCCCGCGTTGTTGTTTGGTCGGTCGGTCAATAGCTGTTTTCGAAGAAGCGATTCATTGTGTATATCATCATAATTATTATGCATGTGGTAACATCCTCTCCAATGTTGTTCACGACTGAACCGAGCGGGCTCCTGATCATCGCGAGTCTCGTCCACTTCCGTTGCCTCTGATTTGTGGTCGTAAATATGATTGCCTTCGTGACCCGTTCGACACACTATTCAGACACGCTCGAGCTCATGGTACTATACCAGGCCGTGGAAGCAGGGGCCCGAGGCTAGTTATCCAAGCATCAAGATGACATGATGACTCCCATCTATCGATCAACGGCCTCTCGCCTCCCTCCCTTTGCGGTCTATATTCGGGAACGCAGTTCATGAAAAGAAGTGCGCGGTGGAGAGAGTTAGGAACGGTAACGCTACAAGTATAGACGCACCAGGCATTGAGTTCCAACGTTCGACGACATACAAGTCACCGGTCGGCTCCGTGTTGTCGAGACGGGGTCGGCACCGGTCTGGGCTTCTGGATGTGTTTCGAGCGCGGTGCTGGATAGTTGGTTCGAGCGGCGCGTGCGTGACGTCGTGCATTGGATATAGGCTTGCGAACGTGGGGTCGCGCTAGGTCCGCCGATGGGTGGAGGCGGTCCGTCACGACGGTATCTCAGCTCGGGGATCCGAAACTGAATTCGGGCAGAGGAGTAAAGGGACGCTCGCCGGTGAAGTCTGTTTCGCGTTAGAGAAGGTATAAGTTGTGCCGTAAGATGTGATCAGTGATGAAAGATGCTCTTGCGGCGTCTTCGTCGCTGATCCATAGCACAGTGTCCACACGCGAACGACAGACACCGCAAAGATACACCACAGACAGCGACTTGCGATGAGGCGTTATGTGATGAGAAGATAAGTATCGCAAAGCACGGTGCTCAAACGTGATCTGCATGCGAGATGACACACCATCACCCCTACGTCAGAACATAGCGCCCCGCTGATTGATATCGCACAAGCACTCAGGGAGTGATATCTGCACAAGGAGCATGGACGAACGGGGCTCGATGTTCTCGCTCCGCCGGGGTGCTGGCGCGCGCGGAGTTGCAATCGAGCACCCAGCGCGTTCCCTGCGGAGTTTCATCCGTGCCCTTCTTTGCCCAAGGGCATGCTCGAGTTAACATACCGCAAACGTTCCTTCTGGGCCTCCGAGTCTCACCCTGCACGCCGGGTAGACCGAGAGAAGCCCTCGCCCGTGCAGCGTTCGACCAAGGATGCGGTCACGCGTGGGCTTGGCCGGTAACTTCTCCCGAGCTTCTCGGGGAGAGTTGGGTGCAATCGGACGCCCTCGCGCGTGAATGGAGGGTACAGGGAGAGCTTGCTAGATGGCCTGTGCGCTAAGCTCCGGAAGGAGACAGGCGTTCGCACTGCGCCGAGAAATCACCGTTACCGACGTCGCGCGTGACGCGCTCGAATCCTAAAGCCCAGGTTCTGGATGGCTCTTCACCGCATTTCGAGAAAAGGTGGGGTTCGAGTTCCGGATTGAAAATGGATAGAAGGACGACCACGCCTCGCGGACGAGCGTGACGGATTGAAGCTTCGCTCCGCCGCCAGCGGCTATCCGCTGACGAGGTTTGAGTTAGGTAAACTCGAAGGTTGTATTAGGAAGCGTCAGGATACAGACCTTCAGTCGAAATTGAGCGGTAGCTGGCTTGCTAACTCACGGCATGCGCTGATAGATAAAGAGAGCCGTTCTATTTCCGCCGTACAGGAGCGGCAAGAAAGCCAGTTTGCCTCTAGAACTTGAAGCGAGGGAACGGTGCAAAAGGATCGGATTGAGAACAAGGCATCCGAGTGCGGACGTCGCACCGCGTCATGTTAGGGTCGCTTTTGCGTAATAGACGCGAATAGCGAGGCGTGCCCACCGACCCTAGAAAGTCTGTGGCGTTAGCGTGTCTCCGGTGAAAGACCCGCCGGAGCCCTGAGAAGGTTCGTAAGTTGGTCATGTTAAGATGTGCATGAGTGAAAAGAGAAGCTTGGTGTGCAGTCGGAGTTGTACATTGACTCTCGAGTGCGCAGCATTCCATGCGTGACGCGTTGGATCGTCTGAACCCTGTCATAAGCAGTGAGAAGATATGAAGCTTGCTGTCACTTGAAGACTGATTGTAGTAGAGATATCCAGCGCACCTCCGAGATTGGGCAGTTCAGCCAGGCAGGACTCCACTGTATCAGGCCCAACACCCGTAAGGAAAAATATCAGAGCAGAGATAATCTCGAGCGGACGGAGACCTGTCATCTGTCATAGCAACGGATATAGTATGGTCAGTGATGGTAATCATATCCGTGCAAGGCTCTTGCAAGCTGCTCACAGGCTTATGGAGGCAGTCCTAACACGGCCATCGGTATCATGCAAGCATTTGGACTTGACAAAACGTAATCCGATTACCATTTTGCAGATAAACGAGATGATGATTATCGCAATAGAAAGCCTCGAAGAAAGCCATTTGCCACAAGTACAGAGTCCAAGGGCTGCGCCGATGTATCGCCTATGATGCATGCGCGGAAGATTCCGGTGTCGTTCCTGACGCCCACAGGGATCACACGTATCGCGAGCGTTGAGAGTCGGTGGATGCTCACACCGACGGTCTCGATCCGCCCTCCGCCACCACGGACGGGTCGTAAATCGTTGCGTTAGTAATCGATCATCCACAAGCGGGCAATTATAGGCTCGCGCGATCTTTACCCTGCTGCCTCGTGGCGCCGTTTAGATCGCCTCGGTAGCATCCTAAGTATCCGGCCGTAAGAAGATGTCCTAGTGACTTTAGTGACGATTTATACTCAAGGACTTGAGCGGTTGCCGCGGAGTTCCTTGGGCGACGCAAGACTTCAGAAAAGGCAGTTTATTAAGTATACGGCAGTAAGTATAACATGGTCGGCGTGTACAGGGGCTCTCACTCTGGGGAACGCGTCAAGTGGGTATCCGCTGAGCGGTATGTGTCTTTGGGCTACGATCTCGCTTTGATTTGCGGCGGCGAATCGGCCCATAGTGGTTTGTCCGCGTCTTTTGTATCCGGAGCCTGCGTCAATTTAGCGTCACTACGCAACGGGTGGTCTGAGAAGGTGTGGACGGACCTGTGCTGTTAACTGCCGCTTCGTCGCATCCTCTTGAGCTAGCCTCGCTGCACGAGCTGCGTCTACCTTCCTTCGGAGGTCGGGAGACATTGCCTAGGGGGTGGGCGTAATGTCAGTATCGTGTTTAGGCAATAGAACGCTTTTCAGACTTGATAGGTTTGCTCAGGCGTTGGTACGGTCGCTGTATGGATTCTGCCGCATCAGCTCGGGGACAGTAGCGAGCAAGCATAAGCGTGTACTCACAAACCATGAGTCCATAGCCTAACCCCATGACTGTAATCGGTTCAGTAGAGGTCCTTCGGAAGGACAGCATCGGATACACACTGCCGACGGTAGCCAAGGCGAGCTTTCCCCAAGCGGCGCCTGCGGACATTTCGATATCGTGTTACCGCGCGTTTCAGCGGTCTTTCTTCTTGTTCGACTTTGAGACGCGTGAACGAGGTAACGACAGGATACTCAACGCCGAGCTCGAGGTCGACGTCACTTCGACTCGGAGCACAGAGGTGCTATGAGATCATGTGATCGCTTTCCTGCTTCAAGATTCTTGGATCGAATCATCATGCCCAAGCCGACGGTTTCCCTGGCCATCTTTCTTGGATACCCCTTTGAATCTTCGTTGTTGAACGTCTTTGGGCTATACTGGTCAAGGTCAGTCACCAGTGCGACGCGACGTCAGCGAAGCTGAGAGCTGGCGCTGCAGGCTGTCTCAAGCCCGATATTATACGTCCATAAAGTTGGCTTGATCGTTCAGGACAGTATGGATCCGCAGGTGCGTTACAATTCACTTTAATATGACGCATATATCCATGATATGCTCTATTCAGAAACTTCCCGCATTCCCGACCCTCGATGTCGTCGAGAAGATCATTCTGCACGAAAAGCAAGGCAACACTGTACCTGTCTATGTCGAACTCCCCGGGGACCTCATCACACCTGTCATGGCATACCTGAGGATAGCAAAGGACTCGATGTACAGCTTCCTCCTGGAGTCAGTCGTGTCGGGAGAGCACCTTGCCCGGTACAGCTTCATTGGAGCTGGTGAGCTTGCACTTCTCAGTTTATCCTCGGCGACTAACGCATATCCTAGACCCCTTGAAGGTCGTGAAAACCGGACCGAACGAAGAGATCACTGGCGACCCTATGACGGCGCTGCAGAAGGAGCTAAGCGTCTACCGCTACGTCAAGATCCCCGAGATTCCGACCTTCACCGGCGGCGCCGTCGGCTACGTCTCTTACGACTGCGTACAACATTTCGAGCCCAAGACGGCGTGCGAGCTCGCGGACCCGCTCGGGATCCCGGAGACCGTATTCATGCTCGTCGACACGCTGCTCATCTACGACCACCTCTTCCAGACGCTCAAGGTCGTTGCCCACGTTTTCTGCCCAGACGACGCGAACACGGTCAATCTCGCTTTCATATATCAGACCGCCGTCGCGAAGGCGCGCCGACTCGCGAAAAACGTGCTCGCCCAGACGACGCCCGAACCGCCGCAGGCGCCGATCCCCGCGTCCGCGCTCGGGCGCGAGGCGGTGTCGAACGTTGGGAAGGAGGGGTACGAGGGCTTCGTGACCAAGCTGAAGGAGCGCATCGTCGCAGGCGATATCATCCAGGCCGTGCCGTCCCAGCGCGTCGCGAAACCGACGGCGCTGCACCCGTTCAACGCGTACCGCCAGCTGCGGCAGGTGAACCCGAGCCCGTACATGTTCTATATCGACCTTGGCGAGTTCCAGATCGTCGGCGCATCGCCCGAGACGCTGTGCAAGGTCGAGAAGAACAAGGTGTACAATCACGCGATCGCGGGTACGGTGAAGCGCGGGAAGACGGTCGAGGAGGACGAGATGTTGGGCGCGCAGCTGCTCGGCAGCGAGAAGGACCGTGCGGAGCACATCATGTTGGTGGATCTGGCACGGAACGACGTGAATCGGGTGTGCCAGCCCGAGACGGTCAAAGTGGACCACCTCATGAAGCTCGAAAAGTTCAGCCACGTTATACATCTGACATCGCAAGTATCGGGGCAATTGCGCGATGGTCTGACCAGGTACGATTATACGCAGAAAGCATTGTTGCGGTATCCCTCATCGCCTGTCGTAGATTCGATGCCTTCCGTTCAATATTCCCAGCCGGGACCGTCTCCGGCGCACCAAAAATCAAGGCCATCGAGTTGATATACTCACTGGAGAAGGAGAGGCGCGGGGTGTATGCGGGTGCGGTCGGGCGGTTCGACTTCGCATCTGACGAGATGGACACATGCATCGCAATCCGGACCATGTTGTTCAAGGACGGGATGTTATACGGTCAAGCAGGCGGCGGCATCGTTTTTGACAGCGTTGAAGAGGACGAATGGTTCGAGACCGTCAACAAATTGCAAGGCAACGTTCGGGCCATCGAAGCAGCTGAACGTGCGTTGATTCCCGTCTCATGACAACAGTGGAAGTCTGATTTTCGTGGTGCAGGGTATTGGCACGAAGGCCAGTCTGGCAGTGCGAGGTGATAATAGCAATAGTATATGTACTGTAATGCGATGAGGATGCAGGCGAAGTCTAGTATAATGGGGTTGCGACCTCTGCCTCTTCACGAGCACGAGCACGAGCAGCTTGTCGCCTCGCCTCCCTCTTCTCCTCTGCGATCTCTTCACGTTCTGCCCTCTCTATGTCCCGCCGCTCGATCTCCGCCTTGATTGCAACCCCCTCCCGGCCCGCTATGCTGAGCACGCCCGCGATCAACTCTGCCGTGCGCGTGCTCTCGTCGTTCGCCGGTATGGGGTACATGACCACGCGCGGATCGACGTTGGAGTCGACGATGCCGATCGTCGGGACGTGCTCGATCGCGCACTCGCGAATGGCAGCGAGGTTCGCGGCCGGGTTGAGGAACACGACGAGGTCGGGCACGACCTTGAACGCCGCGACCTGCTCCTCGCCGAGCACCTTCTCTTTGTTCGTCAGCGTGCCGGGTAACCAGCGGTAGCCGACGTGGTAGCCCTGTGGTCCGAGACGCTCTGCCGCGCGCTTGACGGCCGGGCGGAGGTCTGGGCGGCTGCCAACGAAGACGACGGAGCCGCCGCGAGAGGTGACGCCACGCACGACGTTCGCTGCGCGTCGGAGGAGGGGCAGCGTCGCGTCCATGTCGATGACGGTGATCCCGGCGCGGGTGCCGTACGCGTAGGGCACGAAGTTGGGGTTCATGAGCGAGGTCGAGTGTCCGAGGTGGGCGCCGGCGGCGAGGAGGGCGGAGAGCGTCGTTTCGTTCGGCCCTGTCGGTCGGTGCAGGGTGTGGTGCGGCTGCCATGTATTCTCTCGGTTTTGGGTCGAGCCGAATTGGGACATGTGGTCGACTGCAGCGACATTTCAGCAGATTGACGAGGCTTCAGTAGAGCGGATGCGTTCACCAAGGTTCTTATACGCTGCCCTATTTTCCTGGAGCTCTGTCCAGTCTTCCGGGGTCTCCAAATATTCCGGGTGAGCAGCCGACGTCGGTGCCGTCGACGCAGACCGGCTCGGATGTCGCGACGCTACGCGCACATTTCTCCGTCGCACTACGCGGGTCGCGCTCCCTAGCCACGAGCGTAAGCTGGTGCCCGCTGGAGTCGCCATGAGGAGTTAGCGCGAGCGGCGCAAGGTGTGGCGAAGTCGGGGGAGAGTGGTCAGAGCACGTGGGCTTCGGCGCACCATCAGCTCCCGCATCGATTTTTTTCTTCTCACCTCCCTTCACCTTCCGCCTATTACCCTCTCTCCCTCGTCCCCGCCCATCTCGCCCGCAAAATGGATGATCTCTTCGAAGGCGCCGTCGGTATCGACCTTGGCACCACCTACTCGTAAGGACACCCTGCCCAACAGTCGTCGGAAAAAAGTGGTGTGCTTACGACGGCCCGGCTTTTGCAGCTGCGTCGGTGTATGGCAGAACGACCGCGTAGAGATCATCGCCAACGACCGTAAGTGTTTTGAGTGAACCTGCTTGCGTGGATTTGGAGACCGAGCTTGAGCGCAGAGGGCAACCGCACAACACCGTCATACGTCGCCTTCTCGAACGAGGAGCGCCTCATCGGTGATGCGGCAAAAAACCAGGCCGCGATGAACCCGCGCAACACCGTCTTCGACGCGAAGCGGTTGATCGGCCGGAGATTCGAGTATGTATATCCTTGCTTTTGCCGACGCACTCACTAATGCCGTTCTTACAGCGACCCCGATGTCAAGAAGGCAAGCTATCCGATATGGCCGTTTGAGAACGCAGATACTAACCGTGGATGCAGGACATGACACACTGGCCCTTTGAGGTCGTTGAAAAGGACGGATCACCTCTGATCAAGGTCCAGTACCTCGGCGAGGAGAAGACCTTCACTCCCCAGGAGATCTCCTCCATGGTTCTCTCCAAGATGAAGGAGATCTCTGAGGCCAAGCTTGGCAAGACCGTCAAGAAGGCCGTCGTCACGTATGTATCCAAATCTGATATTATAGACCTCAACTCATCTCCCATGTAGCGTCCCCGCCTACTTCAACGACTCCCAGCGACTCGCCACCAAGGATGCTGGTGCCATCGCCGGTCTCGATGTCCTCCGTATCATCAACGAGCCTACCGCGGCCGCCATTGCCTACGGTCTCGACCGTCAGTCGAAGGCGGAGAAGAATGTCCTCATCTTCGATCTCGGTGGTGGAACTTTCGATGTCTCCCTCCTCAACATCACCGGCGGTGTCTTCTCCGTCAAGGCGACTGCCGGCGACACTCACTTGGGTGGTGAGGACTTCGACAACACCCTCCTTGAGCACTTCAAGAAGGAGTTCCTCCGCAAAACCAAGCTCGACATCTCTGAAGATCCTCGTGCCCTCAGGCGGTTGCGCAGCGCTTGCGAGCGTGCTAAGCGCACCCTTTCCTCGGTCGCTCAGACTACCGTTGAGGTCGACTCGCTCTTCCAGGTATGCGCATACATCCACGGTCGTCTGTTTGACGCTAACGTTCAACTGATTAGGGCGAGGACTTCTCCGCGAACATCACCCGTGCCCGTTTCGAGGAAATCAACGCGGCGATGTTCAAGTCGACCCTCGAGCCCGTTGAGAAGGTCTTGAAGGATGCGAAGATGCCCCGCGAGAAGGTCGATGACATCGTCCTCGTCGGTGGCTCCACCCGTATCCCCAAGATCCAGTCGCTCGTGTCCGAGTACTTCGGTGGTCGTCAGCTCAACAAGTCGATCAACCCCGACGAGGCCGTTGCCTACGGTGCTGCCGTCCAGGCCGCCATCCTCACCGGCCAGACCTCGGACAAGACTGCGGACCTCGTCTTGCTCGATGTTACCCCGCTCTCGCTCGGTGTCGCGATGCAGGGCGATGTCTTCGGTGTCGTCGTGCCTCGCAACACCCCCATCCCGACCAACAAGAGCCGGACGTTCACCACCGTCGAGGACAACCAGACGACGGTCACCTTCCCCGTGTACGAGGGTGAGCGCACCCAGTGCCGCGACAACCGTCTCCTCGGCGAGTTCGAGCTCAACGGCATCCCGCCCATGCCGCGAGGCCAGGCTGAGCTCGTCACCACGTTCGAGGTTGACGCGAACGGCCTGCTCAAGGTCTCGGCGATGGACCGCGCGTCGGGCCGGAAGGCGTCGATCAGCATCACCAACTCGGTCGGCCGTCTGTCGTCGGCGGAGATCGAGCAGATGGTGAAGGACGCGGAGCAGTTCAAGCAGGCGGACAAGGAGTTCTCGGCGCGCCACGAGGCCAAGTCGGACCTGGAGGCGTACATCCACCAGGTCGAGAGCACGATCACGTCGCCCGAGATCGGCATGAAGCTCAAGCGCGGAGCGAAGGGTCAGGTCGAGGCCGAGCTCGCGCGCGCGCTCGAGAAGCTCGAGATCGAGGACTCGACGGCGGACGAGCTGCGCAAGGCTCAGCTCGGCATCAAGCGCGCCCTCCAGAAGGCGACCGCTGGCATTCGGTAAAACCAAAAACCCGTCAGCCCGTGCATCATCATCCCTCTCTTGCTCCCTCACCACTCTCATGGCATTTGTTTCCTGCTGTTCTTTCCTCACCCATACGTACGATTGTCGATGATGTTCGCTGTGCATGTGTCATCCGCGATGTACTCTGTTAGTGTCGCATCAAAACGCAACTTGCTCTCTTTTTTGGCCTTGTACGCTTTATTGTGCGCTTGGACCGCGAAAGTGCTGTGCGAATGTGTAGACTACTATAGGGACACGAAGGCTAGATGATCAGGCCGATTCGTCGTCGCTATCTGACTCCCTGTCCATCTGCTCGTGTACCGCGGCCTCCAAGGCCTCAAGGTCCCAACCGATCTTCTTCTTTTGCACTCGTACAGCCGCCAACGACTTGCCGAGGTCGCGGACGGTTTCGTCCGGCTGCAGCGCGATCCATACCAGGAAATCGTCGATCCATATCTTGCTGAAGACGTAGTAGACGTCGTGGTGGTCGAGAATGTGCTTCAGTTCGAGGAGGCAGCGGATAACTGCACGTTTGCCTGAAGCGAGATTCAGCGTCGGGTATGATGGGAGTTGGATGAGGAAAGACGAGCTTACCCTTGGATAGGAAAGACGCGACATCCGATTTGCATGCTTCGGCGAGAGCCCAAGAGCGGTAGAGCGGGAACGCGAGTACGCGGCGGTAAGATGTGATGACGGTCGCCTCCAGCACCTCAACCGGGAACATGAAGGACGGCGACGCGATGTGTGGTTGTGCAGATGACGGGAGTTGTATTGACGAGGTCTTTGAATAACGTTCGCGCCCGGGTAGCACCAGCAGGTCTGCGACCTCTTCCTCTTCGTCCACTGCTGGCTCTGCCTCGCGGGGAACTTCATACGGCGCGGGGTCTAGCGCTGCGAAGGCGGGCACGAGAGACGCGATCGTCCACGCGCTCTCGGGCGTAGGATCCTGCTGCGTCGTGCGGGCGTCGTATGCATAGGCGAAGAGGATGGTGAGCAGGGTCAGGTACAGCGCATGGGTCTGCGGGGGTGTTGCGAGGTCTGCAATGTTACTTAGTCACATGAAGGCGGGTATCATTCAGTGGTGGTGCACTTGCATTCTTTTCGAGGAAGGTTAAGCATTATCATGTTCTCCGCTTCGGTGAATTCGATGTCCGAAGCGTCGCTCAAAGAGAGCGGGTGGTTCCAATGCAGCAGCTCCTGAATGTATTCGTCGTCGCCATAGTCAGCCCTGCAGCGCAAAGCTTAGTGCCCGCTCCTCTCGCCCACGTATTCACGTACATGTAGTACTCCGGATCCCACTTCTTTTCCTCTCGCGATAGTCGCCGCCTTCGGCGTTCCTGCCAGTCTAATGCTTCAATCTCTGTCGCAGCCTGCCCGTCTGTAAGCTCCGACAAGATGACCTCGTTTTCGGAATGCGACGTATGGAGGAAGTAGCTCGAGTGCATGTCCAGGAAGCCATACGGTTTACGTAGGGAAGTGTGCAGCGGTTGTTCAACGGACTGAGGAAGGCGCCAGTCATTTTCAGCAGCTAAGAAGAGAGGTGAGTATCAATCTCTGCTTCAAGTGTCTGATATCAGATATCGTGCCTTTGAGAATCTCTAGACGTTCCTCGTCAAGATTCAATCTATTCATGTCTTCCGCAAGCCCAGCATCATGGTCCTCTTGGCTTTCTGGGTTGGACGAGTCTTGTGAGTGCAAAACTTCGATGACCGGCGCCTTCGTCTCCTGCCTAGGAGCTAGGAGCTTTGGAAGTAGGTCGAGGTCCGCGAAGTGCTGCCCCTTCTGCTCTTTCTTCAGCGTGACGGTGAGCCATCCGGAGCTCGCATCGTAGTGCGCGTTTCCGAGCGGCACTTCCGCCGGGTCCGACCTTTCCTCTGGATTAACGACGGGACCTGGGAGGTTGAGACGCAGAAAGTAGGGAGAGATGTGAATGGTGACAAGGCTGTGGTCGATCGATACGTCTAGTTCGGATGCCTACTATAGCGGCGGTGTCAGAGGTGGCTTTTAGTGTCTGTAGCGAGGCGACTCACCCGGACAGACGGGCAATATAGCGAGATTGTGACATCGCCTTCAGTTTGCGCACAAGAAAACCGCGGAGTAATCATGGAGCCGGTGAGAAGGACGGTTTGCTAGAGCGCGTATACGATCCTCTGTTGTGCGAGACTTCCGTGTAGAGACCGCACTCGTGTGCTTGTTGGCAGACACGTACGAAGCTCGAGAAATGAGTTCTGTAGACCTCAAAAGAAATGCAGGAAGATCAAAGTACTGGTGTTACATAATCAATGAGAAGTGTAGTCCCCGCGCGAGAGGCAAGAAATAGTTTATATGTAGGCCCCTGACACACGCATATGGCTACTGAACTGTGCCCTGAATGTACCTGTACCGATCCCAAGATCTCCGGATGCTGCCAGCTTATGAGACGCACTGAGGGTATCGATCCTGTTACGATCGAGGTCAATGTTGGCGAATATTCCATTGATGCAACAACGTACCTTGACTTCATCCTTCACGACCCAAATCTTTTTTTCCTTACACTTCACGCCGACCTCTCTAACCTTCACCTCGATCGCATTCTTCTTTACTTTGTGCTCCTTTAAGTCAGCGTACACAGCTTCGACGATGGCGATCAAACTGCTCGTGCCCATGCTCGTGATCCTCGAAAGCAGGAACGGTAGATGCGCCTCCGGGAAGTTGCTCTTCGGTTTCGGCTTGAGTGCAGCAGCAACTCCAGGTTTCGGAGTCTTTCCGCTGAGTGCCATGGTGTCAGTCGAAGCCAATGGGCTCATCCGTGGATCAGGCAGAGCAGGCAGAGCAGGCAATGCTTGACCATCTCGTTGAGGTTGTCCTATCGGCTGCGATACAAAGGTGAATGGGTCGACGGGGAATGTCGTGTCTGAAGACCGGTTAGCATATGTTGAGCCCTGATGTCAGGATGACCTGCCGTTAAACATCTGAATCCGATACTGCTCGAAAGGCTCGTATTCGCATCGGCCGATCTCGCTCTCCCAGCATGGACCCTTGTTGAACGGGACGAGCGGCACCACCACCTTCCTCTTCTTCTCCTTCTCCCCGGTGCCCTTCTCCGCCTTGCGCTTCTTCGGCAGTGGTAGTGGCGGCACATCGAACGGACTCGGGCTGCGATCCATCCTATCGCTCAGTGGCGTACCGACCTCCTCAATCTCGTCGTCGTCGACGAGCCACGAGTCAAGGTCCGAGTCCTGCTCTTCCTCGTCCGCGTCATCGTCCTCCACCTCGTCGCCATCGTGCACGTCGTCGCCTACGACCTCCTCTTCCTCCCATTCTTCGCCAGAGTCGTAGCCATAATCCAACGCAATACTATCCTTGGCGAAGGGCGTACGCGGGCCAATCAACTCGGAGGTCTTCGTGAATGTGCCATAGTAGCCTGGGCGCGCGTCCTCGTGGAAAACGAAGACGCGCGCTGGTATCGCGGTGCGATCTTCCAGAAGGGAAATCAACTCTCGGACGGCTGCGTCGTCGCCGGAAACCTCTGCCTCGGAAAGCTGAGCCATGATTTGCCGTACTGAGTACGCGCTGTGAGTCTTCAGGGCCCGGGGCGCTTTCGAGGGCCGAGTGCGTAGCAAGGGATCCGCAGAAGCCGGTAAGCTGGAGAGAATCGTACTCAAGTGCTCTGCACGACATGTTGAGCTTCCGATCAAGACAAAGCCAAGGAATACACACGAACCTCGCGTTCCCAATTTGGACAGGTCGGGAGACGTGCTGTCGTTCATCTCAATATCCTCATCGAGGATTTCGATGATTTCGGCGGAAGAGCTATGTACGATGTCGGCTTCGTCGACGTTAATGACAGTCGCTTTCGCCTTCCTTCTGGTCTTCTTCCGTTCGGATTGCTTTCCCTTGGAATGTCTAAACCAGTTGATGGGCGCCAGCTCTGCTTCCTTCTTCAATACAAACGGCTTGAAAGTTCGCTCAAAGTCGCTAGGCCCTGCCGCAGTGGAGTTCTTCGAAGCAGACGGACTGATGGTATTGCCGCTGTCGGAGGCCGCATGGCTCCCGTTGATCGTCTTCTGCTTCGGCTTGGCATTGAAGAAGTTGGCCATGATGTTGCGCGACTTGGCTTGCGCCTGTTTTTCTTTCTGCGCTTTCTCGACCTTTTCTCGTTCCTGATGGTTCGCGCATATGAGCAGTATATTCGCTTGCACTTCCTTAATACCAGGAAGCAAGCCACGTACCTTGGCCTCCTTCTCTGCTCTCTTCTCGGCCTTCTCCCGTTCCTACGGTACGGGGTCAGCCACGCACATATATGAGCTCTGCCGAATGTACCTTGGCCTCCTTCTCAGCTTCAGCCACCGGATCGACGGGCTTCTTCGGTCGTCCACGCTTCTTCTCTAAAGTGGATGGTCCAGCGGGCGTCTGTGGATACAACATCGATTCATGCGCATATATGCGTCGGAGTCGTGGCACGAAGCGAGACTGACCTCTCCATTCATCGGTGTGACTTGGCGCGATCCCCCTGTCGCAACATCGTCCGCACTAGGAGCGGTCACGATGTTCACGTCGGACGTAGCGGTCGGAAGGTTGGCTTCGGCCTTCGCGCGGTCCTTCAGAGGCTGTTTCGTCTTGAATAAAGCGTCCCGTTCCGCCTGTGGCAAGGCTGCCACAAAAGCTTGCAGATCATTCTTCGCCTGAGGGATATCCGTCGCCTCTCACCCTCACACACGGAAAGGAGCCGTAGCTTACCTGCACTCGCTCCGCCAGCCTCGCATCCGCCTTCTCCCGAGCCGCTTTGGGTAACCAATCTCTCTTATCCTCATTGACCTCCCACCTCCACACGCATAGAACTGCAGGAACCTTTGTTCCGTCTCCGGGGGGATCCAAGCCATAGTTGACGCGTGTTGCGACGGAATTGATAGCTTTCTCGACAGCATAGGCGGAAATGGGTACTCTAGGCTTGACAGATGGGCCTTCCTCATCTTCCTCGTGAGGCGGTAGAAGGATCTGATGTATACTCTTCGTTAAGGCAGAGATGGCTTTGTCGCTGCATATACGCGTGTAAGGATGAAAATTCGAGCGCGTTCCTGCAACCCACGCACCTTTCTTGCACCAATTTTGCGATCAGTGGCAAGTATTCCTCTGGAACTGTGCCAAGTTGAGGGTCTTGACGGGACATACGTTCATCGAGAAGCTCCCGAAACTTGACTAGCTCTGTATCGAGAACCACGGGCGTGCTTCAGCCAGATGTCCCAAGGCGACTTGTGAAAGAAGAGGCGCACCGGACATCGTTTCTGACGACTTGTCGTAAAATATTGGCTTCTGTTTGCATATCGCTTTTCCATTCTTCAGTTCTATGAGCATCGGCTTCGCGTCTTGCCCTGCGGACGCGCGCGGTCGTCAACAGCTCCTCGCGCCTCCGTTCGCCGACCGTACTCACCAGCGACGTTTCCAACTGATACGAAGCCATCAATAACATGAGCATGAGTTATTGTGACGTCAGGGAGCCAGCTCACCATCTGCCGCAAAGCCAGTGGCCATGGTCGGAGTCGAGTGCGTCGCGCAGAGCAGATTGAGCGCGACGGGCGTTACAAACGCGGTGTTACAGCTTGTGTCACGCAATATTCGGTCACGTTCGACGCGTTTGCCGGCGCTCGCGACTCGCGCTCGCGGCTCACATCGCACCACGAACCTCGTCAACATGGCTGCCAATTTCTTCAAGCCTCAACAAAAACGTGGCGTGCCAGTGCAACAAGTTCAAGCAGCGGAGCTAGAAAATCAACCTTGGGTCGAGAAATAGTGCGTTGTCTCCGTTGACACATGAGGCGATTACGGTTGAAGACTTTCTAGTCGACCAAAGACCATCGAGGATGTTTCGGCACAGGAACATACAGTCGCTGTGCTACGGAAAACCTTAACATCTACCAATGTACGCGCTATCCTCTTAACGCATCACCCCCATTTCTGACCACCACGTAGCTTCCCCACATGCTCTTCTACGGCCCACCGGGTACCGGCAAGACCTCCACCATCCTCGCTCTAGCCCGTCAGCTATTTGGCCCTGACAACTTCCGCTCTCGCGTTCTCGAGTTGAACGCCTCCGACGAACGCGGTATCAGCATCGTCCGCGAGAAGATAAAGAACTTTGCACGCCAGACACCCCGCGCACAGGCCGTCTCAAGCGACGGGAAAACGTACCCATGTCCGCCATACAAAATCATCATCCTCGACGAAGCGGATAGCATGACTCAAGACGCGCAGGCGGCCTTGCGCCGAATTATGGAGAACTATGCGCGCATCACCCGATTCTGCTTGGTCTGCAACTACGTGACACGGTACGTTCGCGCGCTAGCGAGAATCTGAGCTTGTTTTGACAACAGGGTCATACACAGGATAATAGAACCTCTCGCTTCCCGCTGCTCCAAGTTCCGCTTCAAGCCGCTCGACCCTACTTCCACCTCTTCCCGCCTCCAACACGTTGCCGACGCCGAGCGAGTTCCCGTCACCCCTGCCGTCCTCGATACCCTCGTCTCCGCATCTCAGGGCGACCTCCGACGCTCCATCACCTACCTCCAGTCCGCGTCTCGCCTTTCCGCGTCCACCGACCCCCCGATCCCCATCACGCCAACGGACATCCAGGAGATCGCGGGCGTCGTGCCCGATGCGGTAGTCAAGAACTTCGCAAGGGTATTGGGGGTCGATGTCGAGGAAAAGGATGACAACGGCATGGACGTGGACGAAGAACCGGCGTCAGCGAAGAACAGGGCGCGGAAGAAGGGTTTCGACAATATTCGGGAAAAAGTCAGGGAGATCATGCGCGAGGGTTACTCCGCGTCCCAATTGCTGTCACAGGTGCCTATTACAATTGAATCAGCCAACGCGAAGCTGATGCCTTCTGAACCTCTTCCTCTTCAGCTACATGACTTGATCATCTTACATCCGACGCTTACAGCGCGACATAAGTCGCGGTGCGCAATGGTGTTCGCAGAGGCGGACAAGGCATTATGCGATGGTGCCGACGAGGAGCTTTGGATATTGGAAGTCGCGCTGAAGGTTCACAGAGCATGTTCTTGACCATAACCTGTTGAATACAACTGTCGTTTACTGTAACAAGGTCGATCGCGAAGCGCAATGGTGCAGATGGTCCGTGTGCGTATCTGACCCGCCATACGAGCGAGAAACACGCCTGTGGCTCTATTCGTCGTCCGACTCCTGCTCGTGACCGAGATCCAGTTCACCATCGCTGGGCGCTCCCGCGCCGTACAGTTCCTCCACGAGCTCCACTCCGCCAGCAACCTGTCGAAGTTTCTCCAACTCGGGATATCGAAGACTGCCGTTGAAGAGCGTGTATGCCAAGGTTCCGTTCGTGAGTTTGTGACGTCTCGTGAGGAGATTTCGCATGCGACTGAGCAAGTCTTGGGACGGTCGCCGCTGTTCGAAGTTGAAGCGGATGCGCCGCACGGCAGGGAGCAGGATGGGTTTCACGGAGAGCGGGTTCCTCTTGGGAGATGATTCGACGAGAAGGGGTAGGACCGTTTTGGTCGCCCCGTTACTTCGAAGCCAAAGCTCGGATGCGTTCTGGCAGCGCTTGAGGATGTCCGTGACGGGAACGCGCTCGTACTTTGTGCTAGAGACTCGGAGGCCAAGTACTTCGAGATGATCGAGATGAAGTTTGTCAATGAAGTTGATATCGCGTAGAAAGGAATCGATTTGATGACGGGGGAAGATTAAGTGCAGTAACGAAGGATTTGTTTGATTGGAGTTTGGTGTCCGATACGCACGGATTGCGAAGCCATCTGAGGTCTCGTAGCATTCCAAGCGTTGGATGTGGGTCCGATCATCGCGACACGATGAATGATTCTGTAAAAAGGTCACCAAGGGACGAATGCCCTGTGGTACTTGACTACGAAAACGAAGCGTTACCGAGGCAGCTGGAGGAATTCTGATGCACTCAAGCAGGTTGCAGACGCATGATCCCTCGTCGTCCACATATAATGTGGTCAACTGAGCCAGCATCGAAGGATCGCGATGCTCCTCCCCCCCGGGCGTCCGAAAGCTTAATACACGCAGGGTCAGCCTCTGAAGCGATGTGGAGGCTTTCAGAACGTCGATGAGGCTTTCTCTGCTAAACTCTTCATTTAGCTCTTGCAGCGAAAGGTTGACCAGGCCGTGGAGAAGCGACCTGCGCGCTGCTGTCCAGTTGAGCGATGTATGTCGTAGATGCAGGTGGCGGAGCTGTGGCGCACATAAGCCTAGAAAATTCTCCGGCAGACGCTCTATGAAGTGCGTATCGCTTGCCACCGTGCACGAAATAAGGCACGGGGCTGGCAATGATAGTGACGCAAGCTCGAAGCCTCTGCAAGAATTATGGAGTCGAAGTCTTGCAATACGATCCATGTTGGAGAGGACGAAGGCGACAGCAGCAGGGGAGAATCTGACTAGGGGAGAATTGCTGCGTAAGGATAATGTCAAGGGCATTCTTTTTGACCTTAACAAGTATGCCTGGGTCATATCCAGGGAAGCCAACGTCCGAGGTAGGATTACCGCCCAGAGCGCGGCAGTGCCGAGGCCGACTGCTCGCCAATGGCGGCATACCTCCAGGAACATGTAGCTGGAGGGTGCATGTGCATTATCCTTGGAAGAGGGCATGCAGTAACAGAAGATGTAGGACAGGATCTCGTTGGGGAGTTTATAGATCGGCGACAGGCGATTGCGACTTTCACAAAGACCGCGAATTTGTTCAAGCCAATGGCCTATCTGGCTATCAATTCGGTATCGAGACTCGTCAGCGGGCGATGGCATCTGGAACCCAGTGTATGAGAACGAGTGCGTGTCGCGACCTTGTATAGTAAGAGATCCGTTAGAGCCATCATCTCTCCCTTCGAGCGTCAGAATAGTACTCACTGGACGACGAACGTTGGCTACCGCCCGCGACTCCTTCGTACCCATAGTGATCGCTGCTGCCATAGGTGGAGCTTCCTCCGTATCCTCCTGACAAACTCCTAAATGTTTCGCCCGCCATAAGCGTGTAAGAGCCATTCCCGCCCTGCAGTGGCATCGAACCGGACGCGTATGGTCCCTCGTCGCGCACTTCAAGATAGCTGGACGTGACTGCTGGAGGATCCGACAGCGCGCCGCGATGTCGATGTTCGCTCTCGCCGAGATTTCCGGGCCTCCGAAGCATCGTTCGTCGTTTTCCGTCGTGTTCGATGCGAAAGGAATGCGGTATCGGTGCGACGCAGTGGATTGGCAGTCATGCTGAAGAGCAGCTCACAGCGGCACGCGGCCTTCTGGCCGGCGCTTATAGCCTCGCAGGGCGCCATGATGAATACTCGATAGGGAATTTGACGTCACATAAGTAGTAGCACCCTCCTTCCGTGTTGTATGCGCTGCTTAAGAATACGCCGTGCCAACCTTTGCGAGCGTTGCCCTTCGCCCCGGTGGCGTCCTTGAACGCGGAATTCCGGTGGTCCATCGCTGAGAAATCGGCACATAGACTCGCATCGCCATCCCAGAGATATTCCAGTGTGTCCTTGACCTTCATGAACTAGCGATGATGTCGATCAAGCAGAGAGAGCATCCGGGTGGCTGTGACCCCTTTCTCTCTGGCTTTCGTCTTCGTCTCGGGCTCCGCTATCGTACTCTGTACTACTAATTGCCCCGCAGGTACTATTCGAACAAAGGGTAATCTAGAAGAGGCGAAGACAAACCATGGCTGGCGACGAGCTCGTCGACGATTTTGTGCCGGACGACCTTGTAGCGCTCTCAGGAGACGAAGTCGACCTTGTGGATGACGACGCGGAGGTTGGCGGTCCGAGCCCTGACGAAAGCGAGAACGAGGCAGAGAAGAGGAAAGCGGAGGAAAAGAAGAGGAAGCGAAGTGCGAAGGAGAAGGAGCGGAAGGCCAAGGTTCCGTCTATCGTACTCTCTGGGTTTACCAATATGAATACTCACATGTTTACTGTCTCTTCTTATGCAATATATGTATCTGATACTTGCTCTCATACTACCGGACCAATTCTTGGGTATACGCGATGCAGAAACGCAAACTAAAGCAGGCGGAAGAACCCTCCGACGACGGAACCTCCATAGCCGCCCGTCCGCCCTCTGCACTAGCCACATACATTGCCGCTGCGCAGGCAAAGACTTTCTCTGAGATGTCCGAGCTTGAGCTCGAAGACCTGCGTGTACCGGAAAGCGCGATCGCCGACACGACCGCATGGACCGGCCCGCGGACGCTGGATCAGCTCCCGGAATTCATCATCAAAAGTAATGTCATCCTCCCTTCATTGCGCACTTCATGTCTCTGACGCGGTGTTGCGATTTCATGCAGTGTTACCCAGATTACACACTCGACTCGCTCAAAAACCTAAACGTCACGGGGCGCCCACGCTCCTTTTCCTGTCCGGCGCTGCGCTGCGCGTGGCGGACGCGACGCGGGTGCTGAAGGACAAGCGGCTACGCGGGGATCCTGAGAAGGGCAAGGCAGGGGAGGTGGCGAAGCTGTTCGCGAAGCACATACGGTTCGAGGAGCATGTGAGCTACTTGAAGAGGGCGAGCGTGGCGGCGGCGGCAGGGACCCCGGGTCGGGTGGGCAAGTTGTTGATGGAAAGTGGTGAGGAATCAACTTCTCTACTGCTGCTCTTCGTGGCAAGTGCAGGAAGAAAGCTGATCAGGTCATTCTTTAGATGCGCTCTCGGTCACAGCGCTGACGCATATTATCCTCGACGTAACTCACACGGACCTGAAGAAGCGGTCGTTGTTGAGTATACCGGAGACGAGAGACGAGGTGTTCAAGACGGTGCTAGGGGCGCCGGAGGTGCTGCAGGGGATCAAGGAGGGCAAGATCCAGGTGGTGCTCTTCTAAGCCCCAGACCCTTGGTTGATTTGCGTTCCCAATCGACGTGCTGGTAATGCCGTTCGAGGATAGTGTATAATGCTGCTATGCCAACTAATTCGATGTGCTCGAAACCTTAAGTTCTCAATCGGTCGATTACGTGAGTATATATGTACAGTAGAGCTGTGTGATGGACCGGGCACGGCAGGAGAGCCCACTCTCAGAAACCCTTGGGGTTGGTCCGGAGTGTTAGCTACGCGGTCACAAGTCAGTGCTTGGGGGAAAGCATAGACTGCCAACGATACGCACCCTAGTCCATTTCGGTACCTTGTGTATACCCTTACGATAGCTCTTCTCGTGCTTGCTGAAGGTTGTGTACTTGTCGCGTGCGGGCATCTCGTGCTCTTTAGGGAGTTCTAGGGCACGATTCTGACACGGTCACCAGGTCAGCATGCCTGACATCCAAAAGAATGCGTTAATTGGACGTACTAGGGCGCTACATTGCACCCCACTGGCACGGACCGCCTCGATGACCGCGTCGACTTGCTTCAGACGCTTGCGAGCGTTCGCTTTACGCGTGGTAGATAGGCGCCACGGTGTTTTCCTGCACAAGCACCGTCAATAAGGCGGCTAGTCATGAGGGACATCCAGAGTCCTTGCCATAAGAGGCCGACAGAACATATCGACGACGGTCTGAAGGCGCCGAACATAACTCGTAGCAAGCCCGGCGCGGCGGAGAGAAGAGGCGAAAGTCCACAGAATCGGAGTTTCAAACTGCCTTTGGCTCAGCCTTCGACTCCCCTCCACGCTCGGTCAGACTCGTCGAGGCTTGTGCAACTGCAAAGCAATTGTTGGCAATCGGGACGGACACGATGTCGGTTGAAACACAAGTGATACCGTCGCTGAACGGCGTCAACGGACAGCCGATTATGAACGGCGCGAACGGAGCGCCCATACACGCACCGGTCGTACCCAAGTTCGCTACCGGTCTTATCCTCCCGCCTCCCGAAATCAAATGTGCGTATACACTTACCCTAATACGCTTGGATACGTCTGAAGTCTCGAACATGGGACTCTGAACAGCCGTCATCGATCGTACGGCGCAGTTCGTCGCGCGCTCGGCCAACCCGCCCCAGTTCGAGGACAAGATCCGGGAGAACCAGCGTAACGACCCCAAGTTCTCGTTCCTCAACCCCGCGGACCCTTATCACGCGTATTATAGGCACCGCCTCGAGCGCGCGCTCAACGGCGAGCCCGACGAGGAGGCGGTGGGCGCCGGCGCGGCACCCGGGGTGGAGGAGGGCGCAGAGGAGAAGGTGGTGGAGAAGGTGGACGTGGGCAAGGAGCCGCCCGTTCCGGAGTTCATCCTCGACCTCCCGAACATCAGCTCGATCGACCTGTGAGTGCCATTTGCGTGATAACAATGGCGTTCTTGAACGACGCTGACGACTGTGTTGTGTCCGGCAGGGACACGATGAAGCTTACGGCACTGTTCACTGCCAAGCGCGGCCGGGCGTTTCTGCAAGCAATCTCCGCGCGCGAAGCGCGAAATCCGCAATTTGAGTTCTTGAAACCCACACATTCGCTATTTGGATACTTCAACCGGCTGGTGGACCAGTACACGAAGGTACTACTTCCTAGCAAGGAGATGCTGGCGAGCGTGGCGGAGAAGGCGAAGGAAGGCGCCAGGTGGAAATTGCTTGAGGACGCGAGGAAGTACGCGAAGTGGGAGAGCAACAAGCGAGCGAAGGACAAGGCCAGAGAGGACGAAAAAGAGGCTGAAAAGAGTGAGTGTCATGCTCCCTTATTCTCTTCCTATTTTCAACGCTGATGAGTTCGCGTTTCATGCAGTTGCGTTCGCCGAAATCGACTGGCACGATTACGCCATCGTGCAGACCATCGAGTTCACGGCAGCTGACGCACACGCCGAACTGCCGCCGCCCATGAGCGTTCAGGAAGTCGAGAACATGACGCTAGCGCAGAAACGCATGGCGGCGATGATCATGGAGAACACAGCAGAAGATGTGGAAGCTCTCCGTCAACGACAGGCAGAAGGAGAGGCTGCTGCGGCGGCGGCGGCATCGTCAGCTGGTGCTGGTGGCGGAGAGGATACGGAAATGCAGCAGAGCGACGACGAAGATGCGGGCGAAAAGGAGAGGAGGAGGAGGGAAGAGGAGGAGCGGATGCGGGAAGTCGAAAGGGCGAGGGCGATCCAGGCAAGCTCACTTGGCGCAGGTGGGCCGATGAAGATCAAAACGGATTATGTACCAAAACGTACGTGCATCTTATCTATGCGTATATGCGCGCGTATCGCTTATTCTATGCGTGCATATAGTGGGCGCAAAAGCCAAGACATCTGCTACCACGACCTGTACGATTTGTGGCCAGCAGATCCCCGTCGACGAACTAACGGAGCACATGCGCATCGAGCTGCTCGATCCGCGTTGGAAGTCGCAGCGAGACGCACTCGAGGCTCGCAAGGCGCAGGCGTCTGAGCTGCAGCGCGGCGCGAACGTGGTCTCTTCGCTCAAAACGCTCGCGCGCACGCGTGTGGATATCTTCGGTGCAGAAGCGGACGAGGAGCGGCGCAAGCGCGAGGAGGAGGAGGAGCGCGAGCGGCGGAAGGAGAGGGAGAAGGTCGTTTGGGATGGACACACGGCGACCAAGGTATCGACGCAGGACCGCTTCAGCACGAACGTCAACTTCGACGAGCAGATTGCGGCCATCCATCGTGCGAAGGGTCTAGGACCGTATGTCTTCTGTATCTGTGCTATATGTGCTTCCTTGACTAACACCCATCGTTTGGTCAACAGACAAGAGGAGGGCGCGATTGGCCCCGGAATCGGGCCCGCCGCCGTTCCGCCACCCCTTGGCTCCGGCCTTCCGCCAGCGCCCGCCTCGCTACCGGCCCCACCACTTGCGGCTTCGCAGCCTGCGTACGCCGCTGCTACTGTCTCTTCTGGCCCACAGCCAGCCTCGCTCTACCCTGCACAGCCCGCGCCGGTCATGCTCCCGCCTATACACTTCCAGGGTCTCCCGCCCGGCTTCGGTGCTGGCGGTTACCCCGGCGCGCCACCGCCGATCGCACCGACGGGTGTCGTGCGGAGCGCGCAGGAGATGGAAGGCGGCGAGGGCGAGGGAGGCCCACCGGCGAAGAGGCAGAAGGTGGCCAAGTTGCCCCCCGGGCAGTATTATCCCGAGCAAGATTGGATCAACCTGCACCCTGTTGGCAATTCCTTCGCATGAGATGATGCATATGTTCGCTGAAGATGCACCTCTTTTTTGTTGCAGCACCCGATTAACTTGCAATTGCAGTTGCCGAACGAACCCAGCAAGCCGGAGTGGAAGCTGGACGGCACCACGATCACGCTCGTCGACCTCCCTCTCACCCTGCTCGTCTCGACGCTCCGGGAACGCTTCCTGCTGCAGACGGGGAGCGCGCTACCCGCGGGCAGGATACGGTTCATGTACGCGGGCAAGATGCTCACGAATGCGAACACGATCGCGAGCTACAACCTGGAGGAGGACGATGTGCTCGTGTTGAATGTGGCGGAAACTAAGAAGAAGAAGTAGATAGGTGTCATTATATGCGTTTTGGTAAATTTCCTGCTGTTTCGGTGACCGATTGTGGTGCATGTCGTTTCCGTTGTGGCTGTACGAGCGCTTAATCACTGTACCCGGGTTCGTCGCGCCGTGACAGGAGCATAGCTGACAGTGAGAGTGCAGCAATTGCTGCCTTGAGCCCATCATGGATAGCCTCCACTGCGATTCGAAAGGCAACGACACTGTGTTATCTGGCCTCTTCCTGGACTTAAGGCACTTCAGCGCACCCAAGAGCTCAGGCGAGTTACACGGACATGGGGGACAAGTCATCATTTCGGTTCGCAGCCTTGCAGCAGGAGATAGACACGTTGGATCAGGTGAGTGACTGGGGTCAGCATCGTAGACCGAGACGGAATGCTCAGTAGGAATACAGAGCCTCGACGCAATCCTTCGCTCTGACGACACCTTCCGAACGTCCTTACGCACGCTCAGCAAGCTATGCGGTCAGAGTGGCCTCGTACCTACAAGCTATAGGTTATCAGAACTCGTGAGGGTCGGAGAAGATCCGCCCTGTTCTGGCGGATTTGCAGATGTATACCGAGGATCGTACGACGGCAGGGCCGTTGCCCTGAAGGTGATTCGGCAAATAACTGCCTCCTGGCAAAAAACCTGGTCGCCCGGGTAGCATCAACGAGTATGTGCACGTCTTATCCCATAGCGCCGAGGGGGGGGGGGGAGGCACACACCTTCATATACTTTGCCCGGTCCCCGACGTGCAGGAAGCGGCTGGATCATCCGCACATCGTCCCTTTCGTCGGCGTAGAATCGGGCAATCAAGCGTGTATCGTTTCGGAATGGATGGATCACGGTGACGTTATGTCGTATCTCGAACGCTTTCCGCTCGCCAATCGCAAACAACTGGTAAGAGAGTCAATCTTCTACCAACCGCGTAGACCTCACGAGACAACATCTTCAGATCATGGACATCGCCCGTGGCTTGGAGTACATGCACGCAAGCGGTCTTGTGCACGGGGATCTTAAGAGCGTGAGCTCGCTACCGCATGAGAAACCGATATATGCTCATCATGACTCAGCGCAACGTCCTTGTTGACAGCCTAGGTCATGCTCGTCTCAGTGACTTCGGCCTTGCCACTACGATTCTTGGAACCGCTTCTCTCGCAACAACTGCCGGATCTTCAGCCAACTGGGGCTCCTTGCGATACATGGCCCCCGAGCTGTCCGATAGCATGGCAAGAGACAAGACCTTGAACCCGAAGTCCGACGTTTACGCGTTCGGAATGACGGCATGGGAGGTAGGCGTCGTCCGACGACGAGACCTCGCAATTAATTATGCTGTTCGCAGATATTCGATGGGAGGATCCCATTCCACGAGATTACGAACGTATATATTGTGCTTCGCGAAGTTCTCGACGGGAAGCGACCATTGCGCCCAACGCACGCACGGGATTTGGGCCTGGATGATTACATCTGGGAGGTCGCCATAGACTCCTGCTGGGCGGCAGATCCACTGCGGCGACCTCAGATGCTGGAAGTGTTGGAGGGGCTCCTGGCATACGACGTTGCTCGAAACCTTATGTCAAAGCTCCTTGACGAAGGCCTTTCGGAGGAGGATCGGCATACGCTCGATGAGTTATTGTCCACAGGTCAGCCTGCTCGCGATACTTCACTACAAGCCTCGGGCTAAATCAGCACAGAAATGGGCAGACGGGCGGTATGCAACGCCGCTTATTCAGACAAGTTATTCGAAGTCCTCAAAGGCATGCGAGGCAGGAGCGAAGGCATGGAGGGCGATTCAAGGAAGATGCGTGCAAGCGACATACTACTTGCACTGGGCGCCTTTTCCTCGCTTCCTCGTGATGGACGCCAGTATCGCGACCATGCCTTGAAGGTTTGGCTGTCATATGCTGACGAACGGCGACCAGGTATCCGCGAGGCCGCGGAGAGAATCATGCGTATATTCTCTGGCAGTACGTACGCTCGGATGGGTCGCTTATCACTCATGTCCGACTCTCATCCACGTCGTCAGGGCTGTACAAGACTGTAGGAGGCCACCTCAGCGCCGTGTATTCTGTATCTGTATCTTCCGATGGCTCGCGAATCGCCTCGGGTTCCGCTGGCAACACAATCCGACTCTGGAACGCAGACATCGGGTGGGAGGCTTGCGAGCCGTTACAAGGGCACACCGGCGATGTTTACTCGGTGTCGTTCTCCCCTGACGGGAGGCGCCTTGCCTCGGCCTCCGGTGACGGGACGATCCGTCTTTGGGACGTACAGACAGGTCAACAAGTTGGCGAACCGCTTCGAGGGCACACGTACTGGGTTCGATGCCTCGCCTTCTCACCGGACGGTACCCGTATCGTCTCCGGCTCGTCCGATGACACGCTTCGACTTTGGGACGTTCAAACGGGACGAGTAATTGGCGAGCCCTTGCGAGGACACTCGAACTGGGTCCGGACCGTCGCTTTCTCGCCCGATGGGAAGCATATCGCCTCTGGATCGAGCGACAAGACGATCCGACTTTGGGATGCCGAGACAGGCAAATCAGTCGGAGAGCCACTGCTAGGCCACGATCACTGGGTTCGTTCTGTTGCCTATTCTCCCGACGGCACGCGCATTGTTTCCGGATCCCAGGATAAGACCATCCGGGTCTGGGACGTGCAGACGAGACAGACGGTACTGGGACCGTTGCGAGAGCACGAACACGAGGTCTTCAGCGTATCTTTTTCACCGGATGGTCAGCACATCGTCTCCGGTTCCTACGGGGGCATGATCCGAATATGGGACGCGCACTCGGGACAGACTGTGGCGGGACCTTTCGTGGGGAGCAGCAACAGCGTATGGTCTGTTGTGTTCTCGCCCGATGGCAAGCGCGTCGTTTCTGGCGGTGAAGACGGTTTGGTAAAGGTCTGGGACGCGGAGAACGACTAGGCCGATCGGGCGTGCTCGACATGGTCACTGGTTTTGGTGCGTACCCGCCTTTGCCATTTATGGATATGTCTGACCAGCCGCCTTCCTTCTCCAGCTTGAAGTCGACATGCTGGATGCGCATCATATACTCGATATATCCCAATTTACATGGTTATGAGACCTAAAGCTTATGACGGTGCCACGATGTCTTAACTACGCGTCCTTGGCGCCCGCTCGGGCTGACAGTCTTGACCGCTTGGAGAGTCGCTGCAGGTTGTCAGGGATCTGCCTACCATCTTCGGACGATGACTCTTTTCGACCCTAAGCTAACAAACCTAGCGCTCTCATAGGTCTCGGTTTCGGGGGACACACCCACCTGCTCGGGTGAGCTGTCGGATTGTCCACCCGAGAGCGCACTATGGCCGTCTATTATGTCTGCAAGATTTCACTGGGCATAACTTCTTGGCCGGCCCAGACTCGGTGCGAGTACTCACCATTAGGCAAGCGGTACGAGATCAACGACGGACGGCAAAGCCTTCGTCGACGTGAGTCAATCCGCAAGGCTCGCCTGTCCCACTGCATATTCCACGGGTCAGATAGGAGTCTTGCTGCTTCACAATTTCGTAGCATGTACCGCAAACGTCGCTTCAATTGCGTAGTACTAGTACACTATAACGCCGTAAGATTGGGCTATAAAATGGATACGTGATGACGGTATGGTACCATACGTCTCATGAAAGTTTCCTACGAAGTACAAGTTTCAGTCCCACAGGGCTGCGCCGCTATCTGTGGATTCGATGAGGAAGGACAATTGTTAGGCATGATTCCCGCAGCAATAAGCTGGATGGAGGAAAGGCGGCGGAACGAGGTGCTACGGGGCGTTCACCTTCATGACCCTATCGCGAGCGTGCGCTGCGGGTGCGGGTTCAGAGCTACAGTATCCGGGGAATGGGCGGAGATACTGGGACTGCTTTCAGGGCACATGGCTCGACAACGTTCCGTCCTCAGAGGTTCTTGCTCCTAGAGCCTAGAGGTGTGGACAAGGGCAATTCAATGGGAGTCGTGTCGTGGCGTCCTTCCAATCTCAGCGAGCATCTCGTCGCTGCCACCGCCTGTGCTTCTTCATCATTGCGACATGCATGGTCCCGTCTTCTTGTCCAGGCCACCCAACACGTTCATAGGCGCATAGGCGCCCATCTCACGCATTCGGCGTTCTTCTTGACTATGGCCATGGCTCATTTGCGACGTTACCGTGAACCCTCTTTCAGTAGCTCCCACCTATGCAAGGCGCATACGTGACATATGTGAAACGACTCGGAAGCATAGGGACGCGGCCATTGAAGAGCGATGCAACCTCTACCCGCGAGACGACCTACTTGAACGAACTCATTGAGATGCTCTGGAGATCATCAAGACCATTGCGGAAGTCCGACTAAGACTAACACGGTGGCTTCGCACGTCTGTCGAAGCGTTCGAACGCCGGGATTGATCATGCACCATGAGGCACGTACAAGTCATATTGAACCTTGCTGCGATGCTTTCCCATCGGAAGCCTCGTGTATTGTGTGCCCTTGCATGCATGAGAAAGGGACCCGCGAGGGCATCGCATGTGCGTTTTCAGCAGTCTTGTATTGCTTGCATCTGGCCGCCACTCGTCCACATCCCCACCCACAGCGAACCTCTGCCTCAGTGCCAGGCCTGTTGACCGATGCCTCCCTCCGACGACGGCATGGGTTCAACATCACCTCCGAATCCGCCCCCAGCGCATCGCCCTACCCCTGGTCCCAAGATGACTGACGACGACGTGATCTTTGATTGGGATTCGGTGTCACTCTCGGAGGATGACGAGTTCATCGCTGTTAATCCACCTCCCGTGACGTTTGGATCTAACCCAACGGCCAAAGCTCCAAACAAAGCAGGGCAACAACCAGAGACGAAGAGTACGAAACCGTGTGGATGCAATCCCAACGGCAGGAACCTAGTCGTCTGTATCGACGGGACTGCCAATCAGTTCAGCGTAAAGGTGGGAAAAGAGCACCTCTCCTCGCGCAGGTACTTAACCTTTGATCCCCAGAATACGAACGTCGTCGAGCTTTACAGCCGGCTCGTCAAGGACGACACCCAGCTGACGTACTACAACAGTGGCATCGGGACGTACGCGAGGGAGAACAGCTGGTCGTTTGAGTACTGGAAACAGGCCTTCTATCATACGGTCGACATGGCCATTGCGTGGTAAGACAGCTAGTGAGATAATTCATACTCCCGTATTCATCACCATTCGCAAAGGAACTTCAAGAGAATCGTTCTCGACGCCTACCGGTGGCTGTCCGAGAACTACCAACCTGGCGACAGGATATTCTTATTCGGTTCGTCATCTGTAACAATACATCCATCCGCGTCGCTCTTACCGTTACTCCTAGGGTTCTCGCGAGGCGCATATCAAGTCCGAGTCATTGCAGGGATGATAGAAAGAGTGCGCGCGTCTTGCGGTCGTTCGCACCATACGCTTACTTACCGACCTTACGTTCCAGGTTGGGCTACTTCACAAGGGCAACGATGGGCAAATATCCTTGTCGGTAGCTAATGTCTATGCATCGATGTCGTCTAATACTGCACAATAGCGCCTATGCACTGTATATGGCGACGACTGCGAGACAGCAGAGGTCTCCCAAATCTCCGGTTGCGTTCAGCGTACCGAAGGACGGACCCACTCCAGGGGCCGACGCAGCCAACACGGATGATGCAAATTTAGGGGAACGCAACATATTTTCTTGGGCCCGGAAGCTTTCGTTCTGGCCCTTCCGGACGTCACCCCGGGCGTCACCAACTGCGGGAGCACAGCAACTCGAAGAGGGGTCTGCCGGTGTGGATACCTCGAACAACGCCGAACCGACCAGAACCAGCTGGCTCTCAAGGGTTTGGAGCATTCTAGCGTGCTCGGCACAGACGGCCAAATCAGGGAACGCGTCCGAAGGTGACAACGACAAGGCCGATGACAAGGCCGATCCCCTGGAGTTGAGTAAGCGCTTCAAGGACGCGCTTTCTCGTAAGGGGGTCAAAGTCCACTTCGTCGGAGCATGGTGAGCTCAATCGCATTTCCTGACCACGAAGTGCTAACTCGCCACCAGGGACACCGTTTCTTCAATCGGAATCGCTCGCGGACCCAGCCTTCCAGAAACGACTACGGGGATGAAGCACGTCTGCGTGTTCCGACACGCCCTCGCCCTCGACGAGGTTCGGGTCAAGTTCCTGCCCGAATACGCAAACGGCGGTGTTGGACCGCTTGCAAGGGATGATGGGACGGATAAAGGAGACGTCAAGGAAGTGTGGTTTTCAGGCTCTCATTCGGACATGTACGTCCCTCGAGAGATATCCCTTGCGGTAACTTCGGCTGAACAGACATGAAGCGGCGGAGGCAGTAATGTCAATCTGAAACTGGACCAGTTCGGACCGGCTCTGCGCTGGATGTCGTACGAAGCATCGCGTTCAGGGCTCCGGACGGAGAATTTCCAAGGCGATTGGAAGCAGGTCAAACCCACCAACTCGATGAATTGGTTTTGGAGGATGCTGGAGTGGTTCCCCCTCAAGCATTTGTCGTACGATCCTAAGCAGGATGGGGAGCATACTCGGTGGAGGTGAATACAGTCGTGTGGTCATTTGCTTCATTGTTGGCATTGATAAGGGCCTTTGTTCCTCAGCTGGCATCGCGCCTCGCCGCGTCGGATCATGGATGGACAGCTGATACACGAGTCCGTCCTTGATTCCCTCGTATCATCTTCAGTAGCGCAGCAGAGCGATTCTAATATCTCTCCGGAGTGTTCCTCCACGCCTGACCCTGAGGCCGTCTCTGATCCGCACCCAGGTGGAGCACCGGGCTCCAATCAAAATCCTGAACCGAGAGCCCACTTACCTTCCGATATGACCTGGGCTCGCCTACTGCTACAGTACAAACAGCCTCAGGAAAAGTGGACAAAAATAGAGCGTGACCCTTATATCTCGGCGAAAGGGGTGTTGAAGGATATTTCACGCAAACAGCTTTCAGTCCCCGATCGCAGCGTACTCTTAACACTGTTATCAACAGGTCAGTCGCCACTGCATGCTGCTTGAATCGTTGTGTGACATCCTGTGTAGTGGACGGCAAACGATCCATAGCAGACAGCGTAGATGCGTCACTGCTTTGGGGGAAAATCATGCAGTCCACGGAAGATTCGGACGCGCATACGATTGACTGCCTCTTGTCTCTTAGCGCTTTTCATATGTCACACCACGACGCTCCAACTCAGACTTGGATGCGCGTGGCCGGGGTTATCTTGTCTCGTGACGACTGGAAAAGCCTGAATCTCGAAAGTCATCAGCAGGTGGTTGAGGAGCTTAAGCGTCCATTCCGCACGATCACGGAAAGTCTGCTGAAGCAGCTTCGTGAAAACCAGTATTTATCCGACAAATCCCGGGATTTGTTATGCACAATCGTGGAAACATGTCAGTCGACTCTTTTCCTCGGTATTATAAGGACTCATTTGCCACAGCTTTCGGCCAGAGGGTTATCACGGACATTGCCAAGGAGTCTGAGCTGGTCAAAGCTCTCAATACCGTACAGAATGACCCGGATTGGCGCTACCGCGAAGAGCGAATCACGGATTTATTGATTCTCTTGGGTGCATTCCCTTTGCGGTCGCAAGGCACGAAACGGTATTTGAACCACAATCTGGCGAGATTGTTCCCTCTAGTCCAGCAGCGACCGGGCATTGACCGGGTCTTTGACTGGGTCATGCACACCGCCCGCAGCAAAGCCTGGGAGCTTGTCGATCATCTTGTCAACCGCACCGGGCTTTCTATCGGACAGCGCCGAATGCTCGATATGTTGCTTTTCACGGGTGAGCGTGGCTTCTCTGCTTATCCTTCCCGCAGCCTGAATTCACTCGCTGCGCAGAATCTGGCAGGAAATCGATCGAGGAGTCCGGGAAGGTCACCGAGCTATTCGCCGCCCTGAAAGATACAGCGACTGACCTTGACCTTGAGATGGAGCCGAACCTCCGCAGAACGCACATCACCGATATAGTGGCAGCTCTTGGCGCATTCCCCTCGCTTTCCCCGGGCATGGAGGTTCTGCTGGAACCTGAAGTTGCGAACGTGATTTCGAACCTCGACACCGATCGACGCAGTCTTTCTACTGCCAAGGATCATATCGCATCCTCGTTCCGCAACCGCGCAGGTGTTATAACAACCAAGCTCGCGAGTGACGGGATGGCCGACGCAGACCGCGATGTGCTGGAAAGGATGGCGTCGACAGGTGAGTATACCCAGCACGGTTCTGCATACTGGTGACTTAGAAGTCTGCAAAGACATCGGAAAGAAGGCGTTTGCAGAGGGTGTCGTCACTGCGCAACTCTTCGATGCTCTCGGGCGCGTGCAAGACCGTGGGATGGATCCTGAGTTGCGAAAGGCACGCGTCACCGACATAATATGGGTTTTGGGCAAGTTTATGGCATTGCCGCCCGGTGCGAAGCAATACCCGAGGCACGACTTGAGAAAGTTGTTGTCCAATGCCTATCAGGAGCGGCCAGAAATCGATGAGGCCATAATGCAGATCAAGCGGATATTCACTGGCAGTGCGTTGCACTCATGTATGTTGTATCTCATACCTTCTAACTCTCGATATTGTCCACAGGGCTGCTCAAGGCCGTTGAAGGTCATACTGGCCATGTGTACTCTGTCTCATTCTCTCCGGATGGCTCGCAATTCGCGTCGGGCTCTCGGGACATCACGATCCGCATTTGGAACGCGGACACCGGAAAGGAAGTCGGCGAGCCTTTACGGGGGCACACGAGCGGCGTCAACTCGGTGTCGTTTTCCCCCGATGGAAAGCGCCTTGCCTCTGGCTCAATGGACCGCACCGTGCGGCTGTGGGACGTGGAGACATGGCAGCAGATCGGGCAGCCGCTCGAAGGGCATGCGCGGCCGGTTTTGTGTGTCGCATTCTCACCCGACGGCGACCGCATCGTCTCGGGCTCACGCGACGAGACGCTCCGACTCTGGGACGCGCAGACGGGACGGGCCATCGGCGAGCCTTTACGGGGTCACTCTGACTGGGTTCGGAGCGTCGCATTTTCACCGGATGGGGAGAACATCGCCTCTGGATCCGACGACAGGACAATTCGACTCTGGGACGCCGAGACAGGCGAGCCAGTTGGGGACCCGCTGCGAGGCCACGATGGCCCCGTTTTGTCAGTCGCATATTCCCCCGATGGCGCGCGCATCGTCTCGGGCTCCGAGAACAAGACGATCCGGATCTGGGACACTCAGACAAGGCAGACAGTGGTGGGGCCACTGCAAGGGCACGAAGGCCCGGTTCGCTCCGTGGAATTCTCGCCGGATGGCAAGCACGTCGTCTCCGGCTCCGACGACGGCACGATGCGGATATGGGACGCGCAGACGGGACAGACCGTGGCGGGGCCTTGGGAAGCTCACTGGGGGGTTTCTTCCGTCGCGTTCTCGCCCGATGGCAAGCGCATCGTCTCTGGGGGTGGTGACAATGTGGTGAAGATATGGGATGGAGAGGTCGATTAGGCCAGCGTGGGATATCGGGATGGGATCGTTTTCGAGGTGCGTATCCGCTTTCGTCGTGCATGGACCTCCCTGACGAGTAATGGTAGTTAACGGCGTCGATTCACGTCCACCGGCTAGAAGCGCATGAAGTGGAGATCACCCGCGAAACATCATCCATGCAGTCATTATACTAGCTTGGAATTTGTCAACGGCATGAAAGGCGCACCAGGTACCGTTCGTGCGACTCAGTATGCGCCATGTTTCCATACAAATCTTCCAAGGTGTGCCCGTACCGTACGCCGTGTATATTTGCATCGGTGCCCGTTCTCGTCCACGTAGTGCACTCATGTACCATACGCCCTGAATAGAGCTGTTCACCGGAGGCGACACTGTAACATTCATACAACAACGAAATACAACAGCGGGCGAGTGATTAGGGTGCCCAGGGAACAAAATATCTCCACGCCGCCGCAGAATTTCAAGTTTTCTACTATCCATCGAGAGAAAAGGTGTTCGACGGAGGCAAGTGAGGTACTGAGTGCAGCGTCAGTAACGCTAGCGCAGTTGAGATGCTGCCTTGCCTTGTAACTGTCATCCCTCCGTTCCGTCACCATCTTTTCCCATGGAAGGTCGCCCAGCGCATGGACCCCGGTGCTTCGACGCGCCCTGGGCAGATGTCCGTCGTCCATCCCTGCTCCCAGCGAACCGTCTTCGACCCGGCGCGATCAACGTCCAGCGTGGTCCGTGCATGGCTTGGGGACGACCAGCGCGGCCGAGCAGGTGCCATCAGTCGACGGTCCGAGGCAGCTAGCGAAGGTCGGAAGCAGATTGATACACCTCAGCCACAACGTCAGAGGGGGTGGAAGGCGCCGCGTAGTTAACCTGCTCGCCCAGCCTTGATCTGTCGTATTCCCCAGAGACCGGAATGCCGTCGGCGAAGAGGCCGTGAGCGCATCTTGATGAGCGAAGGTCTTTAAACGGCCCGTTGGGAGCGACGGACGGCATGGGTACCCGTCGTGTAGGTCGTGCTCCATCGCGCGGGAGGACGGATCGAGGATGGGCGAAAAGCTGGCACGGCCATCAGAATCGTTGAGGACCGGTGCGGCCATTAGTCCATCCATTCTCAGACAAAGCTTCCCCCCCTCGCGCGTCCTTGGGACTGCAATCGGCACATGCGCCGCGCATTGGACTCATGACCGGCGTTCAAGATGCGTATTCTGCGTAAGTGTCCGTTGTGCCGTTGTCACTCTGTGGCAGCCTTCGCAGAGACTCCGGACGATACTCGTGTGGCGTACAAACCCATCTTCCGGCCCATCAATGAACGTCGATGCCGCCAAGTCTGGCGCTCACGCCATCCTCAGCAACCAGGGTGCTGGGAGTGCCTGAATATTCGCTGGCTGGAAGTGCATGAAGCGGGGATCATCCGCGGTACAACATTCATGGCAAGTTCAGCACTACCTTGGTCGTTGCCAACAGCTTGGCAGATGCCCCGAAGTCCACCCCGGTGCCTTAGCCGCCGTCGTAATCCGCCTCGACTCTGCAAGGGACCTGATTGGTAGCGTACGTTGGCAGCGATCGAAACCGCGATGTGCCGTTGTCGACTCGGTGCTCATCGCTACGTTCGTGTCGCGCAGCCGCCTTCCAGAAAACCCGTCACGCCTGTGAGAGAGGTCAGCATATACGGAAGACGGGACGAGACGTAGACAGCACACGAAGCAAAAGTGTCGAGAAGCACGATCTGCCCCACACAATCCTCGGCATGATGAGGCACGCACGCAACTTGAAGCCGTGATCGATGAGGATAGGTGGGATCGTGAGCGGAAAGGATAGCGCGACGGATCCCGCCGGGGTGGGGACGTTCTTCAACGCACCCACATTGACCGCAGATAAGCACGGCGTCGCGTTCCGGGTGAGGGGCTACGCGTCGGGATCAGATATCGGTACAGACGCTCTGCATACAACGAGAACTCACCGCCGCATTGGTTGTGGCCACCATGAATCCACCCGGCCGTATTTCGCATCCGTGATCCTTCTGGTTGTTGATCGGATCTTCTTCGCAGAACGCCGCACATCGGCTTACTAACATATATACGGGGTTGAAGCCCAATACATCGAGGATACGTCGGCGCTCACCGCGGACGCATGCACGAGCAGGAAGACGTCGAGGCGGGCACAGACAGACCATCGTGAAACCGTCTGTCGATGTCGATCGTTCGAGGCGAGAGCGCCGTCAGACGACGGTCGCTATATTCGCGCATTAGCTGAACTCGTCTGCGGGACCAAGCGGAACAGGGGGTGTGAGGAGAGGGTGATCGTAACACACAGAGGATGCGCGCATACATAGGGTGGATATCACGGACTCCTGCTGCAGATGTGCGATCCTCTCGGAATTTGGGGTGATTGGTAATCGGGTGCAGCTGTGCGGAGAACTGGGCGAGGTCTAGCTGGCGGGCACGCTGCGTCGGCGCAGGCGATTATACAGCCTTTGGTGCGAGGACATCGAGCGAGGATGAGCCTGAAAACCTAGCGCGGACATTGTGAGCGAGGCTATGGCGGGGCGGGTGTCCGAACTCAGATCCCTCTCGCTTCAGAGGCGTTGGCAGGCGAATCGGCCCAGAGCTCTTGAGCGCGACAGCGGTGACAGCTGCTCTCGGCTGCTCGGCATCTCCCTCAGCTCCTGAACGTTACGCTTGCGGCTCACCTCGACGATCTGGAAGTCGCGCTCAGCTCGGGACGCTCTCTTCTCGGCCTCTCCTAGCGTATCTCTAAATGATCCCCGCCCGGCATACCTTCCTTACATTCTCGCACGAGTCTTGGCCGTCCAACGCCTGTGATGCCAACGTACTCAAGAAGTCGCAGGATCGACTGCAGCGCGTACTGCACGCAGGCTGGCATTCCTCCATCGGCAACGCAAGGTGAGCGATCTGTACTTTGTACATTATGGCCGTCCGCGAGGTTCCCAGCGCGCAAATTACTGAGGGGACCGTGGATCCCCCGAAACCTCGGTGTTGAGCGTGCTGGTCGCGTGGCTGGGTTGGCCTTTTCGATCCTCTCCCCCTGTTGCACTTCCCCGGTCGTGTGCTGAAGCCTTTACAGGATCGGCCGCTTTCCGTGCTTCCTTTGAAACTCCCTCGCACGCGTAGCTGCTCCAATCACCCGGCCGTACCGCGGTTACGCTCGCCGGCCACTTTCAGATCGGAAGCCCGGCAGCACGAACTTGCTGTGATCTTCGGGGAGGCGCTATCGGCACACCACCTCGAAGCTGGCTCCCGTGATCTCAATGATGTATGCGTGCATAGCACAGGCCGACAACAAGCCGTGCCCGATGAATGCGCTGCCAGGGGCTCCAGGGAAAGGATGCGAGGTGGATTGTAGGTACGTTCGCCACCTCCTATCACCGCGTCGACTTCGACGACATGCTGATGCGCGTTTTCTTTCACATAGCCCTCGCTATTCCAAGACGCGACTCCTATGATGATCGGCCTGCCCAGGCTCGCAGGATGAGCGCGGCAGGGTATGGCGTCCGAACGTATGCGCGAGATCCCTATGTACGTGTGTTACCCCTGCGCGGTTCGTATTGATGATGATGATCGTATAGACACGTGGGGTGGTAGATGGACGGCCAAGGACAGGGTGCGACTGCACAAGTCAGGAGTCGAGTCAGCTCGCTGCTCTCCGCGATGGTGGCGGGGCGCGCATGGCTCGCCTTGCATGCATGCGCCACGCTTTATTCTCCCACGTCGCATAAGTCGGCGTATGCAAAGGCAACACCCCTTGTGAATTCATCGACGCCGAGCCGGAGCGTTGGATCGGTGAATTCATTGAATGCCTTAGCTGCGCACATACCTACCGTTGGCCATCTCCGCTCTCCCCGCGAGATCGTTTACTCGAGCGGGCTTGCAACGCGCCGACCGCGCATGGCCGGAGCTGCCTGATCCTCTTACACTCAAGGCCTTGCGCTCGCATAAGGCTCGTTTTGAGCGTGTTCGTTGCGCCATCGTCGAGTGCTACAAGCCATAGAACTAATTTCCGCGATCCAGAACACCTAGTAAGTTTGGATACCGTCCTTGTCGTGTTCACCGTCAAGTGCTTCAACTCACGCATATCGCCGCTCTCAGCGAAAAGCGTGAGCGCCATCAAGAGCCTTGAACTTTCATAGATGACACGGTCGGCCTCAAGGATACACGCATGCCGCGATGATGGAACTCTTCGAACCCCATCCGATACGAAACTTGCATTTTGATGTTCCGGCACAGGAGATGGATAATAGCATACGCGTGCGTTTGATTCCCGTTTTGACCACCAGCCGCTTGTGCTCATTCCGGCTCTATTCTTGCCATGCAGCTTGTACACAGCTCGTGGCTTGATGCCTCATGGATGCGCACTCAAGCGAGAGTGATATGGTTCATGCTGTCACGGAAGGGCGTTTGGAGCATCGTGAAGGCATGCAGCTGGCAGTCACCGATCGCATGTAGAGCACAAATGAAAACTCGGAAGTTCCACCTTCGCTCAACGCAGCGTTTGACGGTGTGGCGCACCGGCCGGTGTCAGAAGCTTGCAGGAACCGTGCATGAGACCGCAAGAACCGCGGGCAGCTATTAAAGACTCGCGCGTCGTGGGACACGCGAGGCACGTACGTGGGCATCACAAGAACGCATCGAAGGCAGAGAGCCGTCCTGTTCCCGCCGAAGACGTCGTGCGTACACGTTGCGAAGCATGCCCTCGTTCGGGATAGGCACATGAATCTCGATTTGTGTAGATGAACATGGAGTGGGGCTCGACGCACGACGGATGCCTCACGGTGCTCTTCCCCTTCTTATCGGCGAATGCTGTGAGCAATGCGGAGTGAGCGAGGCAAGCCGGTGTGCTTTCGTTCTCTGCATCTTAAGTACTCGCCCTCGACACCTCACACTCGAGACCGTGGACTACTCACAATCCGTCTCCCTACTGCATATGCCCGACTCCGGAGTCAACGCGCGCCGTTCAACCTCCATGCCTCCGAATCATGTATGACCATCCTTTTCACGCCAGTTTGACACTCTGACGCCGACATCACTCACAGGGATCCATAGAGCCGGACACCATCCCGATGGCCGGTCAACCTGAGATGCCAGCGCGGCAAAAAGCCGATCCTCCGGCATGCGCGTGCTTCGAACGTCGGGGCAGAAATCTCGTCGTATGCATCGACGGTACCGCCAATCAGTTCTCGGCAAAGGTCGGCTTCCTGAAGGCTTCCCGCTCGTGCCATGATCTGCTGAACATCCATCGCAGAATACCAACGTTGTCGAGCTTTACAGCCGCTTAGTGAAGGCCAGCTCACGTACTACAACAGTGGGATCGGCACGTATGTTCGAGGATCGAAGTTTTCCCCCACACGCTGGATGCAAGCCCTTGACCACAACATCGATATGGCGATCGCTTGGTCCGCTATCCGATTCTCTCACTGTGATCTTGGCTTCAATTCCATGGCGTAGGCACTTCAAGCGGATCGTCCTCAGCGCATATCAATGGTTGTCCGAAAACTACGAAGACGGTGATAGAATATTTCTCTTTGGTGGGTGCAGGTCCAACTGAATCATCCAGTGACTTACCGAACGTGTAGGGTTCTCGAGAGGCGCGTACCAAGCCCGCGTCATCGCAGGTATGATTGAGTGGGTGCGTGGTCTAATCGGCCTGATTACACGAATCGGGATCTGATGAGCAGGGCGTTCCAAAGGTTGGCCTTCTGCACAAGGGAAACAATGAGCAGATCGCGTTGTGAGTAGGCACCAGCCTCTGAGGAACATCTCGATGACATGATACAAGCGCATACGAGCTGTATATGGCCATCACCGCCATGCAAACCCGTGCGTCTACCTCAGGGAAATCGCCCAACTCGACCGCGACGACGCCTGCCCTCGCTGGCGAGCCAAGCCCCATGGAACTTAGTGCGCGGTTCAAGTCTACTCTTTCGCGGCGCAATGTCAAGGTCCACTTCGTGGGTGCATGGTAAGCGCTAAAGCGATTCTATGCCGTCGAGTCGCTGATCATTCTTCCAGGGATACCGTCTCTTCTATCGGCTTCGCGCGTGGCAAAAGTCTTCCGGAAACCACGACGGGCATGTCCCATGTTTGCGTGTTTAGGCATGCACTTGCCCTTGACGAGCGTCGGGTCAAGTTTCTCCCCGAGTATGCGAACGGCGGCGCGGGACCAAAGGAGGCACGCAGCAACATCAAAGAAGTTTGGTTCGCAGGCTCTCATTCCGACATGTAAGCTGCTCGCACGAACCTCCGACGAGATGCTAACCCATATTTAGCGGGGGAGGCAATGCGTCCAATCTCGGTCTTGATAAGTTCGGACCTTCGTTGCGTTGGATGACAAACGAAGCCACGATCTCTGGTCTCCTGGTGGAAGATTTCCGTGGCGAGTGGCAGCTCGTGGGGAAGCCCACAAAGTCCATGAACTGGTTTTGGTTGATTATGGAATGTTTGCCTTTCACTCGGCTGTCGTACAATCCCGTTCGCAGCGATGTCGAGGCACATACGACCAATCGGCGAGTATACCCCAGCTTCTTTCGTCCCAGCTTCTCCTAGCTGATGATGCATCACAAAACGCTAGTCCTCATTTTTGTGCACCTCGCCAGGTGATGGATGGCCAGTTGATCCATGAATCTGTTTTCCTTCCGGATCCGCAGACGTTCCGAAGGCCGGCAGCACGTCTTCCATCGCAAATAACGTGGGACGCCATAGCCACGGACGTTAGTAAGGAGCGCATAGAACCGGATCCTTACACATCGACGGGAGATGTCATTCAAGATATCCTACAAGGGGAGCGTTCAGCTTATAACCGCAGGGTACTCATGACTCTGGTATCGTCGGGTGAGTGAGACTGCGCGGAGATCACATCACTCAAATATAACGATCCTTTCACAGAGACTGGCAGGAACATCATAGAACGGGATACGGACGTGGCGCAGCTGTTCAAAGCTCTGGACTTCATTCGTACGCGCGATGATATAGAGGCGGAAGAGCGTAAGGCATGCCTCGCCAACTGCCTCCTTGCTCTTGGCGCATTTCGCAGTCTACCCGCCGACGACGCAGTACAAGAATGGACGCTCGCGACTGCAAATCTTTTATATCATGATGACAACCAGCAGATCCGTCAGGCTTTCGATGAACACGATGTTCACCAGGCAGTCTATCAGATTCGTGCTTTGTTTCAGGACGCCGTGCGGAAGATCATGGACGCTCTTACGGGCGGTGAGCCGATGTCGGATCTTGAGCGGCGGGTACTCGCTATGTTGTGGACGTCTGGTACGCCTTTCTTCGTGCCATTCACTCGGTGGTGCTCGCTCTAAGCCTACGGCATCAGACTCTGGGAAGGAGGTGATCACAAGGTGTTCCGACGTAAACACGCTATTCAACACGCTCAGCGTTGTACAGAACGACGTTAGCATGACAGTAGAATCACGAAAGCATCGCAGCACGGACTTGGCCATAGCTCTCAGCGCGTTTGACCCAAGCGCTTACGCTGCTGAGAAGGACCGGGAGTTCGCCAAGTGCCTACCAGACATCGACACGCAACGTCCGGGAATCGGCTCCGAGTTGCTGCGTTTCATTTCTCTACGGCTCGCGCAACATCTGGTCGCCAAGCTCGAACGTTTGGATCCGGACCATGATATGCTCGAAGTCTTGCTATCGTCGGGTCAGCAGATCCAGAATACTGAACAAAAGCCCAAGCTGAATTCACACAGAAATAGGGCGAGAATCGATAAGGGACGCCACGGACATTTCTCGCCTGCTAGAGTCTCTCGCTGCCGGCCGAAGCAACAAAGCAATGCCGCTAGAGACGTGGCAGATATATGTGACCGATGTAGCGTTTGTTCTTGGCACGTTTTCCTCACTACCGAGTAGCGTATGCCCGTATCGCAACAGCGACTTGACGGATCTGTTCTCCGATGCTGATGTGCAGCGACCTGGGGTTCGGGAGAACATGGATCGAATAAGGCAGATATTCGGCGACAGTGCGTGTCCTCCTATGTGTCATGCGTCATAATCTAACTCTCGATATTGTCTACAGGGCTGCTCAAGGCCGTTGAGGGACATACCAACATCGTGTGCTCCGTCTCATTCTCTGCTGATGGCTCGCAAATCGCCTCGGGCTCAGGGGACAACACCATCCGGATTTGGAACGCGGACACCGGAAAGGAAGTCCGCGAGCCTTTACGGGGGCACACGAGCTACGTCAACTCGGTGTCGTTTTCCCCCGATGGAAAGCGCCTTGCCTCGGCCTCCACTGACGGGACCGTGCGACTGTGGGATGTGGAGACAGGGCAGCGGATCGGGCAGCCGCTCGAAGAGCATACGAACTGGGTTTGCTGTGTCGCATTCTCACCCGACGGCAACCGCATCGTCTCGGGCTCAGTCGACCGCACGCTCCGACTCTGGGACGCGCACACGGGACAGGCCATCGGCGAGCCTTTCCGGGGTCACTCTGACTATGTTCAGAGCGTCGCCTTTTCACCGGATGGGAAGCACATCGCCTCTGGATCCAGCGACAGCACGATTCGACTCTGGGACGCCGAGACAGGCGAGCCAGTCGGGGAACCGCTGCAAGGCCACAATAGCTCCGTTTTTTCAGTTGCATATTCCCCCGATGGCACGCGCATCGTCTCGGGCTCCTACGACAAGACGATCCGGATCTGGGACACTCAGACAAGGCAGACGGTGGTGGGGCCATTGCAAGGGCACAAAAAAGACGTCAACTCCGTGGCATTCTCGCCGGATGGCAAGCACGTCGTCTCCGGCTCCGAAGACGGCACGATGCGGATATGGGACACGCAGACGGGACAGACCGTGGCGGGGCCTTGGGAAGCTCACGGTGGCGAATATGGGGTGCGTTCCGTTGCGTTCTCGCCCAATGGCAAGCGCCTCGTCTCGGGGGGTTATGACAACATGGTGAAAATATGGGATGGAGAGGTCGATTAGGCCAGCGTGGGGTGTCGGGATGGGATCGGTTTCGAGGTGCGTATCCGCTTCCGTCGTGCATGGACCTCCCTGACGAGTCAATGGTAGTTGACGGCGTCGATTCGCGTCCGCCGGCCAGAAGCGCATGAAGTGGAGATCGCCCGCGAAACATCATCCATGCAATTATGATATTATCTTGGACATTGCCGCGGCTTGAAAGGCGCCCCAGGTACCGTTCGCGCGACTCAGTAGGCGCCATGTTTCCATACCCAGATCTTCCAAGGTGTGCCCGTACCGTACGCCGTGTATATTTGCATCGGTTCCCCGTTCTCGTCCACGTAGTGCACTTATGTACCATACGCCCTGAATAGAGCGGTTCACCGGAGGCGACAGTAGTAACATTCATACAACGACGAAATACAACGGCGGGCGAATGATTAGGATCCCCAGGGAACGAGTGATTTTCACGTCGTCGCACATCCTAGATTTTCTACTATCCATCGAGAGAAAAGGCGTCCGACGGAGGGAAGTGAGGTACTGAGTTCAGTGTTAGCAACGCTAGCACAGTTGGGATGCGACGTTACCTTGTAAATGTCATCCCTCCGTTCCGTTACCATCTGCCCATCGAGGTTCACCCAGCGCGAGGAGCCCGATCCTTCGACGCGCCCTGGACAGATGATCGTCGTCCATCCCTCCTCCCAGCCGCCCTCTTCGACCCGGCGCGATCGACGTCCAGCGTGGTTCGTGCATGGCTTGGGGACGACAAGCGGCCGAGCAGATGCCATCGGTCGACGGTCCGGGACGGGGAGCGAAGGATGGATGCAGGTTGATACACCTCAGCAGCACGTCGGAGGCGGAAGGCGCCGCGTACTTGGCCTGCCCCCGTAGCCTTGACCTGTCAAATTCCCGAGCCCAGAATACCGTCGGCGAAGAGGCCATGAGCGCATCTTGACGGCGCCGATGGTCTTTGAACGATCGTCGCCACTTGGGAGGATCGACGGACGGCGTGGGCACCCGTCGTGTAGGTCGTGCTCGATCGCGCGGGAGGTTGGATCGAGTATGGGCAAAGAGCTGGGACGGCCGTCAGCATCGTTGTGGACCGGTGCGGGCATCAGTCCATCCACTTACAAGAAAGGCTTTGCCTCTCGCGCGTCCTTGCGACCGCGATTGAGACTTGCATCGGCGCATATGGTCCATCATGTTGACCTTCGTCCGTCTGATCGCCGGCGCAAAGGAGCATCCGAAGTTGGGAAGGGGGGTGGAGGGAACGTTGATGGGCGAGAAGACTCCTCAAAAGCTCAGCAAAGCAAGCGGGACAGGACAATCGCATATTTGCTGATGTGTCCCCGGTTCGGGAAGGCTCAGGCGGCGGAGCTGGACGCGGAAGCGGAGCGTCGGCACAGACCTCGGACACCCCAGAGAGGGCGAGAACTTGCCATTGCCTGGACTGCTTGAGCGCTTGCCGTTACTAAGCCGAGAGCTGCGTCGTCGTCAAGCACCGCCGGCCGTCGGGAAGCTAAGCTGGAGGTAGGTCAGTTTGCGCTCGAGCGCTCGCGATCGCGACGGAACTCGCTTCAGATGGTTCCTCGCGATATTGGGATCCTGGCGTGGGGTCGTCGAGTCGATGCCGCGCCCGTTACATTAGCGCGATGGCGCTGCCGCTTGCCTTGTGTGCCCGGTCTGCAGAAAAAGAGTATTAGCATGTTGGGGATGTAAAAGAGGCGTAGGCGCGCACGGAGAATGTCCTTCGAATACACACCACCCGACGTGATGTCTCCCGGAAGCTCGAACCGATGAGCTTTTCGAAATACGGCTTCGAGCGTTGGTAGGCCATGCGACGGGGGCAAGGGAAGCGCGGGGGATTCGACTATGGGGACGTGCTTCGACATGGACGTGTCGAGCCCGGCAGATTATATTCCGTCACGCGGAGCTGCATGCTGAGGTTAGACATCTGCGTGATCACCGCGCATACGGCAACGACTTACCATCGTCGATTTTGCAAAGGTGTCGTGGCCCGCCCAGTCCACTATGCATCCGACCTGCCTTTGGCTGCTCATCAGGTCCTCATCGTGGAACGCCGCGCATCGCGTCACTTAAACAAATGTGAGATGGAGTCCGAGGCCTGGAGAACAGTTCGTCACTGACTCCCGGCGTATGTGCAAGCAGAAGGTGATGAGACGCACGCAGGCCGCCGGCGCAGCGTCCGCCCATGTGAAGACGTTGAGGCAGGAGCGCCAGTACATGCAGACCACGTTATTCAGCTGGCATTCGACCCGCATACCATATCTGTGGAAAACAGAGGGAGGTCGAAACACGGCGATGACGATGCAGCGAGGGCGAGCAACGTGCATGGGATAAACCGGCGAATGAGATCTCCTCTTCAGCGTGACAGAACTTGGGCGTGGGTTGTGCGCCGTTGGATTGGCAGGCGACAAAGGTAATGCGATGTCATCGCCGCATATTGGTCGATTATCATTGAGGCGAGCGCATGGATTGCAGGGAGTGGGAGAGGCGTATCGCGGGCAGAGCGACGAAGGCCGTGAGCGGGGGCGTAAGTATACGTGAGGACGGACAAGTCGCTCGCGGTTCACAGGAACATCTCGGTTCAGAGCTCCGGTGAGAGTGCGAGAGCCGATGACGTCGGGATCGTCGGTCGCCTTTGCCCGCCAACCGCCTTGGACATCTTTCCTTTCCAGATCTCGACTCTGCTTCCAAACAAGGAACGTCGCTTCTAATCCTGGAGCGGACCACCTCTGTCAGCTCAGCTCAGCTCTCTTGCGACTCTCGGCTCTGCTGGCACCACCTACATACCGACGTTTCTAGGCGCGCATCCCGCATGAAACCACAAACGCAGGACTCACCGGCGATCGCGTCTTCACCGGCGTTGTTTCCAAGTTTGGAGTTCTGGTGAGTACCACGCCGTCCTACCCTTCATGGCGGCCCGAGAGGATGCTGGTGCAGGATTCTGCTGTGGGGAGCGCGGAGTCCCCGAAACCTCGGCGGATGATCGTACCTTGGCGCCTGCTCGGGTTGACCACCTGACATTTGGGCGTTCACCAAATGCGTGTTGCGAGTCGGACTGACTTGTTGACAGGCGCACGGGAGCCCGGTCAATCCTGGCATATCGACCGTCCGAGGCAACCCTTCGTTCGCGGCGCAATACGGATCTCAAGTCAACTCTGGGCAAGCCCCGCGACTTTGTCTTTTCCCGCCTGCAGCCCTTCCTCTGCCTTAGGTCACGCTTCCATGAGGCAGATCCAAACACAACGCCCGCGGCATATAGTGCATCGCGCAGGAATTCCGCTGCTCGCATCGCACGTCAACCGAGCTTGCGATAGAGTTGCTGCATCCCGTCATAGGTACGCCTGCCATCCTCGCCTTATGGCATTTTTCGACACTCGAGCCGACGATCACAACATCTTCATAGTCCACGCTCTGCAAGACAGCGCAACGCGCCGTTTCGGCCCGCGGATGCTCTCGGTTCGTCCACAGAGCTCACGGTCATGGCTGTGTGAATATATACATGCAAGATCTCGCTAGACACACCTTTTTTTTGCTGGCCAAGAGAGTTGCATGCGAGGACTAACAGCCTCGATGCAGGCGGGCGATACGAGCTCGATCGTGAACGACATGCTTTGGTTGAATCAGTTCGACGTGAGAGGCTCGCCTGACGCGCATGCGCCGCTCTTAGGGTCCATGACCGGCAAAGACGATTCGCAAGGCGTACAGGTGTCCGTCGTGGGTCCACGGCAATCTCTACAGAGCCTCCGATGATATTGATCCGGCATGCAGACCCGTCATCTGGCCCATCCGCCAGCGTCCGCGTCGCGATGTCGGGCGTCCACGCTGACATAGTCAACCGGAGGCCCCGCGCGCCTGATCTTCGGCGACGCAAGATCGCGTTTCAACGCGATACGGAGCACATATGCGCGTGGGGTAGTCGGTTCAGCTGAGACGGTGGATTCTTTACCCGCGAGTCATCTTTTATACAGTGGATGTCGCAGCTGTGTAACTCCATGCGGCAATTCGATGGTCGCAATGAAACGCGGCATAGCATTTCGTCGGTATTAGGGCCATGAATGAATATACCACTGCTCACGATACGGCATTGCCAGTGTCCCCAATCTCTTGTCGTCGTAGCATGGCTTGCTGCTATCACCGAAATCCACAATCCCAGCGCCCATAAGGTATACAGAAGCTCCAGGCTGTGTGCAACGATTCGTAGCTTACGAATGAGCCCAGCCATCCTTCTCCGAAATCCACAATCCCAGCGCCCATAAGGTATACAGAAGCTCCAGGCTGTATGCAACGATTTGTAGCTTACGAATGAGCCCAGCCATCCTTCTGTGCATGTTCTCCCGCGTGAGTATATCGGTCCAATGGCAATGCACACACACAACAGCCTACCGCACTGCCGCCACGCGTTGTGCAAAGGTGATACACGAGCGAACAGCCATCCTTGCCGCTTTAACCCAGATGGGCCTCTCGGCGCTGATCGTGATACAAGCTATCGACGACATCGACGAGCCGCATCCGTCGCTGACCCTTTGCCCCACGGCTTCCTCACCTGCTGCCAGAGCGACGTTACATGGACGACATTTCTGCAACTCATACCGCGGGTTTGCAGGAGAGGATAGACTGGTTAGACTACGTGAGTGATGATCACACGTACCGCAAAACGACCAAAACAGGAAACTCAGCATGCTCTGCAGCGCCTCGACCAGATACGTCGAACGGACGATGAATTTCGAACGTCCCTGCGCTCGCTGAGAGAACTGTGCGGCGAAAGCGGGCTTGTACCCACCAGGTACAGGTTGTCGGGACTGGCCAGGGTTGGGACAGATCCACCTTGCGCTGGTGGATTTGCCGACGTATATCGGGGGACCTTCAATGGCAAATTTGTGGCTCTGAAGTTCATGCGACTGCACGTCAGGGAGAGGAAATCGTTCATGAAGGTGTGTAACCTACGTTGCCAGACCACAATTATTCGCTCGGTCAACTGGCGAAAACGATCAGGTGTTCTGCAGGGAGGCCGTCGTCTGGAAACGACTGAATCACCCTCATATCGTTCCCTTCATCGGCATCGAACCGTCGTACCAAGCGTGTATCGTGTCGGAATGGATGGAGCATGGCGATGTCATTTCGTATCTCGAAAGTCACCCGCATGCGAATCGCGTTCAACTCGTGAGCGCCGCGTCTCGCTGCGCACCGTGTTAAGCTCACGGAGTCACGACAGATCACGGACATCGCTCGTGGCTTGGAGTACATGCATGTCAGCGGTCTCGTTCACGGGGATCTCAAAAGCGTGAGTGTGTATCTGCCTGAACGGTCGATCAATATTCAGTCTTCGGGACCAGCGCAATGTCCTTGTTGACAACCTTGGGTATGCGCGTCTCAGTGACTTTGGTCTCGCCACGACAGTTTTTGGTACCACCTCTTTGGCGCCGACGGCTGGGTCGTCAGCAAATTGGGGCTCGTTCCGTTACATGGCCCCTGAGTTGTCCGATATTGCGGCAAAGGATAAGAGGTTAACGTCGAAGTCTGACGTGTATGCGTTTGGTATGACCGCATGGGAGGTAAGCACATTCCGCCATGGCTGAACCACGCAAACAAACACTCTGTACAGATTTTCACTGAGAGGCGCCCGTTCTACGATATCCCACACGAGCTTGTGGTTCTTCTCCAAGTTCGCGACGGCAAGCGACCAGAGCGTCCTCTTCATGCACCAGGTCTGGACGATTTCATCTGGAGTAATGTCATCAGCTCCTGCTGGGTAGCACGTCCGTCTAAGCGACCTCGGATCTCGGAAGTACTAAATCGGCTTCAATGGTATGAAACTGCTCGACGGTTGATTGCGAAGCTGCTGGATGAAGGCCTTGCGGAGGTGGATCGTCAAGTGCTCGACGAGATGCTCTCTACAGGTTGGCCACGTCATCATGTTCCCACAAGCTCTGTACTGAACTCGCACAGAGACGGGCAGGAATGCTATATTCAATATCGCTGATGCAAGCACACTTTCTGAGTCTCTTGAAACCATTCTCGGCGAATCAACAGACTCATGTTTGCGCGAGATGCGTGCAATTGATACGATATGGATTCTCGACACAATGTCGTCGTTCCTGCCAGACGTGAACTTGAAGCGATATCCCAGACGTGTGATGAACAAACTTGTGCCTCATGTTGACAAGAGGCAACCGGGGATCCGGCAGGCGATGGCGAGGATGACGATATTCGGTGGTACGTCGCGGTGTTTGGATGTGTTGCGCGCGTTGTATTGACTTCATCGTCAGGGCAGGCTCTGCAGCATACAATGCAAGGTCATTCTGGCGCTGTGTACTCCGTCTCATTCTCTCCGGATAACTCGCAAATTGCCTCGGGCTCCGGGGACAACACCATCCGGATTTGGAACGTGGACACCGGAAAGGAAACCCGCAAGCCTTTACGGGGACACACGAGCGAGGTCTACTCGGTGTCGTTTTCCCCCGATGGAAAGCGCCTTGCCTCTGGCTCAATGGACCGCACCATGCAGCTGTGGGACGTGCAGACAGGGCAGCAGATCGGGCAGCCGCTCAGAGGGCATACATCCCTGGTTCTGTGTGTTGCATTCTCACCCGATGGCAACCGCATCGTCTCGGGCTCAGCCGACAAAACGCTCCGACTCTGGGACGCGCAGACGGGACAGGCCATCGGCGAGCCTCTACGGGGTCACTCTGACTATGTTCAGAGCGTCGCCTTTTCACCGGATGGGAAGCACATCACCTCTGGGTCCGGCGACAGCACGATTCGACTCTGGGACGCCGAGACAGGCGAGCCAGTCGGGGACCCGCTGCGAGGCCACGATGGCTGGGTTTGGTCAGTCGCATATTCCCCCGATGGCGCGCGCATCGTCTCGGGCTCCTACGACAAGACGATCCGGATCTGGGACACTCAGACAAGGCAGACGGTGGTGGGGCCACTGCAAGGGCACAAAAAAGGTGTCTACTCCGTGGCATTCTCGCCGGATGGCCAGCACGTCGTCTCCGGCTCCGAAGACGGCACGATGCGGATATGGGACGCGCAGACGGGACAGACAGTGGCGGGGCCTTGGGAAGCTCACGGTGGCGACTGGGGGGTTTGGTCTGTTGCGTTCTCTCCCGATGGCAAGCGCCTCGTCTCGGGGGGTCATGATAATGTGGTGAAAATATGGGATGGAGAGGTCGATTAGGCAAGCGTGGGGTGTCGGGATGGGATCGGTTTCGTGGTGCGTACTATCCGCTTTTGTCGTGCATGGACCTCCCTGACGAGGAATGGTAGTTGACGGCGTCGATTCGCGGCCACCAGCTAGAAGCGCATGAAGTGGAGATCGCCCGCGAAACATCATCCAGGCAGTCATGATGCTAGCTTGGAAGTTGTCAACGGCATGAAAGGCGCAACAGGTACCGTTCGCGCGACTCAGTATGCGCCATGTTTCCATATCCAGATCTCCCAAGGTGTGCCCGCACCGTACGCCGTGTATATTTGCATCGGTTCCCGGTTCTCGTCCACGTAGTGCACTTATGTACTATACGCCCTGAATAGAGCGGTTCACCGGAGGCGACAGTAGTAACATGCATACAACGACGAAATACAGGGGCAGGCGAATGATTAGGATGCCCAGGGAGGGAACGAAGGATTTTCACGTCGTCGCACATCCTAAATTTTCTACTGTCCATCGAGAGAAAAGGCGTCCGACGGAGGGAAGTGAGGTACTGAATGCACTGTCAACAACACCAGCGCATTTCGGATGCGACATTACCTCGTAATCGTTATCCCTCCGTTCCGTCACCATCTGTTCCCATCGAAGTTCGCCCAGCGCACGGAACCCGGTATTTTAACGCGTCCTAGACAGATGTTCATTGTCCATACCTCCTACAAGCCGCCCTCTTTGATCCGGCGCGATCAACGTACAGGGTGGTCCGTTCATGGCTTGGGGGCGACAAGCGCGGCCGAGTGCCATCGGCCGAAGGTCTGGAGCCGGCGAGCGAAGGGCGGATGCAGACCGATGCACCTGAGTAGCACGTCATATGGGGGGCATGGGATGATGCTCGACACGTCGAGAGTGTAATGTCGCTCACCGCGGACTAAATGCACGGGGGCGAAGAGCGTCGATGCGTGCACAGGCCATCTATCAACGCCGGAGATTCAAGGCGTGAGCGCCGTCAGACGGTAGTCGCTATGTTCGTGCCGTCGCTGGACTAATCCATGGCCGGCGGAACAGGAAATGTCAGGCTACGGTGATTTAAGAGGACAGAGGATGGTGAATACAGAAGGTATTTACATACTCTGCTGCAGACGTGCGATCCTCTCGGGTTTTGGCATGGCCGATACTTGCGTGCATCTGGATATAAGACCGGTGGGTAGCTAGCCAACGAAAGGGTCGTGGAAGGCCTTCGTTGCGAAGATATTGAGCGAGGCCGAGGCATGTAGCACGAGGAATCAAATCAATCAAAGTGGGCAGTTCAGCGGCAAAGTGACGGGGCGCGGGTCGTGATCCTCTCATCCCAAGTCAGTCACAGTCCGGCGATGGCCCAAGTGAGTCGTGACTAGTGCAGGGGGCAAAACACGCGGAAGGTTTCGCCATGCCCTCACGCGTTCCGTCCTGCGCGGGCGACGTCACGTTCGGCGCGAACGCACGCGCGCCTAGTCGAATTCCTGAGTGACTGGAAGGGACCTACGGGCAGACCGGGGATGCGATCTGATGCAGATGACCGCCAGTTGGAATTACTGGACGATGCCGGCATCCATCGTGCTCGATCGCACAGGCAGACGCATCGAGAGATAAACTCGTCGACTTTCAAGAGGTGTTGTGCCGGTTGTCCCACACCCTCGTCCCGGGATGACAGTGTCCAAGGCTGGTGATATCGGCGGCGGAAAGGATACATTCGTCGTAGATGTCAATTTACGCCGGGTTGGGAGTACTGCTAGCATGCGAGTGTGTTCCATAGTGGCGTGCAAGCAGGCAGAGAGATGCGAATTTGCACGATTCCCACGGGCTGCCTCCGCGCGGCCACAAGGCGTTTGCTGTCCGTACAGCTGGTGTACCAACGTTGAACGTCGAACGTTGAACCTCCATCAATTGGAAAATACAGAGGCCGTTCACGAACCTGGCATCACTGTACAACCTTGCCTTCGCGCCCACTTGTTCAACCAGCCGGTATTTGGCGTCCACTGGACACTTAACGTTCAGAACGCGCTCGTCTTTCTCTGCACTTTACCTCCATGAACCTCGGGAACCTCTTAGCGAGCAAGCTACACATCTCGTCCCCTGGCCATGATGTTACCTTGGGAAAGACCATAACGGAGTTTCGCGGATCTAAGCAGGTGCGTGTCTGATGGTTCTACGGCCATCTGTCGGAGCGCTTATGTAGCGACTCTTGAATAGACGTACGACGCCTTGCTCGTCATCGACGTCGAAGCAACGTGCCAAGCTGGCACAGACTTTGCGTGGCCGAATGAAATCATCGTGGGTCCTCCATACATTCACCTGCGACCCTCCACGCTGAGCTGCATCGACTCTAGGAATGGCCAGTGTGTTTGATGCGCTGGATGGACAAGGACGGGCCTTCTGGCGTCGCCAAGGACCTGCGGATAGTGGACGAGTTCAGGGCGTTCGTGAAGCCGACTTGGAGACCGGTGCTCAGCAAGTTCTGTACGGAGTTGACGGGAATCGAGCAGGTGGTGTGCAGTTAGCCCCATGTGAGGCTCACATAAACTCATTGGGTTGTTCGGCAGGCAGATGTCGACTCGGCTCCGACCTTCCCGGAGGTTTTGGCTTCGTTTCGCGGCTTCCTCGTCAAGAACGGGCTCCTCGACGCGGAAACAGACGAACGGCTCTGTCGTTTCTGTTTCTCTAGCGACGGACCATGGGATCTTCGCGACTTTCTTGTGAAGCAATGTTTCATATCGAAGGTCTGCGGTCACCCGATGCCCCATATGAATCTATCCTCATCGGCTTGATTTAGATCGACATCCCTCCTTGGATACCTATCGACTTCTTGGATACCCGCATCGTAGTTCAAGGACACGTCCGAAAGGACTTCCCAGATGGATCAAGGGTTAGTTTGGATCTATTGTCCACGTACAGCCTTGCTCACGCTTAGATCTTAGGTGCACCTCAACAAGCGCGCTCGTAGCCCTTCCATCGTGGCCCAGCTTCGCGGTCTTGGCCTTGAACCATTCGCAGGTCGGCAGCATTGTGGCATTGACGTAAGGGGCTTCCGTATATCGTAGAGGTCCCCACTGAGGGCGCCGGTTACGTTTTCGTTTATCAGGACGCTCGAAACGTCGCCAGGATCCTCGCGGAACTGGGGCGCAGGGGCGCGAAGCTCCAACCGAACAGCTCCATCGACCACAAGCGCAGGTGGCCTTGGATGGGAAAGAAAGGTCTGATTCTCGAGGAATACATCGCGGGCGCTCCTTAGGCGTATTGAAGGCGAGGCCCCATCCCGAGACGCATGGCGTTACCCCATGCCAAGGCTATGATCGTTGTGTTCACAGTGATTCGCATTCATACGCAGACACCGCTGACCTCCGGTCTCCTACTGCGAGGTCGCGGCTCGCGTCCCCACTCGGCGAGGGCGCCTCCGAACCACTCATCTGTGACTCAGTAGACGGCGATTTGCGAGATATATACATCCTGCCGGCGTGCTATCGCACCTCCGGCTTGTCCTCACACTTTCCCTCGCCATGAACCATCAAGCGCTCATCACAGTGCCATCGCTCCGCATAACCAGCCCTTCCACTGCTGCGGCGCGCCACCACCCGAGTATCGGGTTACCTCGACGAAGCACCGTTCAAACGACGAGGAAAAAAACCGTCGCATCTCGCCCCTCGCTATCGCCTTACCATGAGCGTTCATCCTCCCCTCCCCGACGAATTCCGGCAGGCCGTGGGACAGGGAACCCGCCCTACCGGTTAAAGACGGCTGACATGTCCTCCGACGAGAAAGGGTGGCGTTAGACTTCGCACGTGGCAATTCCCGTTTTGGTCGTGCTTCCCGAGCGCATCCCGATGATCGCTCCTGTCTTCCCGTCCAAGTTGCTCGATCGGACGCTCGCTGTAACCACACGAGCGTGCAGCGCTATTCGCGTCACGAAGATGGCTCGCACTGCGTTTGTTCAGAGTATGCCGGACTTGTGCGCCCATCGAACTTGTCGCGTCCCTTCCCTTGGATGGCGGTCATTCTGCGCATGACGTCGCCCGTCTTCCGCCCGCAGCATCTACACACAGCGGACCTTCATTTTGCGGTACATGGCCCCGCAACAGTGTATCGGAAGATTCGCGCGACGGTTTGGGAGACCGTCCCTACACACCTACCCAAAGGAACGGTCGTTCTCTGCGCCACTGCCGCCGCATTAGTTCAATCGAGTACGCTCGCGAATCCTCGAGCAGCGTCCAGAATGCTCCAGGATCGCCCCGATGTGGTCGCGTCCGTCATCGAGTCGTCAAACTGGACGTATATGGCAGGCACGACTCCTGGAAATGAAACTCCCCAAGGTTCATGGGACCATCGTACCATTCTCCCCGGATCCCGTTATTGGCGTCCCAATATGCCCTGTTCACTTCGCTGAATTCTGCAAATTCTTCAACGTCAACAGTCACGCAATGAAACTGGACCAAACAGTCACGATATTTTCCATAAGTCGGATATGATCTTCCTACGATCGAACCAAGACCAGACGATTCGCAAGGTTAATTATGTGTGGTCCTCCGCCGTATGTGCACCTGCCTTGCTGCCGCCCGCACTCAGCGATGATCAGATAAGATGAACTATTTCCGCAATTTCGTTTCTTAAGCCACGTTTTGCGACAAGTTCCGAGCAATCTGCGAATGACAGATGACGAATGCGCGTATGCCCCAAGACCGGCGTTGCGGTAGGCAATGGGAAAGGAAGCCCCTTCTTCAGCGCACGCCTGTGGCTCCCGCTGGCCTCCCCTTCCTCCAAATACCATTGTATGAAGACCAGGCACCTTACGGTCGCATCCCATTGGCTCGGATGGTCACGGACACGATGTCGCATCTGACCGGTATTCGCGTCTACGCCGCTCATCGTGGAATTCGCTAAATAACGGCATCTAGGCTTACTCGCGGCTCGTCGGGCTGTCGCCCAGAATGCATCGCGAACGTGCCTATCAGGCGGATCAGGGACTTGGCCTGTCGGCTCGTTCAAACGTCCCACTGCAACTCTCGAAGGAACGCTCGGGGAAGCGAGCGACGTGTGCAAGGTGAGAACATGGTTTCATCTGGCCGTTGCGGTTTGTCGTGCTGCAGCCCACATGATGCCAACTTCACCCATCGCTGAGAGATACACTCTATGAGGCGAAGGCTCTATGAGTCCCTGGTACACTCGTCGAGAGGAACCGCTTGAGTAGAGCCGAGAACGGAAAGCTGATGGGTTTCGTACGATCATCCTGGCCAGGTACACCCGACGTGTCCCGCCCGGTCGTCTCGCAGTGCTGCGCGACCGCGCGGATACTGCTGTGCGTTCGATTACAGCGTATGACCGCTTCGCCGCCCCGCCATCACCGCGTTTTGCGACGTTTGAAACTTGTAATGCTAACACAGCTTCTTGTCAAGGTCTGCATTCATCGCAAGCCGTTACTCTGCGCCACCGGTGTTCTTGGCAAATCGTGCGTCGGTAGCTTGTATACTTTTGGGCGTGTTTTTCTGCAAAACACCTGGCACTTACTGCCTCGCACTCTATCAACCTCAATGTTCGCTATAAGGAGGGCGCGCCGTTGCTTCGCGAAGCTGTGCATATCTGGAAGAAGATTCTCGTACCGCCCCTTCGGCTTCCCACCGACCCGAGATTGAGTTCCCATAACGAGCTCCCGATCCCGCGCTCATGCCCCAGCTATTCCACGCCCTCCTCGGTGTGTCCTCGGTCATTGTCTTCCGATGGCCAGGAGAGTGCGGTGGAGGGTCGTACCGGCGAGAAATATGACGCTTTCCGCGGACCGCCCATCACGGAGTGTGCGCGCAGCCGTTTGATCGCGCCTTTCGAGGCAACATAGGCTGCCGACGCTCGAGGCTTACGTCGGTGGTTGACTCCAAGTTGTACACGCGTACGGTCTCTCGAGTCCCCGCCACGATCTCCTACTTCGTAGGACGTTTCGCAGCGGTGTGCCGTGCGAATGTGCCTATTGCAGGTATATTTTCCTGTCTCCCATGTGAGTGTAGTCATATCCGCTGTACGGGGTGAAGCATTGCGATCCTCATACAGTAGAATGCTTCCCAAGGCGTCGCAAATCTGAAGATGGGGTTATGGACGCGCCGTTATGCCGCGACACACGCCCAACGCCTTTCGGAGCTCTCGACCTCTGCACGCTACCTAACAACTCACGGGCGATGGAGCAAACGTCCTTCATTGGCCGGAGTAGTGCCGATGGCTTAGCCCCACCCTTCAAGCACGCGATGCGTCCTCGCGACGGCTCCGACCACTGAGATATCGGCCTGCAATACTCGCAAGGAGCGGGTTTGAACTTGCTCCCACCACCGCTTACCGGAGGAGGCCGTGGAAGACCCTGCGCACAGGCTGCGTGGCGCTGCCAATGGCGCCCTATCATTACCATTTGCTCCTCCCGGGGTTCAGGGAGCACCGTGGTATTCACGTTTTGTCGTCTCACGGGTCGCCGCCTGGGGAGAGCATAAGTAGAGGGCGCAGTTTCAAGATACCGGTGCCTTGGTCTCTGGCACACTCTCCACCGCTGCCTACCTGCAGGAGTCACCCATCAGTGACCTCCCACTCCTCCTGCATCCCATAGCCTCCAGTCTCTTCCGACAATGACGACTGTCGTTTCGATTGACCCGGCTCCTGCCTACAACGACGCAGAGAGGGGCACCCTCGACATTACCTCCAGGCTCCCGGTTGCCAGCTCGTACCCCGACGAGAAGAAGGCAAACCTCGTAGTCGCGGAGGTCATCCCCGCCAAGAAAGACACGCCAGCCCCGGCTCCGAAGCCGGTGAGCAAGCCACCGAAGCACAAGCCTTCCGCTTGGACGCGATGGCAGGTATGGTTCAACACGTACAGGTGAGTAATGATTGCCCCAATCACGTCGTCGAAGGTCTCTGACAATTTGTTACAGGAAGTTCTTCGTCTTCACGTTCAGCTTGAATATGATCGGCCTCGGTCTTACTGCGTCGGGGCATTGGCACTACCCGCTCAAGTTCCCCGGCGCTTTCATTCTGGGCAATCTGCAAGTGGCGATCCTTGTCCGAAACGAGTTGTTCGGTCGCTTCCTCTACCTGACATGCAACACCTTGTTCGCTAAGGTAACATTAGTCACACCATCTCACTTTTATGTACTGACGAGCCCTCCGCAGTGGACACCCTTATGGTGGCGCTTGGGCTGCACCTCGGTCCTCCAGCATCTTGGCGGTATCCACAGCGGTTGTGCCGTCTCCGGACTGATCTGGCTGCTGTATCACGTCGTCAATCTGTTCCGGGCGATGCACAGCTACAACGACTCGGTCCTGGCGTTTGGAGTCGCCACGAACTTTGTAGTGGCTGCCGCCGCTCTGTCCGCCTTCCCGTGGATCCGGAACAACCACCACAACGTCTTCGAGCGGAACCACCGTGCTTTCGGTTGGTTGGGCATCATCATCACCTGGGCTTTCACTATCCTCGGTGATTTGTGGGATGTAAACACTCGGACCTGGAACCTGAGCGGCGTTCACCTGGTGAAGCAACAGGACTTCTGGTACATCATCATGATGACCACTTTGTGAGTCCTCGTTTCAACCTTTCGCCGATAGTGATGGTAATCGTTCTTTGCAGCGTCGCCATTCCCTGGATTTGCACTCGCGAAGTCGAGGTCGACATTGAGCTTCCTTCTCCTAAAGTTGCCATCGTCCGCTTCAAGCGGGGCATGCAGCAAGGTCTCTTAGGGCGTATCTCCCGTCACCCGATCAAGGAGTACCATGCGTTTGGTATCATCTCTGAGGGCACGCACTCCAAGTACCACTACATGATCTGTGGTGTGCAAGGCGACTTCACGCGCAGTCTCGTCAACGACCCCCCTCGCACGCTTTGGACGCGTCAGCTAAAGGTGTGTAACGCATGCGATCCGCCCGCTTCATTTTTTCTCATACATGCTCCACAGTTCGCCGGCATTTCCAACACGTCCACCCTGTACAAGCGTGGCATTCGTATTTGCACGGGCACTGGCATTGGAGCCGCTCTCTCGACTTGCATCCAATCACCGAACTGGTGCGTTCCTTCTCACTCTTCTGCAAACATCACAACACAACACTCACGCCTTCGTATCTTCTTGCTCTACCAGGTTCCTTATCTGGATCGGTGGGTTACACCACTATTTTCGTGTGTAGGAAGCCACTGACGAGCGTTTGTTCTCCGATAGGCTCCGATCAGGAAAAGACCTTCGGCCCGACCATCAGCGGTCTCATCCACAGGAACATCGAGCCCGAGCGAGTACTGCTGTGGGACTCGAAAGTTCGTGGCGGTCGCCCTGATACCATGAAAATTCTGAAGGAGATATATCACTCCTTCGGTGCTGAAGGTTCGTCTTACGGGTGCCTCGACTCACACGCTCTTACTGAACCGCGTGCTTCCGCAGTTGTCTTCATCACCTCGAACTATGTCGGCAACTTCGAGATCATGCATGGGTGAGCCTATTGCAATCTCTCAATCTCTGGGGCAGTTCTGACGTCTCGAGCAGTTGCAAGGAGGCCGGCATCCCCGCCTTCGGAACGCTTTGGGACTTCGTGAGTTCCCCGCCGCGTCTTATTCTCTTGAGCGCACTACTGACGCTCTCTCGTTCAGTAAACGGTCGCGGGCTTTTCCATTGTCGCATGCTCATTTGGGGGCCTTGCTGAAGGCAGCGCAGCGCGTTCAGACACTGAATATTTACCAGCAGGCCGGGATTCATCAGGGCGACAACCACGCACTATCTATCGCCAGATCCCATAGAAGGCCTTGCATGGACTTACTGTAATTTTGCACGGAATGTATAATGATATCTCGGTATGCAATGCACGCACGTAGCTCATGACCCTTCGAAGCTTCACCGCTTGTGAAAACACCGTGAGAATCCTGCTGCAGGGTCGCATCGTGTCTTCGTCACGCTCAGGCCCGTCGTTCCGTGTTGGCCTAGACAATCTTCCTTCGCAGAAGCGGGTGCATATCACGCTGAAAGGCGAAATAACTCCCAACCCCGTTCGTCGTTGCGGAGCCATCCTACGACACACCACTCGTCATGCAATTTTGCCATGATGATGACAAGTACTATCTAACGATTTTCAGTGCGATCAATTTTGGACAAATGGGTGCAAGCTTCTGGTCACTGAGGTTTCAAGTTCGATAAGATGTAGTTTGGCAGTGACTACTCGGACCCGACCTTCTCCTCTTGGTTCGAGTCTCCTCCTGGGCGGTCCATATGAACCAGATATAAGTACCCTATCCGCAGCCATCATAGTCCGTCTTGCGCTACTTGCTCCGCACTTTGGTAGCTACCGCGATGCATCCTTCGCGCTTCCGTGCTCCGTCGTCGAACTTGGCAGAATTTCGACACCCTCCGACTGCGCACGGAATGCGCAGTGACAGCTGAAGGTGTTCCTAGGTTCCACGCTCCAAAGCGGGAGCAAACAGAGCTTGCTCCGGGCGAGTCGTTCTGGCGAACGTGACACGGCTGCGTCGCCTGCTTCAGGGCTGGCGCTCACACCCTTGGGGTCATTCGGTCAATCCCCGGAGAACACTGGCAAGCCGGCGACGGTGTCGTGTGTGCGACGACCAGCCTCGTTCTGTGCACGAAGCCTTGATCAGCACACGGGAATGCGTCGCTATTGTGCGCCGGTCTTGGGCATGTGGTCTGTCTGCTTCGCAAGATCAGATCCTCTCCTTCTGTTCATCCGCAGTGCAGAACCAAGACGTATGGGATTGCTCAAACTCCACTTTTTTATGGCTGAGATCATACATTGTCGCTCGTATGAGGCTCACTGTTGGTCGATATGCTCAAGACCTCATCTCATTGGATACTATACCCTTGCGCTAGCTGGTTATATCTGCAGATCCGAGTCACCAATATGAAACTGTGGAATATGGTCTTGTGGGAAGCTATATATACTGAAACTCATCCATGCATGAGCAGATGACCTCGACGCTTAAGGATGGTTCATCATCGCTTCTACGACGCTTATCCGGAAACCATCTCATGCAGTCTGCAGCGTGAGCCCCGCCGACATTGTCATTCATTTCCCTCGCCGGTGACTCCATCGGACTTCCCTCGAAGCCAAAATCTCTCTCAGATCTTGAAACTAGCAATAACTCAGAAGGGAGTTCTCACTTTCTAGATGCTTCCATTCCGTCGCCTCGCGCTTCGGTCTCGGACGGCAATAGTGGAATGAGAAGGATTGACCGTATATATTAGACGTTGGTCAACGGACTCCTCTAGTTGGCACCGCCGATGTCCACTCCTTTCACCCTCGGTCCCGAGATAATGCTCACTACTTGTGCGATAGTATCCACATCGGAAGTTTGGCATATATCATAGATACGTCCACGCCCTCACGGTCATGTCCACATCCGTTGTAGTGCGCCACGGGTTATTAGAGACGCCTCGGATATGATCATGTTCATGAAACTATAACTTCATCTTAATTCAATCTTATGCGTGCTTCACTGCACTTCGAACACCGACGGCCTGAGTGAATACATCCGCATTAGCCCTTCGACGCATATATGCTTTGACCTATGCAACTGTAACACTAAATCGTCATGAACGGCTATTTTGACGAGGATTATAGTGTTGTTGCAACGTCTGTAGCCTGAGCCAATGCATCCTCGTCAAACGCTTCGATGCATTCACTTACACCTTTGTGACCAATGCTACTTCATCAGACCCGCTTTCATGAGGTCCCAGTGTCGACGACCCTGCATTATCCCAGTCCAGGCATGTTTCGGGCAGACGAGAATCTATCGACGTACTATTGGTCTCCGCGAGGGGGAAGCTCCCCGACGTGCGCGCCATTGACTCAGGTTCGACGCTGCAGAGTCTAGAGGGTCGAGCTATACGTCTAGGGAGTGTGGCAATAGAATATGGGGCAATTCTCGGAGAGGTCTGATTTCGATCAGAACTTCTGTCGATGCCGTGCTGCGACGGTACCCAGCTGTCCTACCTGATCGAGACTGTACAGCATCGAGCCTCTTCGCCGTCGGAGGCGTGCTATGTGCATGCTGCTCATGTCCAGAACAAACCTGGCGCTCAGACAAGCGCCTACCACACATGGTACTCGTAAGATATCGCAACCATCGGGCGCGCTGCCCAACAACTTTTTCGTGTAGACAAAGCCCATGTCTATGCGCTCGTCCCAAGGATGTCAGCTTGCCGAGGCGATGACGCAGGTCCAGAGACGAACTGTGTAGCTTCTGAGAGAGCGGTCTCGATGATGCGCACAACGCGTACGTCCAAAGATCCGTGCGCAGATTGTGCGATAGGGATTCGCAACCTTAGGTCACATAAGTATGTAGTCGGAGCGGTCTAGAACGCGTGCGCATATAGCCTGAGTCCGTATCGCCCGGATCCACGGATAGCGTTGGAGACTCGGAGCGAGCGTCCATCGAACTCAGCACTTCTGCCGCAAAGCTGTGGGCAAGTGCTTATCGCGCCGTCCTGACTCGGTATCTATGCGCATCAAGAACGTGGAGATCGCAATGATGTGTAGGATGCAGCGCGCGGACATTTGATTGACTCCGTCGTAGCGTTGGTGCAGAGGTCGGGAGGATTCGCGTCGTTCCCACTTGGCTCGCGACCGCACGCCTTCCTTTGTGGTGCGCCTCACTTATCGTGCTGTAGACACGATGGGGTGGAGTCGTGAGTATGTACGAACACAATAAAGCGTCTCCGAGGCTGTTAAGAGTCCTTATCTTTACGGCTTGCAACAGCTCGCATACAGCCTGTGATCCCTCCTCCGACAACACATGGCCGGCCATCCCTTCCGATCCGTTTGCCGTTGAGATATATTGCTTTGGAACCCCCGTCCTTCCATATTGCCCTGGTCTGCCTCGAGGTCGATCCGTTGCTCAGTAGCTTGCCCAGAATCGACACGGCCGCAACGGTGTCCAATATACTCGTTGGATCATGTGAACGTGAGAGGGCTCTGACTCCTGAATCAACGGCCTCGTGTCCGTTTCAGCTTGTAGAGACCAGCCTTGTGTATACATATGTAGTATGCGCCGGCATCTTGGACCGAAGTCTATAGACGTTGTTCTGATCCTTCAGCAAGACAGCAGAGAAACAGCAAAAACAGACCGGGATAAAAACGCTCTTAGCGCCGATGAGAACGGCCTTTTTTCGCTTATCAATATCAATGTATCAAGACCTTATCAATGTCGCGGCGACCTCCGTCGACCGAACGCTGTCGCGGTTTCTCCCGGCATGCCGCGGACCCTTCGCCATTGGCTGACGCGAGTCTGACACTAACTCGGGCTTCTCCCGTGGGCAACGTCACACGTTGCGTCGTCCCCGCTCGAAGCCAGAACGCGCGTTCTCCGAGATAGGGGCTATCGGCCGACCAAGTATGAAGCAAAAAAGCCTGTATATTCCCCGGGTGCCAGATACCAGACCAGAGACGACAAGAAACATGGGCGGGCCAGTATATATAGTACAGTGTAAGGCGAAGACGTATACGGGAGGAGGAGACTAATAGCGTCAGAGGGAGTAGGAGGGAAGGAGCAAATCTGTGGAAAAAAAGTGCGACGACGTATGCTATGGATAGCGAGGGGAAATATATAGGTCTACAGTATGCACAAGCAGAACGGCAAATGATGATGTGGATGGGATGACGGGCACCGTTAACAGGTGGATGCCGATGGTGGATTCGGGTAGGGGGGTGGGGGGGTAGGGGAATAATAAGCGAGGGCCGTCTGAGTGGGGTGCGAGGAGATGATAGACGAATAGAGAGACGAGAGATGAGAAGATAGCGGACATTGTCGAAGCTAGCTGCACTCCGGGTAGTAGGCGCGCTCGCGCTCGAACGTGCGAGGCTCGTCGGCGGCGAACGGGAGCGGGTCGAGCTCGAACGGGTTGAAGAAGGCATCGTCGACGTCAACGTAGACGCTCACGAGCGGCTGGCGCTCGGCCGGGAGCGGGACGGACGCCGGGTCGACGACGAGCGCGGAGAGAGACGACGTCGAGCGACCCCAGGGCGTGAGCGGCGCGTCCGACTCGTCGTCCGAGGTGTCCTCGATCGCGTCGGGCATCGGCAAGTCCGCGTGGTCGTCGGCGGGCGCATACGTGAAGGGCAGTGCGTCCGCGTAGGGCGGTGAGATAGAGGCGTCGACGTCGGAACTGAAATAGTTGAAAGAGGTGGCGGGCAGAGGCGGGTACGGCACGGGATATTGGTACGGGATAGCGACGGGTGCGGAGGGCGGGCCGAGGAGGTCATCTGAAGACGACGAGGGCGAGGCGAAAGGCGTGAACTCGGCGGTGTCGTCGTCCTCATCTTCGTCGACGGCCAGCACCGCGACTTGAACGTCTATTTCCGCATCGTTCTCTGCGTCATCGTCATTCAGGTTCTCGAGCAGCGAGTCGAGCCACTCGTCCTCTGAGCCACGTTTATCGGAAGCTAACAGCGCGTCGACGTCGGGGAACATAAACGACTCCCCGAGGCTGTCTTCGACCTCGTCTTCCTCGTGCTCATGTTCTTCTTGATGTCCGTCTTGTTCGGGAGCATATGTGCACGTAGCGCTGCACCGCTCCTTATCGGCGACGGCTGGGTGCGAGCGCACGATCGAGTTTTTGAGCAGCACCCAGCGGTGGAGGCTGCACGAGTCCTTGCTCCCCGAGCTCGACACCGACTGCAGCTTGCTGCGGGCGAGGGTGGAGAGCGAGGACGACAGGGACGCGGCGGAGGCGGACAGGGAGGACATCTCTCTGGCCTTCGGTAGGCGGGGACGGGAGGGAGAGGGGGCGGTGGCGGGGCGGGGTGGCGTAGCGAGGCGGGGTGGACCGTATATGCTTGTATGCGCGGGCCTGCGGACATGAATGAAGGAAGGGAGACAACGTGGTAGTCAGCACGCGACTCTTTTACGCGAGCGGGAGGGATAGAGTGTGGCGGGGTTTGGCAAAACTACTCACGAAGCAACGGCAAAACGCGGGTGACTATCAGTTGTGTATACGGTATACCAGCTCGGGGGCGTGCAGGGGATTGCCAGTCTTGGTTGAGACCCGGGGCAATTGGTGGAGCATGCTTGTGTTGTGCCTTCGACGCAGGGCGCGCGCGTGGTGAGGACAGACCGGTCTTGCGACGTACGCAGGAGGGGCGGCGACAAGGAATGTCGGACGACGGGGGTGGACGACGGAAGGGGCTTAGACACTCATGACGGCGGTGGAGGGGAGGAGCGACGAGCTGGAACAGACGCCTGCGACGCTAAATACCGCGCCCGGTCACGTGCTCACCGTAACAAGGGGTGACTCGGCTATTCCGCCGACGGTCCAATGGCATCAACGCCCGAGGCCGCCCGACGCGGCTTTCGCCCTTCGCGCTCGGCGATGGCGAGTACCTTCGCGATACGCTTGCGCCCGTCTTGCGCGAAATCGAACCTCCCCTCCGCGGAACTCACGCCATCCACGGGTTGCCACACACACATATTTCACCGCGCTGGTCCTCCGCGTCATTCACGATCCGTATTGCGAGTTTAAATATACACAGCACATTGCAACAACAACGACTCGAACCGATGATTAGTATCATGTCCATGCGAAATCCGAGACAATCGAATCAATAACTCTGCAGATCTGATGGGCCCCGCGACCAAGGGACAGACAGGTCCCCCTCAATGAGGCGATCTCAGCCGACGTCCATTTGATGGTCCTGACTCTCGTCCTTTTCCGTCTCCAGGAGCTTCTGCAGCTTTCCCACGCTCTTCGGCTCGAGGTCCCGGGCAACAGCCAGCAGCTGCGCAGCTTTGAGCGCGTCCCCGATGAGCCGGTACACCTTCGCGAGCTGGAACACAACGTTCGACTCCCCGGGCGACGAGTCGTGCAGGTGCTCCAGGTCCGTAATCGCTTCCTGTAAACACATACGCCACGACGACGGAGCACAGCAATCGCAATTAATGTTTCGATCAATGTCAGATCACACGACGACAACAAGGCGCGAGATGAGCCCACCTGGTAGCGCTTCATGCTGATAAGCATTTTCGCTCGCCGATAACGTGCGAGCGCGTTCTCGGGCGACAGCTGGATAGCCTTGTTGAGATACCTCATCGTGGCTTCCGTATCGTGGCGCCGCTCCGCACACTGTATTCGAAAAGACGCCGGTGAGCCTTAGATAAACCGCTCCGAGACGGTAAGGAAGCCACATACGATAGCCAAACACGCGACCATAACCGCGTTCCCCGGACAGATGTCCGAGGCCCTTTGGTAGTGATACTCCGCCATTCGCAGCTTGTTCGTCTTGAGATAGCACGATCCCAGGCCGTACCTGTGGGAAAGACGGGAGTAATACATGAGCATCTGCAACCAGACTTCTGCCACGGTTCTGGCGCGGGCCAACCGCCGCGCTCTCGGCACATTGGAGTGCCGCCCACGCCGGCGCACAGAAGCGCCCCCTCGGCACACCGCGCCGCCCGACCAGCAGGGATTCGTACGTACCAAGCGGAATAATGGCGCGAATCCGCGCGCAGCGCCGCCTGAAAGTGCGCCATCGCCTCCTCCACGTTCTCGTCCAGCGTCTCGTGCCCGCTCAGCGCGTGGGCGTACGCGCACCCGGGGTCGAGCTGGACCGCGCGCCGGAAGCACGTCAGCGCCTGCGCGCGCTCCTTCTGCAGCGAAAAGCAGTTGCCGACCGCGATCCACGTCTGCGGCGCGCGCGGGTCGATCCCGATCAGCTCCTGCGCGAGGAACGAGAGCTGCACGGGCTTCTGCAGGTGCCAAAGCAGGGTGGAGTACACGTCCATATCCCAGAGCCGGAACGGCTCCAGCGTCCGCACGGCCTGGAACGCGCGCTCCGACTGAGGGGAAAGGGCAGACGGTTAGTCGCCGCTCGGGCACCGAGATGGGGTGCAAACGGCTCACCGAGGCGTAATCGGCCCTTTCGTAATGCGCCTTGCCGACCATGGACATGACCCATGGGCTTCGCTGGTGTATTGCGGGAAGCTTCTCGAGCTCTTGTAAGCACAACTTCGTGTCGTACATGGCCAAAGCACGCGTTGCCCGCGCGAAGAGACGCATTAGGTCGTATATGTAAAGATCAGCCTGCTCCATCAAGTAAGCGTCTTGCGCTGCCTGCTCGTCTGCTGTTGTCCAAACGGTGGGTGCGGGTGATTCTTCAGAATGGGGCACGGCAGGAGGCGAGGGCGAATACGCATTCTCGCTGCCGGTCTGCAGTTCCTCGTCACCCTCTGTGTCGTTGGATCGCGTCCGACCATGGACCGCAGGTCTTCTCCGGGTGCTTGTCTGAGGGACGAGAGAGTAAGCTTCACCGGAACGCTCGCTATCTTAGAAAGCCATGGAGACTGACCTTGCCAGCCGGCTTACTACCACCGTTCAATAACCGCGTGCTCCTCCGGGTGACAGCCGCCGCAGGCTCCCGCCCGTTCTTCGCGCTGGCAGCAGCGGCCTTGGGCTGGGAACGACGACCGGATGATGAGAAGATATTAGCAAGCGTCAATGCCGGGCGTGCGCGTGCCTTTTTCGACGTGTCGTCCGTATCGAGGGTCGAAGGAGGAGTGGGCTTTACGGCGTCCGTCGCGGCGGCGTTCTGTCCGTTTCGTCGCGTCGACGTCTGGCGCAGCCGCTTGGTCACGGGCCCGGTCTCGTCGGCTGAGGAGAGGGGGCGCGGGGGGACGGGCTGGGGGGCAGGGACGGGCGCGGATGGCTGGGTGTGGGCGTTGAGAGGGGCGGGAGGAGGGGGCATGATGCCGGCTATGCGGTTGGGGCGGATGGAGGTCTGGATGGAGTTGTCGGGGAGCGATTCGTTGCTATTGAGCCGTCAGTATTTCCTCATGCTGCACTTTCATATCGTGATATCGAAAACACGTACCCAGGGGTCATTCGAAATGGCTGTAGGGGTTGATTATGGCGCAGAAAAAGATTCCCGGCTGCGTTCGCGGGCCCTGCAGGAGTGAAGAAGCCAGCGCCTGAAGCAACCGGAACAGGTTGAGCCGGTGGTCTTGTTGGGGGTACCTCTGATGGAGGACCCTGTTTGACGGGTGGTGGCCGCGTTGGGAAGAGCTCGTCAACTTCCGGCGCTAACCCTGAGGTAGAAAATCAGGTACTTGAAGCTGCAGAAATGACTGGCATACAGACCTGTTGCGCAAAGGCCCTCGAACGCTTCCCATAGCATCGGGTTATGGGTCAAAGCTTGGCGAAAACTGGGTGCGGCCTGATCGGGCAGATGTCCCTTCAGCGCCATCTGCCCTGCGCGACAGTGTAGGACTCCTTCTTCCGGAAAAGCGGCGGCAGTTCTGGGGCCCATAGATGCTACAGGTCGCGCACCACATTCACTGACATATTTCATTTATATGTTGATCGATCACGTACGGGAAGGGACATAACTGGAGTTCCTCAAGCTCGCCTCGAGGCTCTCCCTTGCCTGCCTGTACCTCCCGATTGCCGTACAACACTTGGCCTTGAGCTCGTGGCATCCCTGACATACGTCCGTCGGCGCTACATTCACGACACACAGCGCCGACTGCGTCAGTCCCGCGTGGAAGAGCGCGGTCGCATACAGATGACGCGCGTCATGGTTGTGCTGATCAAGCGCGAAGTACCGCTCCGCATAGAAGATGGCCGACCGATGGAGCCCAGCGTCGACGCAAGACCAGATTAGAGAGCTAAACCGTTGACACAGGTGCGGTACGAAGGCGGGCGTGGCTTCTGGCTGCATGTTGGTCTACGGAAATGGCATAGATGCTGGAAGGGTGTAACAAATCGTCGTATGGCCGCCCTGCAGAGCCCTGAGACGAGAGAAAGTAGTAAGCAGCCCGTCCCTAGGGCCGATAGAGTTGAATAACGCTCAAGATGAGAGCGGAGAAAGGAAGGGATATTGTAAATGAACGCCGCCCGTATTCACAACGCCCAACCGGGAAGAACCCGTGGTGGGCTCACGTGATCACCGTGTTCGTGTTTTTCAAGTCCGTTTTCCGCCAAACAGCGCATCATGATCGGATCCACCTGCAAGGTCATCCTGCTGTCCTCCTATAAAGCTGGTGCTCGACGCGCAAAAAGGAAAAAATCGGTGACTCTGGGTGAAGATGCTCAGAATGAACGCGGCTGGACGTCCTGGCTTCAATATCTGGCCTGCATGCGAAAAGAACTAGAAGCTTCGGGCCGGAGATCTCACGCGCCCGGATAAGTATTCTTCGCGGGCAATGACAATGCGTGCTATGTCTGTTCGAGGTATTTACATAACAGCTGCGTACAGGGCTGCGCAGGAAAACCAATTCAGGAGGGGATTACACTGATTGTTGAGCAAGGACAATGTACCTGAAATCGGTGTACTTTTCGTTGACCGCTCAGTATACATCTCAAGCTCATGACCGGGCGGTACCGGTTACAGCTGGCTGCATATACGTTTCAAACGTCACAGGTCCGGGTTCTAGTACTTGGCGGGCTTGCTCGACATCAGCTCTATGGCGGCAATCCGAAGTTCTCCTCGCACGGCCATGCCAAGATAAGTACGGATATCGGCTCAGAGTGATGGCCGACAGTACTAACGTTAGGCTCTCATTATATAACGACTGACAAGGTTACATGAGGGGATTGCCCAGAGCAACGACTCAGAGATCTACCTGGACTGCAACAAAAGCTTTGAAATGATAAGCCGTTCCTCCGAGACATAACGGAGCAACGTGCATCACTCGACCTAGATACTCCTGACTAAAATCGTCGTGTCGTCCATCCACCGTTCCATCATCTCTACCGTCAAATGACTCGAGATCTTCTCTTCGTCTTCACCTCCTAAGGCGTGCCTCAATAGGCCTAATGCCTTGTTAGCCCCCTCTGGCACCCCGGCGACAGCCTCCATCCAGTCTGTCGCAAGCTCGCCGACCATCATGTCTTCCTCTTCGTCACTGCGGAGGTCGTATAGCCCGTCTGAGCTCATGATCAGGAATCGCTTACGCGGCCGCTCGTCCACGTCCCCCAGATACACGTGCTGCACCTCCGCGACATTCGACAGATACGGCGGTGACAGATTTCGGGCGATGAACCTGTCGACATCTGCCACTGCGAATTGAAACGGGGGGCCTACGTTCATGAGCAGACGCTCCGTCCAGGATTTGGGGAACTTGAATTGCAGGTCTCCTACGGCTTTTACCGGAATCAGGATTTCGCCCGCTTCCAATGATCGCAGACATACCTCTGGTCACTGCCATCATACCCAGCACTCTGTCATCCACGACGCATTCTGCTTCCCCGGGATGCTCGCCCCTGATGCGTCCGGCCTCTTCGGGGTTCTTTGCATTATGATTGCTGCTGAGAACTCGGATATCCCACTCCCCTGATTGATCTTGGGTTCCTAGCACTGGGGCATTCGTGTGCCTCTCAGAAATGGACCTCGGAGATGGAATCAAGAGGCTTACCACCATCGCAATCTCCTAAGCTTGCGACCCAGAGATTTCGTCCGCTCGGATCCAGAATCGAGATGAGCACCGTTGATCCCTGCTTACAACGCTCCCCCTTCAATGTCCTTTCGCCACTATCGTTCAAGATGGCCCTGATCTCCTCCCCGGAGAGGTCAGTTAATGGGTCGATGTCCTCCGGGAAGATGTCGAAGAGGTCTTTTCCGAGCTGTTCGTCGAACGCTTTGATTTCCTTGACGAGGAGGTTGGATATGAGCGAGACCGTCGATTCGGCCGCGGACGAGCTGGGACTCGCTAACGCCTTCCGCAGCGCGCGCTCTATCACCGACGGCAGCGTGTTAACCGTGTGCTCGACGGTGTCGTCCCCGGCATGGCCTACGACGATATAATCGTCCCTATTGGCGCATATTTACACATCGGCTCACCGTCGAATAACCCACAGAATCTCCATACGCCTTCCCCGATCGTCCAATCTTGAGCGACATATCGGTCCTGGTTGCTCCAGTCCGCGTCCGCGTACGGCTGGAAGGAGACGGCGTCCCAGCCACCGATACTCCGAGCGCCCGACGAATGTGCGAGCTCCACCGACAAATCAGCGTCGGTGAGTAAAGTGTATGGCCACGGACCGGCACCGGGCCCCCATCCCATATCCGTCCATCCTCGTCTGCGGACCATGATTAGTTAGGTGCCCTGCGAGACTGTGAGGCTAATCAAGTACGAGCGACCGTGTAAATACAGGGAGGACTCGAGGGAACCAAGGATCTACTTATGTCATGGTGCGACCCATACAAGTACCACCGCCGTGAAAGATCGAAGCCCGGGTAGGTCTTACTACCGGTGTCGAAGGCGGCTCCAGACGTATTGAGACGCTTGTGCACCTTTCATCAAAGAGCGCCCGGTGCCGTAGTTATGTGATGCGTTCGGTCAATCATCACAAGGCGATGCTGAGCGGACCAGCAGGTGCTGACAGAGGACAGAGATCTGTGGACGCAATTCATCAAACCAGCTTTTCAATTCTACCGCATTTGCCCGGCCGACCGACCGGTCGCCGTGTGCTATGCACCAGCTTCGAGTTCTCCGAAGGGGTATATACTCCGGATGCCGGATTACCAAACGCAGCGAAGTACAAAGAGAGATGGAAAGCATGATCGGCGATCAGCGTTGAAATCCGGTCCTCAGCATGGTATACAGTCATCTGACGGAGGCTATTGCTACAGTGAATATGCGAAGAAAAGGATACATGGGATAGGGGAGCAGGCGATAGCACCCAGCGCTTGTTATCATGTCGTCACCGCAGAACCCATCCCGATCTGCTCGCGTTCGCCCTTCTCTTGCTCCTCGGCCCTCTCCTCGGCCTCGGGGTCTTCGTCGATACGGTCGCCGACGGCAGCTGTCGCACTTTTCGCTTGTTTCTTCCGCTTGGCTGATTCCTTCAGCTTCTCCCACCTCTCTCGAAATCGAGTGATCATAGCTTTCTGCAACCATGCGCAAACGGCCGCCGTCAGCGAGCACTCACGGCAGTCTAATCATTGATGTCGTCACTCACCTGCTTCTCGTTCTCCGACTTGAGCACGCGGACTTCTTCCTCAAGCTCTCGTACTCGCTTCACGAGCCCGGCTTCTCGATCCCGACCACCTGGACCGGGGATGCCCTGCGGCATCGGAGGCAAGTTGATGTTCAGGGGAGAAATGTCGGGTACCTGCCCTGGGATCAGGGGTTGGGCTGTCCGTTGAGCCATCATGGACGAAGCCATCGCCCTTTGCGCCTAGATTGGGATGTAAGGATTGACTGCGCATATCAGATCATCCAGAGGCGACAGTTCACCTCTTTTCGTGCCATCATCATGCTTTCTCGCAATTGAGCATCCTGTTCCCGTCGCATCTTCATGATTCGCTCAGCAGCCTCAAGCTGTTTCTGCACCCTCGTCAGATCTTCCTTCAATTGTGCATTCTCTTTGCGAAGGAGGACGGCAGGGGAGGCGGGCGGGGACTCCGAGGTCGAAGGGATCAGGCAGAAGGATTCCGCCAAATCATCATCTGGAAGGAGTGATCTCAGTTCGGCTTTATCGGTGCGGAACCAGCACGTTGCAGGCTCACCGTCGTCGATGAAAACTTCTTCAAGATCATCGCGCAGGTCGACCGCGTGTGATGGCTGCTTGGGTGGGGGGAACGTGGTAGCGCTCGATTTAGCCGCGGTCGACCTCCCCAGCCTGCGCTGTGTCATTCTCGCGCGGGTAGCAGCCATAGGATCTTCGAAGTCTGTATCACTGCTTGAGCTCCCTTCTCGCCCAAGCGGCTTCGTAGGTTTCGAGGACGACGGGGTCTCCAACGGCGTGGTGGCAAAGGCGAGCGGCCGATCGAATGTTTCCAGTATACCCTCTACATCCTGCAAGCGCTTCCAGAACTGATTGAAAGCATCACCAGGGTCATGCGTAGACTGGCCTTTCGTTTAGTTCCGGGATTCTCCGTGAGCAGACAATGAGACTCACCTGCTGCCCAAGGACCATGAAAGACTCTTCGACCGTATCTCCGGAGTCCACCAGGCGGTTAACGCGGCTCTGGTCGGGAGAAGTAACGGGCGGTCTGGACCCAGTGGCACTATACGGGGAAGCAGCTCGGTTGGAAGTCGAGTTCCTTGAAGGAGGCGGCTTGAACGGAACCCGTGGCAAGGCGGGGTCCTTGCCTTCTTCACGCAGCTTCTCTATCTTTCGCTGCGTCTCCCGGGCGACTTTGTTATGCTCGTTGACGAGCATCCTTAGTGTTCGTTTGGCACTCTCGTCGTGAGACTGGTCGACGCAGATCTGGAAGGCTTGCGCGGCCTTGTAGTGTTCCTCGCTCGCGGGGATGAGGAGGCCTTTGGCCATATAGTCGTCAGCATTAGCGGCGTGCACATGCGCCTTCGGCGACTGTCATTTAGCCACAGACCAGACGTGTATATCGTAGCATTGCTCACCGTGTTCAACGCCCCAGTGTCCGAAGTTGCGGGTGGCATGGTTGTGAGCGTGCGGTAAAGTCGAGGGAGGTGGCATGCCGCATGGGGGAGGCTGTGAGCTGCTACACTGCTCAGAGTCAAGGTTCGCCAAAACGGGCGAAGCGCAGAAAACGTCTGGCGCGAACGCGTCTCTTCCACCTCGCTCTACTGCACCTCATTTCGTACGATGTTCCAACGCGATCCAAGAGCTGGCGCGTTCCTGGGCGGTGACCGAGTGTCTGGGCAAGACATACGCGATCAAAATGGTACGCCCAATGAGGTACTGCGTAATGTGAAGGAAGGCTAATATTCGATTCTCTCGATGCATGGATAGTTATCGCTGCTCAGACGATCGCGAACATCGTGAAGAGTTCATTGGGCCCTCTTGGTCTGGATAAGATGCTAGTGGACAACATTGGAGTGCGTCTCTGCTCCTCTGCTCCCCCGCGACGATCTGACGTTCGTTACTGCAGGAAGTCACAATATCCAATGACGGAGCTACCATCCTCTCCTTACTCGAGGTCGAAAACCCTGCCGGCCGCGTCTTTGTGGACCTCGCTCAGAAACAAGACAAGGAAGTCGGCGATGGGACGACGTCCGTCGTGATCATCGCTGCGGAACTTCTTCGGCGAGCAAACGAGCTCGTCAAAGCCAAGATCCATCCGACCACCATCATCACCGGATATCGTCTTGCCTGCAGGGAGGCATGCAAATTCATGCAAGATCAGCTCAGTGTAAAGGTGGATACGCTTGGACGGGAGGCTCTGATCAACGCCGCGAAGACTAGCATGTCTAGCAAAATCATCGGCAGGTGCGCATCGACCTCGTATCTCGCCTTTAAAAACATTTATCATCCCGAATCGCTTAGTGATGACGACTTGTTCGCGCCCATGGCTGTCGATGCGATGCTCGCAGTGAAGACTGTCAATACCAAGGGCGAGACGAAATACCCCGTGAAGGCCGTCAACGTCCTCAAGGCACACGGTCGCAGCGCTCGGGAATCGATGTTCGTCAAGGGTTATGCACTAAACTGCACGGTTGCCAGCCAAGGTCGGCACACTAGTTTGGGTTACAGAATCTAAATCTGAGAAATCGTTCACATAGCCATGAAGAAGCGCGTAACGAATGCAAAGATCGCATGCTTGGACATCAACCTCATGAAGACGCGGATGCAACTCGGAATTCAGATCCTGGTAGACCAGCCTGAGCAGCTGGAGGAGATCCGTAAACGGCACGCTTTCCCCGTTCTCTGTACCATACCTGGCTAACACACGCGAACAGGGAGGCCGAGATCACTTTAGAACGTATCCGCAAAATCCTCGCCGCTGGCGCCAATGTGGTTCTTACCACGAAGGGCATCGACGATCTCGCGCTGAAGGAGTTCGTCGAGGCTGGCGCTATGGCCGTCAGGCGTTGCCGCAAGGAGGATCTCCGTCGGATAGCCAGGGCGACAGGCGGCCAGCTGATTTCTAGCATGGCCAACCTCGAGGGCGAGGAGACCTTTGAGGCCTCGTACCTCGGCACTGCGGAGGAGGTCGTGCAGGAGCGGATTTCGGACGATGAGCTCATCTTGGTCAAAGGAACGAAGGTGGTGAACTCCGCGAGCATCATCCTTCGGGGCGCGAACGATTACATGTTGGACGAGATGGAGCGTTCGCTCCATGATACGCTCAGCATCATCAAGCGTACCCTGGAAAGCGGAAGCGTCGTTCCCGGCGGTGGTGCCGTTGAGACCGCGCTCAGCATATACCTGGAGAACTTTGCGACGACCTTGGTCAGTGCTGACCAGATTTTACCTGTATACTAATTGCTGACCTGGACGGGTCGCGCAGGGCTCAAGAGAACAATTGGCAATTGCAGAATTTGCTTCAGCGCTCCTTTCGATCCCCAAAACGTTGGCCGTGAACGCCGCGAAAGACTCGACCGAGCTCGTCGCCAAGCTCCGCGCGTATCACAACGCCGCACAGAACGCGCCGACGGGCGATCCGAAGAAGGTGCTCATGCGGCACGGCCTTGACCTCCTCAACGGGGAGGTGCGGGACAACGTCACCGCGGGCATCCTTGAGCCCACCATCAGCAAGGTGCGCAGTCTCAAGAGCGCGTTCGAGGCCGCTGTCTCGTTGCTACGCATCGACGACGCGATCCACTGCATCCCAGGTTTGTCCCTTCACATTTGATTTCGTGTGATATGACGGTTGTTGATGAGTTGCCGGTTCTTCACAGAGCAAAAGGGTGAGCCAGACCCTCACGGCCACTGAGTAGCGTAGACTCCTTGTAATACTCATAACACCGGCTCACGAATGACAATTCTGAGCACCTATTCGTTAAAAGATAGAACAAGACATGAACGAAGCCGGCAAAGAAGGTGCGAAGCAACGAGCATGCGCTGCAAAGTAGCGATCATGTGACGGATACGCGACTTCGGAGTTCCAAACTGCCTCGAGGCCGGAATGTTCGGATGCGTGAGCGCGTCTTGGTTCGTGTTTCTCAAAGCCAACCGCGACGGCCAACGCCCGCTACAGCTTGTCTTCAACCTACTCCCCAGCGAGCAACAAGCTGCCGCCTCTTGTTTTCTACACGGCGATCCGACATCTTGCCCTCACCTTGACTGTCATCTAGCCGATCTCTTTCATACAACACCCATCATGTCCACGTTCATCATCTTCCGCGACGACATTCAAGCTGCCTCTGAGTTCTTGCCGGGGAAACCCAAGGCACTCGTCAGGAAATCGAAGAAAGAGACGAAGTCATCAAGTGCGGGACCCAGTCGCTTACCACTGGCGAGCAAGCCGTCGTTCAAGAGCTCCCGGAGCCTCGCTACCCTGCAGGCAGGGCCCGATGCGCTCCCTAACAAGGAGAACGTCAACCCCTTTACCGGAGAGCGTACGCTCTCTCGTTCCGTCAAGGAGAAGAAGGGGGCGAAGAAGGCCAAGGGTATCTCGCCCAAGGCTGATGTCCTTCAGTCAAAGACGCTGCCCTCGTCCACAAAGAAAAGCTTCCGATCCGACGAAGATTGTGCATGCAGTCCATGCCCGAGCGCGGACATGTTGAACGTCATGTCGCCCCCTCTGGACTTCTCTGCGCACACGTTTAACGTCGATCCTACGGGAGATGAAGACTTCTTCTCATCCCTCAGTATCGTCACAGATTCGCTCGAGCAGATCATGATCGACGCGCGATGTTACGAGCTCACTGTCTCGCCGCTGGCGGACATATCTCCTGCATATGATTCTCCTTCTGCAAGCATCGCCAGAGGCGATAACGAACGGCTCACCGGTAGCAAGGTAAGGGCGCACGATTTCCAGAGTCGCATGCGCACGTGTCTCATACTCGTTCACAGAACCACGCCTCCTTACTTCCTAACTCCATCTCCGACTTCGGGGCCTCGATGCCTTCAGATGAAGACACGTCGCTTCCCCCATCGCCAACCCTTTCGTGGGCCCATTCGTCGGATAGCGAGAACGACGAAGACTTTTCCTGGCCACTAAACCAACAATTCATGCCGTTACCCTCCGTCTTCGGTGATGACGAGAAACCGGCAGAGGACCTGACCTCTTGCATTGACGACATTCTTGGGATGACCACGTTCACCACACCTGAACGTGAACGTATCTATTCCGGCTTCGCCCTCGTAACACCCGAGGGAAGCCCCTCTCGCTCCCGTCCAGTCGGCGTTGACTGCTTCGGCGACATCGCGTACAGACCGAACTGAGGATAAGGATATGCTCCCGCCTCTATCATTTCCTTTCGCGCTGCCCTCGGCTGTGAGGTTGATTCCGTATACCCTCTCCCCACATGACGCCGGTCACAAATGCGCCTTGCGCACTTTACGAATCATCCAACGACATTTTGACTCTTACGACGGACATCTGAACGATTATTTCACGACATTCATCTCATCGGACCCACGCAGAACGTGTTGTATCCTTGTGCCACCACTGTTGGCGTATGGTCCTTGTATATACACTTAACTTATTATAACATTGCTATCATCTCTATGTCAATCCCACAAATACGAGTGTGATTCTATTCGTTTGCCTCTCTTGCCTGGAGAGGGGGAGTCCGATAACGTCGCGACGAATACGACGGATCCGTAGACTTCGTACATCGTACAGCGTCACGACCATACTACAACCGATTGTCATGCTAGACGCTTTCGATATGAGACCGCCCGAACCTGACTGAAGTACACTCACGGCGAAGGAATCACTTTACGCGAACAGCCCGTAGTCGACGATGAGCAGGCTCTGGACGACCTGCTCAAAATCCTTCTTGGCACTCTGATAGGCCTGGTCACCTGCTATCTGCTCATCGGGCAAGGCGGGGTTTATCGGGACGTTGCATGTCACCACGAAATCGATGTTGACGTTCGGTCTTTGGACCCTATACAACGCAAGTAAGATGCGAACCCGGTCCGGCGTCGTCCGGTTGAATTTGGCGACGAGCTGATTGCCGATCAGAGTCACCGGGCTTGGAGTATCGTTCCCCGCGGATGGACTGCTTGAGACGAAGACGCTGTCCACCGAAGACGATAGCGCGGAGTTGTCGTGCGCTACCGAATCGAAGTGGAATCTAGAACAGAAGACAAAACCGGGCCGCAGTCAGCGCCAAGATCAGCGTATGGTGATGCGTTGTCGATGGGAATATGAGGATAGACAGAACTTGGCTGCGTCCTGCGGATCGTCCGGTTGCACGCGCTCGAGGATCTCGAATATAATGCTAACGTCCGAATCGGGGCAAAGGAAGACTTCTTGCGTATCAGGAACTTGGCGAAGGTCTCTGCGCGGGTCGTGGCAAGTGCGATGGCGCAGCAAGAAAGGCGTAAAGATGACAGCATCGTCGGCGCGTTCGCGAGACCGTACAGAGACCGAGGCAACCGACATCAGGTGTCAGGCAATCGAAAAAAACGGGTCACAACGTAGATAGCCGTCGTTTCGGATCCGCAAACGTCGGGTTTGTTGGGGTCAGGGGAAGGCATCCGGGCGAAATGAGTTGTTGCAGTGCTGCGTGTGCTGCGGACAGGACGTACGATGCGTCAATGAGCCGCGTGGGTATCACCGCGGTAATAGCGCCCCCAAAGAGATCTCTTTGCCCGAAAGCAGGGAGGACCATCGTGGACTGGAAGTAGCTTGGGCGGTATGGGTACCGGTGTATTCACTCAGGTTGTGGAAGATCGTCAAAGCCATGCAAGGCGGTGCTCCCGGCGTTCTCACTAAAGCACCCCTATGGTAGGGTTAGGGCCACCCCGCAGTGCAGCGGTGCGCAGCAGAGGTGAAGCATGCTAGCTACGAGCTCCGCAGTCCGCGTCCGCAGAACAAGCGATTGCACAGTCCGGACGTGCGTCTGCGGTCAGACTGTTCCTTTTACCGCTGCCTTCACCCCTCTGAGTCTCTAGACTGACGGAATCATTGAATCGAGGCGGAGTGCCCAGCGTCAGTTATGTTGATTGATCAGTCGGGCGTCGTATATCTCGGGAGGTGGACGAAAGCGCAGCAGCAGCACCATCTCGACAACGCGTCGCCCCCGATCTCGCCTTTCGCGACCGCCTGCGCCATCACTGGTACCGCTGTTGCTACTGCTGAAGCTGACAGCGAAGAAGAAGACTTCAACATGTCGCTGCGCGGGAGAGTCATCCTCATCACAGGCGCAGGTAAGCACGCAATCCACCCTCTCTCCCGGTCGACGAGGTACTGATCTAAAGATGGTCGTCAGGCTCGGGAGTTGGTCGCGCAGCCGCCTTGCACATAGCCAAACGCACCGTGCACAATCCAGCCAAACTCTTCCTTGCAGACGTCTCGTCTGGAGGCCTGCGGGAGACGTTGTCCATGCTGCCGCCAGAAGCGGTCGCCTACGGCACTGTCTTCAATAGCTCAGATTCCGCGGCGTGCCGAGAGTTCGTGATGGATGCTGTAAAGAAGGAGGGGCGCATCGATGGCGCGCTGTTGTGCGCGGGGATGCCGGCGATGGCAATGCCCATACGCGAAACGTCAGACGAGTACTTCCAGCAGGTGATGACCGCAAACGTCTTCAGCCTGTTCGCGACAATACGCGCGATCGTAGCGCTTCCCGTGTCGCAGACGCCGGGGACGAGCATCGTCGCGGTGTCATCGGGCGTAGGGATTGAAGGTGCGGCGGACTTGAGCGCGTACAGCGCGACGAAGGCGGCGGTGATTGGGTTTTGCAAGAGCCTAGCTAAGGAGTTGGGGCCTAGGGGGATGCGGGTCAATGCGTTAGCACCGGCATACATTCAAGCAGGGAGAGAGAGGGGCGCGATGGCCATGAATGGAGAGGATGTGGGGAGGAGCGCGTCGGAGCGAACACCTTTGGGACGCATGGGCCAACCGGAAGAGGTTGCGAGCGCAGCCGCGTTTCTGTTGAGCGGGGACAGCAGTTTCATCAGTGGGAGCGTCATGGAGATCGACGGAGGGAAATAGAGATCCTCATGGAACTTCACGCCTATTTATTCATTCAACATAATCTTGTCGTAATAGCTGTTTCCCGCATTAGTATATTCGTGCTCTGTGAATGAAGATCAGGGGGGAGCTCACCGTTCGTTCTACGAAAGCACCCTGCGGATGTGTTTAAGGTCTGCATTGAATTTGATTATCGATGGACGCCTAATCTGCCGGTAACGTATCCTTGCTCGCGGGAACCCAAGCTCGTCGTTATCAGAGTACAGTTATGATTGATACAGATATGATACATTGGAGGTCTGCATCTGGAGATAGAAACGTCAGCGAATCACAGGAAAGCAGTACAACGTCGTCTCACCTGCACGCGCTTCCAAGACTATATCTTCACCAAACTCCAGAGCTCATCCCCAAGATACGTGACTGTTTCTACTCCCACATCCTTGTTGACGCGCTTGATGTCCTCAGTGCTAAGCTTCGTGATCCCAATGCCGACAGGATGCTCCTTTCCCTCCGCAAATATCGCGACGGGGGTATTTTCAGGAAGCGCCTTCTCCTTGGGAGGAAGCCAGCCACCGGCGGAGGTCAGTCCGGGGCACATCATGTGCGCGCCTGCGAGAAGGAAACGGATGGCGCCTCGGTCTATTCCGACTTTAGGAAGAAGGAACGGATCTTGAGGAGGATTTGGACATCAGCATAAACCATATAGAGGACGAAAGTATAACATACACTTATGGAGTAGTCTTAGCGTCGGGTACAAGGGTTCATCAAAGTGCTGGAAGAACAGTGGTTCGCCTTGCACAGCATATATGGAGATATGATCTCTGCTAGGATGAGTATCAACATTGGGCGGTATGTTTAACGGGATTAGGTAGTTCGCACCACTTGACATGCACAAGAGTCTCCTTCTTCGGCCATATCGATTCCAGGGTTTCCGCGTCGATTATCCACTGGGTGAGGAGAGCGGATCGGATAGATCTCTGCACCGAAGACTTGACCGGTGTCTGCCCCGAGATATCGGTTGCTGCATGAAACCTGTCACATCATATTATTAGAGAGTATCGTTTAGATGTAAATGCCCATGCCTCACTTCTTGAACATGGTGGTCCTCACTGAACGTGTACCTGGCGTGTATCGATGCCCGAAGCAAGAGCCTGCAAGCGAGGCCTTCAAGCGCCCAGTGGCTGTGGGATCAGACCACCTGACCACTGAATTCAGGCTGAGATTTCCGCTTTAGGCCCTCAGCCCAGCCTCAACACCAGCTGTGACCAAGCAGCAATCTTGCCACCAACCACACACGACGGCGACGCGTTAATCGCACAACGCTGCAGCCATGGAGGTATGTGGGATGTTTTCTGTAATGCACGTCAAGCTCCGAGACCGATGCGCGTCGCTTTCCAGGCTATACTCGACTTCAACCAGGAGTTCGATGTTGGGCTCCTCGATAAGATTGTCATGGCGTTCTACACCGGGGCGGGAGCTGAGGTGCGTTCCTGTCGTATTGAATCTATTAAACACAGATCTGATCCTTGTTCCTGTTCCTTCCATCGTTCTACGCGCGAATAGCAACAACAAGCTCAGCAGATCCTCACTCGGTTCCAAGAGGATCCGAACTCGTGGACGCGGGTTCCGGATATCCTCGAGCGGTCATCATTTCCTCAGTCAAAGGTACGAATGCTTTCTCGCAAGCGTTCGCTCTGTTTCAGATCCTTAACTTCCAACACTTCACCCGTAGTACATCGGCCTACAGATCCTGGAGAAGCTGATCCTCACGCGATGGAAGACCTTGCCCGATGGGCAGCGACAAGGTAAGCTCGTTGTTTCTACTCCTGTTCTGATGACCGAACTGCTCGCAGGTATCCGGAACTTCATCATCGGCATAACGGTCAAAATCGCCTCGGACGAGACATCCTTGCGGAAGGAGAAGACTTTCATCAACAAGATCAACCTTGCCCTCGTTCAAGTGCGTCGTCTGACCCTCATATAAACATGCAATTCACCCTGACGTCGTCTATCCGGCACCGTAGATTCTCAAGCAGGAATGGCCACACAATTGGCCTACGTTCATCCCCGAACTGGTCGAATCTTCCAAAACGAACCTGTCGCTCTGCGAGAACAACATGGTCATCCTGAAGCTCCTCTCCGAAGAGATTTTTGACTACTCTGCGGAGCAGATGACTCAGGCGAAGGCGAAAAATCTGAAAAACCAGATGTCGGGCGAGTTTTCGGACGTATTCAAGCTGTGCCAGGAGATTCTCGAAGAGGCGCAGAAGACGAGTTTGATCAAGGCTACTCTCGAGACGTTGCTTCGCTTCTTGAATTGGATTCCTCTCGGTTATATTTTCGAGACGACCATCATCGATTTGCTTCTTAGCAGGGTACGTTCATCTCCAGAGCTCTTCACCGTGATCAGAAAGAACTTAATTTATTGATATTAGTTCCTTGAAGCACCGGAGTTCCGAAATCTTACGCTCAAATGCCTGGCTGAAATTGCCGGGCTGAACGTTGGCCCCGAGTACGACCAGAAATTCGCTGTCCTGTTCGCCCTCGTCATGACCTCCACGAATCGCATGATTCCTCCCAATACCAACATTGCGCAAGCGTATGCAAATGCCGGCGACTCCGGGCAAGAGCTCGTCCTCAACCTCGCCCTGTTCCTCGCGAACTTCCTTTCGAACCACCTCCGTGTCGTGGAAACGGAGGACAACCGCGACGTGCTCTTGAACGCTCACCTCTATATGGTGAAGATATCCCAGGTCGACGAGCGAGAAATCTTCAAAATCTGTTTGGAATACTGGCTCACGCTTGTGAAGGAGCTGTACGAGGAGATTCAGAGTCTGCCCATTGGAGACAGTGGACTTCTGATGGGCCTCAGCTTGGGCACCGGTAGCTCAAGCGTACTCAATGGCATGGCCTTACGCAAGAATATCTACAGCGATGTCCTGTCGAACCTCCGTCTGGTCGTCATTGAGCGGATGGTCAAGCCCGAAGAGGTTCGTACCTCGTTCTCGCGCCGTAAAACTCAACACTGACGCATCGCAGGTCTTGATCGTGGAAAACGAAGAAGGCGAAATTGTTCGCGAATTCATGAAGGAAAGCGACACGATCGTGCTGTACAAGAGTATGCGCGAGCTGCTCGTGTACCTCACTCACTTGGACGTCGTCGACACCGAGACAATCTTGACCGAGAAGCTTGCCAAGCAAGTTGATGGTAGCGAGTGGTCTTGGAACAACCTGAACACGCTCTGCTGGGCCATCGGTTCCATCTCCGGAGCTATGAGTCAGTATTTTCTGGTCATCACAGTATCCTCGGCTGACTTCCCCATCTGTAGACGAAGAGACTGAGAAGCGGTTCCTGGTAACGGTAATTAAGGACCTTCTTGGGCTCTGCGAGATGAAGCGTGGCAAGGACAACAAGGCCGTCGTCGCGTCGAACATCATGTATATCGTCGGCCAGTACCCCCGCTTCCTCAAGGCGCATTGGAAGTTCCTCAAGACTGTTGTCAACAAGCTTTTCGAATTCATGCACGAGACGCATGAGGGTGTACAGGACATGGCTTGCGACACCTTCATCAAGATTGCGCAGAAGTGCAGGAGACATTTCGTCATGCAGCAAAGCGGAGAGTCCGAGCCCTTCGTAGATGAGATCCTCAGAAACCTGCACCGGATCACGGTAGACCTGTCTGCGCAACAGGTGCATCATCTCCATATTCTCCCCTTTACCTGCAGTACTTACGTGTTCCTTTCAGGTCCATACTTTTTACGAAGCCGTTGGGTACATGATCTCGGCCCAGCCGAACAAGCCGACTCAAGAAAAGCTCATCGCCAAACTTATGGAGCTTCCCAACAACGCAGTACGTGTATTAGATGTTACTGTCCAAACATGGATTGACTGAGGCCTCCTGAACGTAGTGGGATTCCTTGATGGCGCAGGCTGCGCAGAACATGGACGTCTTGAGCAGCATGGACAACATCAAGATTCTTTCGAATGTTCTAAAGACCAACGTATCGGCTTGCACGTCTATCGGCGCATTCTACGTTCCTCAGATCGGCCGGATCTACCTCGACATGCTTGGTCTCTACAAGGCGGTCAGCGGAATCATAAGCGATACGGTGAAACTTGAGGGTGCGTGAGGCGCTCATTTACCAAACCTGCATCAGTTGCTCACGGCCGTCTCAGGCGTCGTTGCAACCAAGACGCCGAAGATACGTCAATTGCGGACGATTAAAAAGGAAATTCTGAAGCTCATGGAGACTTACATCAAGAAGGCCGAAGATTTCGAGGCCGTCAACAACAACTTCATCCCTCCGTTGTTCGACGCCATCCTCGGCGACTACAGCCGCAATGTCGAGCAAGCCCGTGACGCGGAGGTGCTCAATGTCATGGTCACCATCATGAACACCCGCTTGGGCCCTCTTCTGACGCCTCAAGTCCCCCCAATCTTGGACGCGGTCTTCATGCCAACGCTGAACATGATCAACCGCGACTTTTCGGAGTACCCCGAGCACCGCGTTGGCTTCTTCAAGCTGCTGCGCGCTATCAACCTCAACTGCTTCCCTGGTACGTTATCGTTTCGCTTGCGAAAGGCTATCGGTGGCTGAACCAAGTCACAGCGCTATTGACTCTCCCTCCCGAGCAATTCAAGCTGTTCATGGACAGCATCATGTGGGCTATCAAGCACACCATGCGAGACATCGCGGACATTGGCTTGAACTGTACGTGGTCCCCCCGTTCTCCTGATGTGGACCAACCTGACCTGTACCACAGTATGCTTGGAGGTTATCAACAACTTCGCCGGCGCGGACCCAGCTGTCGCGAGCAGCTTCTTCCAAGCCTACTTCGTCAGCATTATGCAAGACATCTTCTTTGTGCTCACGGATACGGACCATAAGAGCGGATTCAAGCTTCAAAGCCTGGTCTTGGCTCGGTTGTTCACTCTCGTGGAGACGAACCTTGTGGCTGGACCCCTTGACCCTTCACAAGAAGCCAGCGAAGCAAACCCCGTCTTCCTCCGGAGATACACAGCGAGCATCCTCAAATCGGCTTTCCCGAACGTTCACCCGTCAGTGCTGCCATATATTGGAGCGATGCGCCTATCTGACCGTTGTCTTGGTTCTCTAGAACACAAGTGGAAATGTTCGTCCAGAACCTTGCAGATTATCACAACGATATCAACCGCTTCAAGCTTGCCTTACGCGACTTCCTCGTCCAGCTCAAGGAGTTCTCGGGCGACAACGCGGAACTCTACCTGGAGGAGAAGGAGGCCGAACAACAGCAAAAGGCAGCGGAAGAGCGCGAGAATGCGATGCGCATCCCAGGCATGCTCAAACCCTCTCAAATAGAGGATCGCGACGAAGATATATGATGCGTCACGATCCACGACCATTCGGACTTTGCTTTGGTTGGCGTCTATACGATCCGCCACTAATGCGCGCGTTCAAGTTCACGACTATAATCCCCCCTTAACCAGTCTTCACTATTAGCTATCCGGTATTTTCGCGCTGCTTGCTAGTCATTACGCAATGTCTTGCTATCCACTGTAATTGTAGATCCCATAGCCCGTATCAATGACAAAAAGAAGCAACGATGTATCTTATAATGTAAACTGCTTCTGTTGTATGGCGGTCGGACACAGAATGACACTGCGTAGGTTTGCTATCGCTATTTTGACGTGAGGTGATGATCGCGGTGAATCCAAGTCGTATCATTGCAAGAGTCAAGATAGTACGGATCAAAGGTATAAAGGTATAAATACAACGCCGCATCCATCGCCTACGCGCTCAGTAGGAACCGCCAGAAATCTGCGTAACTTTCAGCGTGGTGGTAACAATCCATGGATCATAGATGCTCACGGTAGCAGAGGCCGCTTTGATGACCGACGTCTTTCCGCCAGTCACGGTGAGCTCACCCCAGTTCCAGGTCCTTCACGTGGGGAAGGGATCTGATTAGGCATGTGCAATAACTCTATGGCATGCCCGCGCTTACCCGGAGCATGCACCGCTGCCGCAGTTGACGGCGACACGAGTAGCGCTGCTGTCAACTGCCACTGTAGTTTTGCTACCAGTGAAGTTGATGCCACTGGACGTTCTTGTCAGTCAAGGAATAATCACAATCATGAATTCAAGAGACGCGTACCTGATGGAGGCCCCCGTGCCGGGAGTGCCGAAACTGTCGGGGTAAGACTCGGTGACGAGGATACCGTAGTCGGTGATTCCGCTCAAGGTGTTCCTAAGGACTGCTATCAGTGTCAAGATGTTGGCAAGAGCGATGCTGTATAATTACCCGCTGTAAGTGACACCGCTCACGCTTGCGCTGGTGGCGTCAGCATTGACCTTGATGCGGAGACCGTTCTGGGAGTTGGTGACGGTGTTTCCGCTGAGGGAACGCTAAGAACTGATTTCGGGGTTGCGTTGAATTCACACTGTACCTAATGGTCACTCCGCTGACGGTCTTTCCGGAGGCGATGGAACCTAACAAAGCTGTGAGACCCTTGAAATGGTTGATGGAGTTCTCATCCTTACCGATAGAGATTCCGTGGCCACCGGAGCACTGGTTGTTCTGGAAGACAATGTTGCTGCCAGCATTGATGGCAATGCAATCGTCCTGGTTCTTGATGACTATCTATAGGTCAGCAGCCGTTCCTCAGCTCTTTAAGGTGGACTTACGTACCGGAGTTCTGGATAGTGACATCGCTCTCGGAGCAGTCGAAGCCCTGCAGAAAGGAGTTGATGAACAAAATATATCGACAATACGGAAATCTTACGTCAGTGTTGTGCCCGAGGCTGTTAGTGTCGCCGGCGGCTGACAACACAGCGTCAGCTACATCATGCTGCAAGGAGCGCTGAACCTACAGTTGTCGACTGTGACACCGCTCACTACCACAGGGTCGTCGTTACCCATCGATATGGCTTGAGCAGGAGTGTTCAGAATGGTGAAGTTCTCGAGAGTACCAGACGCTTTCAACCTGATCGAACATCGGATCAGAAGCCCATAGGATCAGTTCCAAGGCTTCCGAAACTCACTTCATGAAAGGATGCGGCTTGGTCTTCCCGCCGTTCGTGCCCTCTCCGTCCCAGTAATCCGGACCATTGCCCTGTAGGACTGTAAGATTCGTTATGAGACAACCAAACTGATACCACATACGTCGAATTTGTGTCCATTTCCCTAAGCAGATTGAGGTAGGCATGATTAAGAGCCAAATATGAGTTACAGCCCGACGTACATTGAAGGTGATGCCAGTGCCGGCTGAACGATGGACAAGATTAATACTGTTCATCAGCTTCGCAACTTATTAGCCTACCGATCGTGACAAGCGGGCCAGAAGCTTTTAGTGGGATATGAGTGAGGAACTGACATTAGACTCCGGTCTAGTACTCACAGGTCGTGCTAGCAAACGTCACGTCGCCGGACATGGTGACACTGGCGCCCTCAGCAAAGTTCATAGTCAAAGTCGAGCCAGAGGGGACAGTGAACGACGAGATGACGACACTAGAGCAAGACGAAAGGCTGGATGCCGAAGAGACCGAGTTTACGGTGCACGTCGCGCGCTTGGCCGTGTCAGTACCCGAGGGCATCGCCAAGGCGAGTCGAGCGAGGACGAAAGCAGCGAGGATGGTCTTAGCGGAGATCATTGTGGCCAACGAGTAGAGCAAGAGCGCGAGATACACCGGGTACTTGCAAGGAGTCAAGTAAACCTGGGCCGAACGGGATCCTCCAGAGCGGTTTTATACGCGGTGCGGCGCACACGTCGTGCATGAGGGCTCTTCTCCTCTTAGAATTCCATTTGGGAGTCGGAGATGGGCTGGTGGAGACGAGCGGCCCGCTGGAATGCTTCCGGGCCTTGGGAGGCGAGCATTCGGAAGAACGAGCAGCAACCAAGTGAAGCCCGCTGGGGCAACCGCTGGAGGCATGTGAGCGTATGTGACGTGACGGCCAGGGAAGTCGTTCTAAATTTATCCCAAGCGTGACAGAAACCTTGACGGAAGGCGAATCCGCACGCCGAGGGCGTCATGTCCGTGTATCGCATGCTCCTGATTCTGCGTTTTCCGTCGCAACTCTGATCGGGTGCTATACGACAGCAGAGAGCACTTGTTGAGACGGGTAACGACAGGCTGTTCTCTGTCTTCATGGCTTCCTCCAAGTGCTATCGCCGTGAACTCCACGAATGCGCAGGCCATTAGAAAACTTCCTGTTCCCGTACACGAGGGATTTACTGGTGCGGCGAGGGTTCTTGGCGGCATTGTCATGAGTAAATATTACCCGGTGTTACCGGGTTCCCAGCGCGAACCGGTTCCGAAGCTTTGCGAAGCCCAAAAGGCTGATGCCAGAAGGTACGACACAAGGCTACGTTCTGTCTCAAAGACAGGGAGCACCTGTCAAAAAGGTCCGACAAGCACCCGCGGATACCGCCGTGACCTTGCTTTTTTCCCGAGAAGAGAAAGGTCGCTTCGGAGTTGGATCCTCGAGTGCCTCCGTCATGTCTGTTTGTTGGGCGATTGCCTCCCATTGGTAGCTCCAGGCCCGCTACTCCTTCTTCGCTATAAATGAATATGGGTTGCCGAGCTGTATGACTTCTTTTCTTACCTCCTATGCTGGGGATCCAGACCGCCATACACGCAAGGCAACACGCAGCCATTCACATCTCTCCGCCTCGCCCATCATGTTCAGCTGGGACCGACACAGGTTTGTCCTGGCCGGGCCGGTCCAAGTGCGCATCCTCCATCCTTGTGTACGGGCCTCGCAAGAAGCATTACCTAGGTGACAAATTCGCCGCTACTTCGCATCAAGAACGTCGTGCGGGGCTGCAAATCCTGGAGAGGACCTTCATCATGTGTGCAGAGAACAATTATCGAGACTAAGCTTGCCTGTAACTAGATTGGAGACTATGAGTTGGTCTCTATAGTTTGCGCTGAAGTCGACGAAGGCCCTCCATCGGGTAATGAGACAAAACCGTGTAACCGTTGCGCATCCTGATCTCTTGTGATCACATGTTCGAATATGCGCGTATAGCGACAGCAAGCTCATATACCCGTAGTTAAGGCAGTGTCCACCTTCGGCTCATTCGAAATCCAAAGCTAATGGAAAGCGTTGCGACCAAAGAAGCGCGTAGGTGCGGAACGTACGCCCTATAGCCTCCAGCGGCCCGCAGAGAAGAATCAAGGGATAGTCGCTCCCAATAGATGAGCGTCAGCTGTGATGCACATGGCTTCCGGCACGAATAAGTCGAGTCCGACTCGAAGATCATTTGCTGGATCAGTGTTGCTGCGCTCGCATGTTTTGCCGTTTGTCTCGTCGGTCAGATGTCTCTCTCGGCCGTGGGCTACACGTATGGTCACATGTTCCTGGAAGGGCGACTACCGCGCGAGGTCGTGGGTGACGCCGAGATCTTTGGTCGTCATATGAAGTTGAGCCCTAGCGCCTTCGCAGACAGACATGAGATGTGTATTCCTTTCGCGACAGTGCCGAGCGACGGCGTATCAGCGAAAACGACCCTGCGAATGGGCAAACTCTGCAGCTCGTCACTGGCTATAGACGCATCGTGATCCGGTGTCTGCATACAGACAGTCGCCGAAGATAGAGACAGAAATGAAGTGTATGAATAGTAAGGCGTGAATCCATTCGTCGCCGGCAAGAACGAAAAAGACACGACGTCCGAAGCGACGTCCAAGTTGCCAACAGTACTACATTGAAAATACCACGTGCAGTACTGTACGACATGTTCGTTGGTTTGATACCCCCTCTCTAGTCATTGCTCCCGATAACATACGCCCCTCTTCTCGATCTATATGCACTCAGCGGCATAGATCATCTCAACACGCACGGCGTTGTCTCTATACATGCAACACAGCTTGTATGATGTCCTCGGCATAATGGAATCTGCTTCAACTGAGGAAGGTATGCATGTAGTGTCGCAGCGCAGGGCAGATTCTGACGGACACGACAAAGTTCGTCGCGCGTACAAGCAGAAGGCTCTCGCCACGCATCCCGATAAGCTGAACCAGGACGCGTCGGATTCAGAGAAACGAAATGCCGAGGCACGGTTTCATCAGGTGCGCGGTTTGTTCCCTGGCCTCGAACTGACCCACTTACGCAGCATACCTGCAAAGATACAGGAAGCGTTCGAGATACTTAGCGAACCGAAGCAACGCCGCGTGAGTGTTGCACCCCTGCTACATTCAGTACGTTATCTCGGTTTCTGAAGGACAGACGTACCATGCAGTTATATAACTACTCGCTGAGATATCTGCCTACGCGACCGCTTCCACGTCCTCCTCTCGCACGGGCATGCAGCTCCGAACAAACGCGCAAAGAAATCATGGAGCATCAGGCAAAGCTCGCCCAGACGCGCGTTGAATGGCAGCAGAAGGTGCAGAGGCGATCCGAAGAACGGTTGAAACTCACTCGGGCTCGAAACATTGAGAGATTGGCTCGGGAGGCGTCCTTGAAATGGGATGATGCTGCGTTGTTGGGGGACGAGGATGGAGGAGAACACTTTGAGCAAGGAAAGACGGCCGGCGTGCAGGAAAATCTCTACGAATGCCTTGTGAATTCATGCGTAGACGATCTGCGAGCTCGTACGAAGCATCATTCATCAAGGACGGCACGTGTGAGCAGCACCTCTGTGTTTTCGTGCCCCTCAGTCTGATTGTTTCCCAGTCTGAGAATGCGTAACGCCCGACCTTCCTCGATATTTATCGTTGGATATTTGGATTCGTACGGATTTCGGCTCACCTTGCTTCCTTGCAGAACGCTCCCCGGTTAAGTCTTATTCGTATCGAACTTTCACATCTATTGCTTCTTCCTTATGGCTATTGTATTCTTGTGTATACGCACATCTAGCATCAGCCGCCAGTGCATTTAGGCGATCAATTGCGTTGTTGCCCACCGCGGACTCAGTATGCGTGATGTTGTTGAGCGCAGTGGTTTGCGGTTTTACGATGCGTTTGAACCACGACAACTATGTACAGCGTCTCGAAGATATTGTGTAATATGGGAAAATGTCCTTCAAGCATTCACGAGCCGGAAAACTAGAACAGGAGCCAAAACATAGGCTTGACGAACAAGCCTTGATCACGTTCAAAGCCTCGCGATGTTGAAATCACGCGCATGGCGGCGGCGCAGGCGGAAGTCGTCACCGAAGTCCTCCGAATCATCGAAGTCATCTCCTGAATCATCGAAGTCGTCACCGGAGTCGTCGAACGAATCATCTCCCGAGTCATCGAACGAGTCATCGAACGAATCGTCGCCGGTGTCGTCGGACCCATCGTCACCTGGAAAATCAACTAAGCGTGGGCCTTTGTACTCGTGGAGAAATGCTCACCGGTGTCCGCTCCTGCATCGTCGCCGTCAGCGAACGAATCGAAGTCGCCAGAGTCATCGCCAGTGCCGAGGTCGTCGCCAGCATCGTCGCCTGTGTCGAGGTCGTCGCCCGCGTCGTCGCCAGTGTCGAAATCGTCGCCCGCGTCGTCGCCAGTGTCGAGGTCGTCGCCCGCGTCGTCGCCCGTGTCGAGGTCGTCGCCCAAGTCGTCGCCGGTGTCAAGGTCATCACCGGAGTCGTCGCCGGCATCGGCTCCATCATCGCCGAGATCTGCTGTGATGGCTAAGTACACCAAAGAGGGGAAAGCATTTGAAGACCTACCAGAACCGAGATCGTCCGAGCCATCCGCAGCGTCGGCGCCGGTGTCGTCAGTGCCATCGGTGCCATCAACGTCATCGGAACCATCAACGTCATCGGAACCATCGTCGGCTGCAGTAGGGTCAGCGGCATCGGCCGTGGCGGTCGCAGTGTCGTCGCCGTCATCACCATCATCGGTGGACGCAGCGTCGGTAGTGGAATCAGCGTCGGGATCCGTGGTGGCATCCGCTGCATCCGCGCTATCGGTGGCCGTTGCATCCGTATCATCGTCCGGAGCATCGGTGGCAGTGGCGTCCGCGCTGTCCGTGGCGGTCGCGTCAGCATCGTCCGTCTCGGCCGAATCGGTAGCGTCGGCGGCGTCGGTCGCAGTTGCATCCGCGCTATCAGTCGCGGTCGCGTCCGTAGAATCGGTCGAGGTTGCGTCCACGGAGCTGTCGGTAGAAGTCGCGTCGACGCTGTCGCTGGTGGTGTCCGCTACCGTAGAGGAGGCCGCCGCAACCGAGTCTGAGGAAGATGCGGCGGCGTCGCTGGACGAAGCAGCAGCACTGGACTTGGCTGCACCCTTGGAGCCAGACTTGGAGCCAGACTTCGAGGAGCCCTTCGACGCGGAAGTGGCCTTGGCCGCAGCGGTCGACTGGGTGGCAGTTGACTTGCCAGCGCAGGATAGCGCCCCGCCCGCGCGGGCTTCGTCGAGGATTTTCTGTGCCGCGCCTTTGGCCTGCTCGTAGCTGACATGGAGATGAGTGATTCGGTTCTGGGCCGTCATCGTGGCACCTCACCGTTGAGGGAAACCCGATCGCTGTACATCCTGGGCGATCGTGCCTGCACTCCTGTCAGGGTGCTTGTTAAAGTCCTTGATGGCCTGCGCAATCAACGGCGATCGCATGAGATGTCACGTCTGAACGAGTGATCTCAATGAAACTCACCGCCTGTACGAATGCCGTGGTAGCATGCGCGACTAAGTCTACGTCAACCATTGCTCAACAGCATATCCCACCGATGACATACCGTCCGTAGGGTTGGTGAAGCCCTCTGAAAGTAACCGTTAGATCCACATTATGTCCAATCGCGAATGCACGTACGAGATGGGCGTTGTTGGAAAACACCTAAGGAATCGCGATCCCCGAAGTTAAGGTTGTTGAACTAAATCACGTATTCAGGTAGCTATCAGGAAGGGACAGCGTCGGAACCCACATGAGATTCAACCTAAGAGATCGTCAGGCTTGCCTCTATCGCCTCATTGAAATGCACTTACCAAGCCCGTTTCGAAAGTGGCGAGAACTACGGTTTCCGGAGCCTTCAGTGAGGTCACCGTTTTAAGGCTACAGACAACGTCAGTGCCCGGTGCGGTGAAGGTGAAATCGACAAGTAACAACGCACACAGTCTGGACGACATTCGGATCACAGGTAGCAGGAACGACATTCTTGCGCTTCTGAGCGGGTAGTGCCAGCACGGAGCCCGTCAGAAGCAGGACTGAGGCGAAGGCACGCATGTTTGAAGGACCGTGAACGAATGAAAGACGCTTCAGTGAAAAGAAAGGAAGGAAACCGTCTTGCGGCGTAGGAGAATGAGCACCATCAACGGTCTTCGAACTGTTCTTATACTGGTATGGGCGGTGAGAATCAATATCGTCGATACCAGAGAGGCAAACCGACCGACCGCGAGGAGTCAAGTTCCCTGTCATCCGAAGCTCCAGAAATAGCTGGGAGCTGCCAGCTTGGATAGCGACTAATGCAATCGTAAGCTCCGCCCCGTCAAGAGATGCATACCGGGGGATGATTCGGGAAGATCGCGATCAGCGCTGCTCTCTTGCCAATTATCAGGCACAGCCCGGACGACGTGCAGCGCATCAGCGGGAGTGACGTGTGTTCACGCATCCTGGACTGAGCGCTTTAGGAAATCGATGCATAACTCGGTGCTGGAGAGTCGGAACTTGTTTGCGCAAATCGATCAAGTGTGTTTTGAGGATGTTTAGGGTCGGGGGGAGGTTGAATTCCTTGCACTCGCGCTTGTATCCTGCCTCCAGATCCTGCATAGGGGAGTAATCGTTCATAGATACTGTTCCCCGCGCTGAGTGACACATGCTGGATGAATGGCCTTGGCTTGGCAGTCAATCAGGATATCAGTGATCGACGAAGCCAGACATACACTCACCTCCCGACGGTTGACATTTTTCCCACGATGCGGGTCAATGCGAGATTATCTGTTTGCGACGTCTGCAGCTTCGCACTGATAAGCTGTCACAAGCATTCGTATGACCACGAGAGAGCCCCGTACGACCTCCGGAATTCGAAGTTCAGCGCCCTAACCAAATGATTCCATCATATTCGCCATAATGGCGTAGGCCTGAACAGGCTCAATGAGCACCGAAAGTACGTCGACGTCGCGCATAGCGAGTATGGCACCTGTACGCGCTGTAGATTCATGCATCGACGTCACACCCAAGCTACAGACCCTATGAGATGTAGAGTATCACGTCACCTCGAATGAGCGGGCTGCGAGATCATCCGCGGATCCTCGGTGCCACAAGTTCCGAAACAGATCGGGCGCCGAACGTAGAGCCATAGCGTTCCCAAGTCAGTCAGAGGCAGCCTGTGTCAATGAATGAGTACCTGACGGAGAGCGCATCTTACCAGTCACTTCGGAATCAGGCAGATCTCAGCCTGACATCTAACGGCGGTGGTTCGCAGAGAATGATGGATCGTGACTATAAGCTTTCAGGCCACGCAACAGGAGGAAAAAACAGATGGAGAATGAGTTGGGGTGATATTATCTATCCGGGGCTCAGTCAACAACTCATGCACACACAATTACAGGCGCAGGAGACTCACCGATATTACAATACTTTTACATATGTGAACTAGGAGGAGTATTCAGTAGTCCTCCACGAAACAAAATGGCACACACGCAGCAGGCAGGGGATTGTTCGGTCTCAACAGAACCCCTCAGCGCGCCCACGATCCTCTGCCTCAATTTCCCGCCGAAAAATCCGTCCAGACAGCCCCAAAAATCGGGAGGCTGCGGGGACACCGAGCCCGTCCAACAATCCGCCGGTCCTCCGGAGCTCAACACAGTTTCCAATAAACCACACCGCATCCATCACCAGCAACTGCCACCTGCTCCACATCCACGCCCTTCTTCCACACCTTCCCGCTCATGTCCCGCACCACGTCAGCCTTGCGCTTCCGTAGCATGAACCTCGCGCCTTCGACCACGGACTCGACCGCCCCAACCGACGATGATGACCCTGTGTTCGCCGTGAGAATGGCACGCAGAAACCCTAGAAAGGGAAGCCAAGTTGCTCACCCTGTGCTTCCGGCCCTGCGATCAATCCCTTGCTCGCCGGAAGATGCATCTGCGTCGGCACTGGCACCGTGTTTTTCTTCCCGTTGCCAAGCTGTCCATCGTAGTTCAGGCCCCAGCTGAGCAGGTCCCTGCCGCCGACCTGTTGAGCGCCGGCGCGGGGTCCAGAGCGCTCGTGAGTCTCCAGGGAGCAGAAGACGTGCGCGCCGGTAGGTGCGATGGATATGGCGTGCGGCGCGATGGGCTCCAAGCTCTTCGTCGCCTCATCGTCTATAGCAACCGTCAGACGTCAGTAACAAGAGGGATGACGGAACGACCCGGGCGACGTACATTCGAGTAACCCGGAGATGTTCTTGACGCGAATCGGCGTGCTCTGGGCGTTGCTGAAGAGTCCGCTGCCCAGTCCGCCGTACTGCCCGTTTCCACAGGCGGTGACGTCGACGAGGGTCATCCCGGTGCCGTCTCGGCGCTCAACAGTAAACATGCTCAAGTCGGCACCTGAGTCGAACGCAACCATAAGCGAAGATGCAAAGACAGCGAGCTCCTTTCCGTACCGGCATTAACGTCCAGCACTTTACTGGTGCTGTTCTTCCTCAATGTGGCCGGGATGGGAATGACCTCCGTGGGGCGGGTGATGCTCTGCACCAACACTGTTCCGCCAAGGCCAATCTGTCTATCAAACGAATGTCCGCTCGGTCATCTACGGGCGTGTCTGCCAGGAGGACCGATACTCACCCATACTCGTTCGCACCCCAGCCCAACACTCGACCGCCGTCCGTGCGGATGAAGCTGTGACGCCCACCAGCAACAACCTGCGCAACCGGAACGCCCCTAAGTGCGGGAATCTCGTACAGTTTGTCACAGAACCTGGTTCGGAACAGCATCCATCAGTACCGCAATAATTGAGTATCGTTGTCCCGGACCCACCGGATATCAGAGTCGTCGATAACCAGCTCCTTCTTCTTCCCCTTGTCCTTGTCATCGTAATCCGGCGCATAGGGTGCGCGGTTGTAAGGCGAGTTGACCGCCCTCAGGTCGACGCCGGCTTTCGGCAGTTCCACCTTGAGGTGCTCCTTGATGGCCTTCTTCTTCGCCTTCTCTTCATCCGTCAGTGTTGAGTCCGGTGTGAGGTTCGTAACCGAGACGGGTACGTCGATGGAGGACAGGCCTAGCTGACCATTCGAATTGGCTTTCATCGAGGCCGGGTGGGCGAACGTGCGTCCGCTGGAGGTGAGCGCTAGCAGGTGGTCCGTGCCAGCCGAGATGCTCGTGAACCTTACAGCAGACGATCAGTACACAGATGTCTCTCTCCCAAGATGTGCAGAGGAACATACTTTTCTTTGCGGTCCAGAGAGGTGTCGGGCTTGAGCTCGATAAAATCGACGAGCCCGCTCCCGGCCTGTTCTTCGCCCCATATCCACCCGGTGCTCCACCACGGCGTGCTTGCAGGAGTCGGTACGCCTGCGGGTAGCGATTGCTTTGCGGCGGACGAGGAGAGGACGTAGATGGCTCCGGAGGAGGAGAGCGCATACACTCGGTTTGGGGTCAGCTGGATGGAAGTGATGTTCTACAGCGCAAGAAATGGGTCGTAAGCAGCTTGTCAAACAGTTATGCGTCTAATACGGAGATTGGCTGAGGCCTCACTTTGCCCTTCAAAGTTGCCTTGGGTTCAGATGCGTCCGACGAAAAGGTTGAGCCCCATTGGTAGACGTCGCCTCGAGCGTCTACGCAGACGGCGTGGCCAACACCGAGTGCAAGGTCACGGAGCGCAACGTCGTTAAGCCAGCCTGCCGGCACCGGCGTGCGCGCGGAAGTGGGTGTGGAGTTTGAGGACGTGGAAGGGAGGATGACACCGTTCCTACAGGCCCATAATATATTGTCAGACCATAAAGTCAAGAAACGGAGAGAGACAAACGCACTTGTTCGAGCCCCAGACTTTTGACACCAGGTTATCTTCTTCCTCTTCGACTACCGTGCTAACGGGTACGTCCCGCTCATCCTCCACAACCGTCGCCTCTTCGCTCAGCGACTTTGCTTTAGACGGCGCAACCGCTTCTTGCTGATCCTTGAACGCATAGAAGTGGTCCACGGCTCTGCGGTCCACGAGTAGGAAGTAGCCAGTGCCGGCCGCGACGAAAGCAGCAAGACCCAGTTCCGGTAGGTAGCTTCTCCGACGCAGCCCCGATGATCCTTGCGCATATGTTCGGCGCAAACGACCTAGACGTGTCGACCTCTTTGCCACTCGAAGCATGGCCAGATAGACAGACTAGAACACCAAAAATCTGCTCGTTGCAGCCTTCAACTCAAGCGGCGGCGGCGACGAAGAGCAAGCGCGGACACGTGACGTCATCGACGCTGACCTTTCCTTCCTCCGCGACTGGTTAGTGGTCTTCATGGGTGCGGCATCGTCGAAGGTCGCCCGCCGGCTACCGCGAGAGAAGCCGACGTGGGCGGGAGCCCGGAAAGATATACCACCGACGGTGGGAAATCCCCAGCAGGTCGAGAACCCGGAACGGTTCAGTTACGGCGTGAGTGAGAGCAAGGATGCGGGTGTGTTCACGCAATCCGGATCAGCAGCGGCGTCTGACAGAGAGAATCCCTACTCCATAGCGATACGGGAGGACGCTCAGGATCCTCATTTTGCGGCGAAGCTGTCGCAGCTCGGACAAGTGCGTGTGGACCACCACATGAAAGACGTCAACGTCTCCGTGCGTTTAAAAGGCTGCTCTTGACCGAAGATGCTGCCCTGACTGCGTATATGCGCTCGTATAGGCTGCAAGGACATCTCGCATGCTTCAGTCGCGTCTGCAATCTGAAGAGGAAGCCGACAATATCCGGTCTTCCTCCGCACGGAAGAACCGCATCCTCGCCTCGGACCTTCTCGAGCTCCTTCGTCAACGACAAGACAGCGCTTCCGACCGTGACACCGAGGCGGTCGAAGAGCGAGCGAAGAGGCATGGCTTGGACGCAGAGACCTTCAGAAGTGTAGCACGATACGTTGCTGCCCCGGGCATCGAAGAGGGAAGCGTCGTGAAGACCATATTGGACGACGGAACAGAGCGGGTGACGTATAAAGTAAGTCGTTGCGATCCCTGACTCGAATCAGGACCCGGCGCTGATATGAAGTCGTGGGTGTACAGGCGGTATGGATAGACAACTCGTCGATGTCCCGCCCTTCATGAGCACGTCAAACAGACCAAGACGACCCGTATTATACGCTGGCGATTGTTCCCAATCTCTCGTGCCTCCATCTGCGCAAGATTCGACAGTAATGCCTCGGAGCTCCGTCACCTGTGCAGTAGCGTCATTCCGAACGCGCAGTTGGCCACATTATCATATTGACCCTCGCAACGCTCGTTGGAGCCGGCAGCTTTCCGACTGCGACGCTTTCCCTTGCATCTTGCTCGCCTCCATCATCGTCGTCAAGGACCAGCGTAGCTAGACGACAGGTCCGTGTGGGATCCCCATGGAGGGCGTTCGAACAGATTTTGCAGCCCACGGCTTCTCAGCGCTTTTGGACATGTCTTCTTTCATACCCAGCTTTGTCGTCGTAATATTCAGTAGTCAGTCGTCTACGTGACGTGCGTGAACATGTAACTCCTGTACTTCTCCTATCATGGAATAGCCACTCAAACCGACAACAAACCTTCGGAAAATGTCTAAGTTGGTGTGTTGAGCGTACGAATATTGCATCGTGGAACATCACCACGTCATGCGCGCAGTCAATGAGTCGTCCCTGTCAGTTTCCAGCGGATCGTTGGGTAGGCCCGTACAGAGCGAAAGCCAATACGTACCTCGCGAACAACGCAACATGCCAGACGAGCCTAATCGATCTCTGTGTCCCATATTCTTGCTGAATTAACGTAGCCGCCGGAGACGACGCGCTTGCCATCGGGCGAAAATGCAGCGGACTGGACGCAGCGGCCATCGTGAGCTTCCCAAGGCCCTGCCACTGTCTGTCCCGTCTCCGCATCCCATATCCGAATTGTGCCGTCCCAGGAGCCAGAGACGATGTAAGCGCCATTCGACGAGAATGACACCGAGGGGACCGCTTCTTCGTGCCCTCGCAGTGGTCCTAGCACCATCTGTCTTGTCTGAACGTCCCAGATCCGTATTGTCTTGTCCCCAGACCCCGAGACGATGCGCGCGCCATCGGGGGAATATGCGACTGACCAAACCCAGCGATCGTGGCCTCGAAACGGGTCCCCAGCTGGCTTGCCTGTTTCTGTATTCCAAAGCCGAATCGTTCCGTCGCTGGATCCAGCGGCGATGTGTTTCCCATCCGGTGAAAATGCAACGCTCCAAACTGAGTCAGAGTAATCCCGTAAAGGCTCGCCGATAGCCTGTCCCGTCTGCGCGTCCCAGAGTCGGACCGACATGTCGGCTGAGCCCGAGACGATGCGATTGCCGTTGGGTGAGAATGCAACACACAGAACCAGGGATGTATGCCCTCTGAGCGGCTGCCCAATCTGCTGCCCTGTCTGCACGTCCCACAGCCGCATGGTGTGGTCCATTGAGCCAGAGGCAAGGCGCTTTCCATCGGGGGAAAACGACACCGAGTAGACCTCGCTCGTGTGTCCCCGTAAAGGCTCGCGGGTTTCCTTTCCGGTGTCCACGTTCCAAATCCGGATGGTGTTGTCCCCAGAGCCCGAGGCAATTTGCGAGTTATCCGGAGAGAATGAGACAGAGTACACAGCGCCAGAATGACCTTGCATTGTATGCTGCAGAGCCAGCCCTGACGATGAAGTCAATACAACGTGCGCAACACATCCAAACACCGCGACGTACCACCGAATATCGTCATCCTCGCCATCGCCTGCCGGATCCCCGGTCGCCTCTTGTCAACATGAGGCACAAGTTTGTTCATCACACGTCTGGGATATCGCTTCAAGTTCACGTCTGGCAGGAACGACGACATTGTGTCGAGGATCCATATCGTATCAATTGCACGCATCTCGTGCAAACATGAGTCTGTTGATTCGCCGAGAATGGTTTCAAGAATGTCAGAAAGTGTGCTTTCATCAGCGATATTGAAAAAAGCATTCCTGCCCATCTCTGTGCGAGTTCAGTGCAGAGCTTGTGGGAACATGATGACGCGGCCAACCTGTAGACAGCATTTCGTCGAGCACTTGACGATCCACCTCCGCAAGGCCTTCATCCAGCAGCTTCGCAATCAACCGTCGAGCGGTTTCATACCATTGAAGCCGATTTAGTACTTCCGAGATCCGAGGTCGCTCAGACGGATTTGCTACCCAGCACGAGCTGATGGCATTACTCCATATGAAATCGTCCAGGCCTGCATGCAGAGGCCGTGTTGGTCGTACACCGTCGAGAACCTCACGAATGACCAAGAACATGTTTGCAACATGGAAAAAAGGGTGCCTCCCATCAAAAATCTGCAAGTTGGATCGGTTTACGTGGTTCAGCGGCGTCGAACTTGCACTCACCTCCCATGCGGTCATCCCAAATGCATACACGTCAGACTTCCACGTTAAGCTCCTATCCTGTACCATTGGATCGAACAACTCAGGGGGCATGTAATGAAAAGAGCCCCAATTTGCTGATGGCCCGGCAGTCGGTGCCAAGGAGGTGGTACCAAGTACCGTCGTGGCGAGACCAAAGTCACTGAGACGCGCATACCCAAGGCTGTCAACAAGGACATTGCGCTGCGTCCCGGAGACTGAATATTGATTGACCGTTCAGTAGAATACTAACTCACGCTTTTGAGATCCCCATGGACGACACCGCTGGCATGCATGTACTCCAAGCCGCGAGCAATGTCCGTGATCTGATGTGGCCCTGTGAGATTGACACGGTGAGCATCAAGACGCAACGCTCACGAGTTGAACGCGATTCGCACGCGGGTGACTCTCAATGTACGACATGACATCGCCATGTTCCATCCATTCCGACACGATACACGCTTGGTTGGATGGATCGATGCCGATGAAGGGGACGATATGAGGGTGATTCAGTCGTTTCCAGATGACGGCCTCCCTGCAGAACACCTAATCGTTTTCGCGAGTTGACCGAGCGGATAATTGTGGCCTGGCATCGTAGGTCACGCACCTTCATGAACGATTTCCCATCCCTGACGTGCAGTCGCATGCACTTCAAAGCCACAAATTTGCCATTGAAGGTCCCGCGATATACGTCGGCGAATCCGCCAGCGCAAGGTGGATCGGTCCCAACCCTGGCCAGTCCCGACAACCTGTACCTGGTGGGTACGAGCCCGCTTTCGCCGCACAGTTCTCTCAGCGAGCGCAGGGTCGTTCGAAATGCATCGTCCGTTCGACGTATCTGGTCGAGGCCCTAGGGAGCACGTTGAGTTTCTCGTTTTGCTCCTTTGCGGCCCATGCGATCACCACTCACGTTGTCTAACAAGTCTATCTTCTCCTGCAAATCCGCGGTATCAGATGCTGAACTGTCCTCCATGTAACGTCGCACTGGATGCAGACGAGGAGGCGTTGGGGCAAAGGGTCGGCCACGGATGCACCTCGTTGATGTCGTTGATGCCTTGTATCACGATTAGCGCCGAGGGACCCGTCTGGGTTAATTCAGCAACGGCTGTTGACACGTGTATCGCCTTTGCACGACGTGCGCGATAGCCTGCCTTGATGCTGTATCGTGAGAAGTGACGTCTTCATTCATCGCCCTCATACCGATGCCGCGCTTCATCGTGACCGTCGATTGCCGCATGGAGTTACGCAGCTGTAACATCCTTTATGTAGAAGACGTGTCTGTGAGTGTGAATTAGCTTTGACATTCGAAGGACACGAGGTTGCTGGAAGCCGCGAGGCTTTGCGCGGTCAAAATGGAACATTCCAGTATTTTGCTACCCCGAGATAGCTACTCACATGGAGAGTCGTAGTGTTAGACTTCAGTGCGTCATCGAGACGCGGCATGTCGTTGAGCGTTGAACGTCGAGGGGGGAATTGCAGCTCGATAGCTGCTGAGGTCGCGTATAGCTCTGGGTTTACCTCCCGTGATGATCGCGTATTCAATCGCCTATCATGGCGTCCCTTTCCCTCGGTTTCAGCAGCTTTGAGTACAGCATAACGACACTTTTTGCGCCGCGAACCTGGAATTCGACAAAGGAAGCCATGCAGGGCCTACCGAAGGTCGGTCTGCCTCGACGAGGCCGCCATCAAATGCCCCCTTTCGGCGCCAACTCGTGGTCGCAAGACTCGGAGCGCCGGGAAAAGTCGACCGCCGATCAGTCGAAAGGTTCATAGCATCGTTGCGTCCGCGCCGACGTCTGAATTATTGAAGTTCCCGAGAAATATGGCTATTCTCCTGCGCGAGCGCAATCATTCACCACCTCTGGCTGGGTTATGCGGGTCATGTCACGCTAGTCCTCTACATGTTGCACGGCGACCTCTCGTTGCCTGACTTCGCAATGTTGGAAGCCTGAACGCCCGTCGCGAAGCGTGGAGCCCACCATTCGCCCTCGGACTTCCACGTATCGGCCACCATCAGACCAGCCTGAGTTTGAGCATGGTTGGAACTATGGCAACCGCAATAAGCACAAGCTGGTCGTACCGAGAACGAGCGGCAAATGTATACGTGCGCCTAGAGCGTCGTGCAGGTCCCTCCACAGCTAACCCGCCGGCTCCCTGGCCTGTGCAGTTGCTCTCGCCGTTGGCATCGATGTGTCATCGCATGAGACTGCACGGAGGTCGTCATTGGCTTGCATAAGATTAGAATACAGCACGGATCCACCGACCTCGCACATATACTCGGACGCCATGGTCGATGACGCTCATCCCGCACGTTCAACGAAGCCATTGTTCGTGTTGACTGCGTCCTGCGGGAGCTACATGGTAGGAAGTGGAACTCAGCATGTCGTCAAAACGCAGTGCGGCTGCAGAATCGGGAGGGCGTACCTATTACACCCCCGCCACCTTCTTTCCCTGGGGCCCGTGGTAGGCTGTTCATCGTTCACGGAATACTTGGAGCCTAAGTAGTGCATGCACGTATTGTCGAGAGCCCAAAGGGAAGCTATATCCCTGAGATCGCATCGCCGAAGGTCAACACCTAGTCTATGGTGACGAAGTTCCGGTTGGGGTCGTGGGCGGAGAGCGTAATCGCAGCGCTTGCTGGTGATCGAAATCGCTCCGTCAGAGGGGAGTTCCGGCGCAGGACGAGTTGCGTCTGAGGCTGCAAAATGATCCGGCATACGGCTAGGGAGACGCAGAAGCAGCAGAGAACCGAAGTACGGTAAACCTAGGCGGGTGGTCAGCACGCTCGACGCTGATATAGATGTGTCAGGGGATGGCGAGCAAGAAGCCGCGCAAGCCGGCACATGATGCGTGATACAGAACGTTCACCTTGGGCTTTTGACGGTCAACTGCCCGACTACAGGCGGGATGCGCTGCGGTCCGGTCGTGGCGTTGGGCTAACATATCCAGCAGCATTGAAGGGATCATCTGGGAAAGGAATATAGACGAGTTCAGCGCACGACGATGATCCTCGGGTAGAAAACCGACCATCTCAGCCTGAGCCGACTACCCCATGCCACGAATGCGCTCCGTATCGCGTTGAAACGCGATCTTGTATCGCCGAAGATCCAGGCGCGCGGAGCCTCCGGTTGACTATGTCACCGTGGACGCCCGACATCGCGACGCAGACGCTGGCGGATGGACCAGATGACGGGTCTGCATGCTGGATCAATATTATTGGAGTCTCTGTGAAGGTTGCCGTGGACCCACGACGGACATCTGTACGCCTTGTGAATCGTCTTTGCCGGTCATGGACCCTAAGAGCGGCGTATGCGCGTCAGGCGAGCCTCTCACGTCGAATTACTTCGACCAAAGCACGTCGTTCATCATCGAGCTCATATCGCCCGCCTGCATCGAGGCCGTTAGTCCTCGCATGCGACCCTCTTGGCCGGCCAAAGAGGCATACCCAGCGAGATCTTGCATGCATATATTCAGACAGCCTTGACCATGAGCTCTCGCGTGGGCGAGCCGAGATCATCCACGGGCCGAAAGGACGCGTTGCGCTGTCTTCCAGAGCGTGGACTATGAAGGTGTCGTGATCGTCGGCTCGAGGGTCGAAAGGGGCCATAAGGCGAGGATGGCAGGCATACCTATGACGGGTCGCGACAACTCCCTCGCAAGCCGGGTGCATATATGATGCAGCCCGGCGGCATTCCTGTGCCATGCGCTAGCACGATATCGCTGGGCGGGTCTAGGGAACAGATGCCGCGGGCGTCGTGTCGGAGCCTGCCTCATCGAAGCGTGACCCAAGGCAGAGGAAGGGCTTCAAGGGCGTATCCGGCTCTCTCATCGTGAGCATATAGGCTAGGTCGCGGGGCTTGCCAGCGTTGAGTTGAGATCCATGTTACGCCGCTAACGAAGAGTTGCGTCGGACGGTCGATATGCCAGGATTCACCGGGCTCCCGTGCGCCTGTCGACAAGTCAGCCCGACTCGCAACACGTATGTGGGGAGCGCCAGAAACTCAGGCGGTCAACCCGAGCAGGCGCCGGGTACGATCATCCGCCGAGGTTTCGGGGGCTCCGCGCTCCCCTCAGCAGGTCCTGCACCAGGCAACCTCTCGAGCCGTCACGAAAGGTACTCACCAGAAATCCAAACTTGGAAACGGCGCGGGTGGAGACGCGATCGCGGGTGAGCCCTGCGGTTGTGGTTTCATGCGGGATGCGTGCCCAGAGACGTCGGTAGGTCGTGCCGGCAAAGCCGGGAGTTGTCGAGGTCGAGGTAGGTAGTAGGTAGGTAGTATTATCCGGCGCGGTCCCAATACCGGAACAGCCGGTGCCCGAGGCCTCGCTTTGGCGAGCTGGGACACAATGGCCGAGAGTCGCAAGAGAGTGGAGCTGAGCTGACAGAGGTGGTCCGCTCCAGAATTGGAAAGCGACGTTTCGAGTTTGGAAGCAGAGTCGAGATCTGAGAAGGCAAGGCTGCCATGTCCAGGTTGAAGTCGGCGCGAGAGGTTGATGGGCAAAACGCGACCGACGATCCCAACGTCATCGTCGCGTCTTCGGCTCTCGCACCCAGGCACCTCCACTGTCCAGGCACCTCCGCTTCTGCGCACACAACGCGGGCTCTGAACCAAGATCACCGTCAAGTCCTTGTGAAGCGCGAGCGACTTGTCCGCCCTCACGTATACGCCCTCGCCTACGACCTCCGCCTCTCCGCCCGTGATGGGCCTCTTCGACTCCTTGCAACCCATGCGTCAGCCTGAATCGACCCACTCGCATCTATATCTATCGAATATCCGGCGGCGGCATCGCATCGCCTTTGTTGCCAGCAAACCTAACGGCTCACATTTCAGCTACGCACAAGTCCTAACGCGCCGATCTATGAGGGAATCTCATTCGCCGGTTCATCCCATGCACGTCCCCCGGCCTCGCTGCATCGTCATCGCCGCATTCTGACCTCCCTCTGTCTTCCAAAGATATGGTATATGGGTCGAATGACGGTCTGGATAGGGTGACCCGCATCTACTGGCGCTCTCGCCTCGACGTCTTTACATTGGCGGACGCTGCGCCGCCGGCGTGCGTGCGTCTCACCACCTTCTAATCGCACATGCGCCCCGGAGTAACGAACTGTTCTCGATTCCTCGGACGCCATCTCACATCTGTGCCAGCGATCCAATCCGAGGCGTTCCATGACGAGGACCTGATGATCAGCGAATGGCAGGACGGATGCAACCTAGATTGGGCGGAGCACGACACCTCTGCACAATCGACGATGGTGGTGCGTCGCCGTATGCACGGTGATAGTACAGATGTTTAATATCAGCGTGCAGCTCCGCCTGACGGAACGCGATCCGCTTCCGGGCTCGACACTTCCATGTTGAAGGATATCCCCATGGTCGGATCCCCCGCGCTCCCCTTGCCACCATCCGCGTGAACTACCAAGGCTCGAAGCCGCATCGCGAGAACCTCGCCGCTTCGAGCTTCCGGGAGATATCACGTCGGGCGGTGTGTGTTCGAAGGGCATTCTCCGTGCGCGCCTACGCCTCTGTTATATCTTCAAGATGCTGATGCTCTTTTTCTGCAGACAGGGCAGACAGGGCAAGCAGTAACGCCGTTGCGCTAATGCAACGGCCGCGGCATCGACTCGACGACCACACGCCAGGATCCCAATATCGCGAGGAGCCATCTGAAGCGAGTTCCGTCGCAATCGCAATCGCTCGAGCGCAAACTGACCTATCTCCAGCTTAGCCTCCCGACGGCCGGTGGTTCTTGACGACGACGCAGCTCTCGGCTTAGTAACGGCAAGCGCTCAAGCAGTTCAGGCAATGGTAAGTTCTTGCCCTCTCTCGGGTGTCCGAGGTCTGTGCCGACGCTCCGCTTCCGCGTCCAGCTCCCCCGCCTCAGCCTTCCCGAACCGGAGACACATCAGCAAATATGCGATTGTTCTTTGCTGAGCTTTTGAGGAGTCTTCTCGCCCATCAACGTTCCCCCCACCCCCCTTCCCAACTTCGGATGCTCCTCTGCGCCGGCGATCAGACGGACGAAGGTCAACATGATCGACCATATGCGCCGATGCAAGTCTCGTGCGCAAGTCTCAAGGACGCGCGAGGGGCAAAGCTTTTCTTGCAGGCGGATGGACTGATACCCGCACCGGTCCCCAACGATGCTGACGGCCGTGCCAGCTCTTCGCCCATACTCGACCCAGCCTCCCGCGCGATCGAGCACGACCTACACGACGGGTGCCCATGCCGTCCGTACATCCCAAGTGGCGACCATCGTTCAAAGAACTTCGCTCATCGAGATGCGCTCACGGCCTCTTCGCCGACGGTATTCCGATCACTGGGGAGTTCGACAGGTCAAGGCTACGGGAGCAGGCCAGATACGCGGCACCTTCCGCCTCCTCCGACATGCTGCTAAGGCGTATCGATCTGCATCCGTCCTTCGCCCGCCGTCCCGGACCGTCGACCGATGGCACCTGCTCGGCCGCGCTGGTCGTTGATCACGCCGGGTTGCAGAGGGTTGCTGGGAGGAGGGATGGACGACGAACATCTGTCTGGGACGTGTCGAAGGATCGGGCTCCGCGCGCTGGGTAAACTTCGATGGGCAGATAGTGACGGAACGGAGGAGTGACATTTACAAGGTAAGGTCGCATCCCAACTGTGCTAGCGTTACTGACGCTGCACTCAGTACCTCACTTGCCTCCGTCGAACACCTTTTCTCTCGATGGATAGTAGAAAACTTAAAATTTGCGACGACGTGGAGATATTTTGTTCCCTGGGCACCCTAATCACTCGCCCGCCGTTGTATTTCGTTGTCGTATGAATGTTACAGTGTCGCCTCCGGCGAACCGCTCTATTCAGGGCGTGTGGTACATAAGTGCACTACGTGGACGAGAACGGGGAACCGATGCAAATATACACGGCGTACGGTACGGGCACACCTTGGAAGATCTGCGTATGGAAACATGGCGCCTACTGAGTCGCGTGAACGGTACATGGGGCGCCTTTCAAGCCGCGGCAATGTCCAAGATAATATCATAATTGCATGGATGATGTTTCGCGGGCGATCTCCGCTTCATGCGCTTCTGGCCAGTGGACGCGAATCGACGGCGTCAACTACCATTTCTCGTCAGGGAGGTCCATGCACGACGAAAGCGGATGCGCACCTCGAAACCGACCCCATCCCGACACCGCACGCTGGCCTAATCGACCTCTCCATCCCATATTTTCACCATGTTGTCACCACCCCCCGAGACGAGGCGCTTGCCATCGGGCGAGAACGCAACGGAGAAAACCCCCCAGTAGCCACTGTGAGCTTCCCAAGGCCCCGCCACAGTCTGACCCGTCTGCGCGTCCCATATCCGCATCGTGCCGTCACGAGAGCCGGAGACGATGTACTTGCCATCCGGCGAAAATGCCACGGAGTTGACCCATCCTTCGTGCCCTTGCAGTGGCCCCACCACCGTCTGCCTTGTCTGAGTGTCCCAGATCCGGATCACGTTGTCTCTTGACCCCGAGACGATGCGCGCGCCATCGGGGGAATATGCGACTGACCGAACCGTGCCATCGTGGCCTTGAAGCGGGGCCCCAACTGGCTGGCCTGTCTCGGCGTCCCAGAGTCGGATCGTGCGGTCGCTGGATCCAGAGGCGATGTGCTTCCCATCCGGTGAAAATGCGACGCTCCAAACCCAGTCAGAGTGTCCCCGTAAAGGCTCGCCGATGGCCTGTCCCGTCTGCGCGTCCCAGAGTCGGAGTGTCTTGTCTTCTGAGCCCGAGACGATGCGGTTGCCGTCGGGTGAAAATGCGACACACGTAACCTGGCCTATATGTCCTTCGAGCGGCTGCCCGATCCGCTGCCCTGTCTCCACGTCCCACAGTCGCACGGTCCCGTCAGTTGAGCCAGAAACAAGGCGGTTTCCATCGCGGGAAAACGACACCGATCTGACATAGTCCGTGTGCCCCCGTAAAGGCTCGCCGACTTCCTTTCCGGTTTCCGCGTTCCAAATGCGGATGGTGTTGTCCTCTGAGCCCGAGGCGATTTGCGAGCCATCCGGAGAGAATGAGACGGAGTACACGATGTCGGTATGGCCTTCAACGGCCTTCAGCAGCCCTGTAGACAATATCGAGAATTAAAGGACAAAATTTAACCTACACGTCGAGTATACATACTGTCGGTGAAGATCTGCATTATTCTGCGACCGGCCCCACGTACTCCCGGTTTTTCTCCATCGCCGGCTGATAGCCAGGCCTTCAGGATACGTTTGGCGTATTGCCTTTCACCGGGCGGAACAAAGGAGAACGCGCCCAGAACAAGGGTGTATTCGTTGGCACGTGTCTTCCGTGCTTCCGGGTCCATTGCGTTGCTGAGCATAATGTCAAAAGATCCGAAGAATTGACTCGCATTGGCGAACTGGACTGTTGCCTTTCGTCCAATCTCTAGCCTAGTTTAGTCTTTCGCTAAGAGCAAATAAGCGTAATGCCTTGACTCACCTGTTGCTTGCAATTTATTGAGCATATCACGATCTGCGTCCGAAAGACCTCCATCTAGGACTCTTGGCACTACCTCCCTCGCAATTTTATAGCACACCAGCCACTCTATCACTTCCGATATCTGAGGTCGCCGAGATGGTTCGGTTTCCCAGCAGGACTCTATTGCGGTCGCCCAAATAAAACTATCCAAGCCCAACTCCTCCGCACGAACAGGACGTGACGGTCGTTTGCCCTGCACGACGTTGTGAAGCACCTCATATATGTTCTGAATATCAGGGAATGGTTGTGTTCCCTCAAATATCTTCCGGGAGGGCGATCAGTAAATAAGGCATGTATCGGTCCGTGAACCCAACACATACCTCCCATGCGGTCATTCCAAAGGCGTACACGTCGGATTCCTTCGTGAGGGTCTTGGACTTGACGCTCAAATCGAGAAGCTCGGGAGCCATATACAGCACTGTACCCCAGTTTGCAGATGATCCGGCGGTTAGTGCGATAGAGGTGGTACTAAGGGCCGTCGTAGCAAGGCCAAAATCGCTCAGGCGCGCGCGGCCGGATCCATCAACCAGGAGGTTGCCCTGTACTACGATGATTATTGGTGGATGTCGTGGATAGTCGTCGACTCACGCTTTTGATGTCCCCATGAATGAGGTTGCCTTTGTGCATGTACTCTAATCCATGCGCCATGTCCAGGACCTGCATGATTTACTTCAGCTTGGTGCGTGTCAATATAAAGCTGGTCCACGAACGAGCTGCCTGCGATCGGCAGAGGGATATCGGCTAATATAAGTCATAACGTCGCCGTGATCCATCCATGCCGAGACTATACACGCTGGACGTTGCGGATCTACACCAAGAAAGGGTACAATATGTGGGTGCACGAGTCGCTTCCAGTAAACTGCCTCCTGGCAGAAAACCTGAATCGGCTCTGAGTGAGTAACGTGTTCCACGAACTCGGAGCAATGCGTTGTCCGCACTCTCATGTACGTCGCTCGATTTCCGACGTGTAATCGCATCACTTTCAAGGCAACAGTTCCGCCTTCGTATGTCCCTTGGTAGACGTCTGAGAATCCGCCCAAGCCACGCGGATCTTCGTCCACTTTCACGAGTCCTGACAGCCGGTAGGACGTAGGCACAAGGCCGCGTTGGCCGCACAGCTGGCTGAGAGTGCGCAAGGATGTGCGATACCCGTCATCCCCGCGGAGGATTGACCCGAGGCTCTGAATCCCGTTCGTCGGTGAATCGTCACGCTTGTGTAGACTGCATGATGATTACCGTACTCGCCTGATCCAATCTGTCGATCTCCTCCTGCCAGGCCGCGATTTGGTTTGACGACGGGGGATTTGCCTCCATCAAGGTTGCTTTAGAGCGTTGGCTGGTGGTGCGGTGGGGCAGGTCAAAAGGTTGACTCGGAATGCGCTGTTGCTGATATACCGATAAGTCGGATCGCGATTAGCGCCGAGGTAGGTAGGGCAGGTATCGCACGAGGTATTGCATGCGTGGATGATGAAGACGCTACTATCAACGCCCATCTATGAACCTAAGCTACGAATCAGGCAAGGCTTCTGTCTGTTATTAGACGCGTATTGATCTACGAAGCGCGGAACTCGTGCATACCTCGAGATCATGGAGCAACGTCGCCGGCGTTAAGCAAGTGCCCGTGTGACAGACTTCCGGGAACATCTGGCAGTGATTCAAACTTTGACATGGTGGGTGAGGCGTGGCGATAAAGACTTGTTTGTACGGCCTGAGCCTATTTAGATGTCCGTGCAGTCAGTCAGTTTCAGGGTAGATGCAGCAAAGTCGGAGCATCCTAAGTGGGTGCACGAGCATAGAGTCACCGTGATCTTCGCCTTTCAGAAGAAGCCAATAATTCATCCTGCCCAACCTCACATAGCTCCGAGATCACGGAAGAGTATCGCCTATTCAGACGTTGACAACGCCAGCTACGAGAACGAGATGCAGCACATGTACGCTAGAAGAGCGTGTGGATACCAGTGCCATGACGAATAGGGACAATCAGACCGGTTTGCTGGCTAGTGCAGCTGCGCTAGCCCATTGGTCACCATGCGCCGTATGTTCGGACGCTACAAGAGGCAGGCTAATCTTTGTGCGAGCCGCATCCTGGAATAGCCGGGGATATGTGGCAGAAAAGGGGTGTAAGCATCGAACTCGACACGGTGACAGGATGTGGCGAACGTGCCTACGATCTACCCCGCTACCTTGCCAGGGAACCTCTGATAAAGCACTCATTGGACATCGCTTTATTTTGGCCTATGCCATGTATGCATGCATAATTGAGATCCCCGGGGCCTGCCTTAAGGTGGACCCGATAGCGCCTCGCCGAAGATCGTGGCTAAGTTGGTGCTGCCGACCATTCGATCTGGCTCGCGGCCGGTGAGAGTGACCGCGGCACGCTCGGGCAGTCGGAACAGCGACGCGTTCGAGGGAGCATTCCTGAGACACGAAGAGCGTGCGGACCCTGGAAGGTCCGAACCATGGAGGTTCCGAGAGAATCCGCGAGCTTCCAGCTACGCAGTCGTCCGCCATCGTGGGCAGCCTGCGACCTAACGGCCCTCTCTGCATGTTGGACGGCGACCTCCGGCTGTCCACCTCCGCGATGTACGGAGAATCAATGGACAAGATATGGTGTGAACTCGTTGAAACCAGGGCTCGGACTTCGCATCGATGAACCCACGAGGGTTTCACTGAAGTATGAGTACGCTGCCGACAAGAAGCTATGCGCGGCCAGTCACAAGCGAACCCACCGACTCCCTGACAGGTGCAGTTGCTCTCGCCGTTGGCATTGATATCCCATCGCATGCGACTGCACGAAGGTTGTTATCGGTGTGCATAGAATTGAATCACAGCACATACATCCCAGTGACCTCCCATATATGCTCGGACGTCGTGGCCAACGACACTCATCTCGCGCGTTCGATGAAGCCAATGTTCGTGCGAGCTGCGTCTTCGAGGTAGCGGAAGCTACATGACAGGAAGTGAAGGCCAGTATACCGTGCGGCGATGGAATTTGGAGCCCGCACCTGTGCCACGTCCTCGACTGGAGCCCGTAGTGATCTGATCATCGTTCACGGAGTACTTTGGGCCTAAGTGGCGCATACGCGTTTCGTCGAGAGCACGAAGGGCAGCCATAATACTGAGATTGCGTCGAAGGTCAACACGCCCCGACTCAGGTGCGATGAACTCACAGGGGGAGTTGCCTTTGCATACGCTGACTTATGCGACGTGGGACAGTAAAGCGTGGCGCATGCATGCAAGGCGAGCCATGCGCGCCCCGTCACCACCACGCGGAGAGCAGCAAGCCGGCTCAACTCCTGACTTGAGCAGTCGCGCTGTGTCCTTGGCCGTCCATCTACCGGCCCGCGCGTCTATACGATATACGATGATCACTATTGATATGAATCGCGCTGGGTTGAAACACGTACACAGGGATCTACTGCATATGCTCGGACGCCATACCCGGCCACGCTCATGATGCGAGCCTGGGTAGGCAGATCGTCATAGGAGTCGCGTCTTGTGATAGCGAGGAGTCTTTGAAAGAAAACGCACGTCAGCATGTCGTCGAAATCGACACGGTGATAGGAGGTAACGAACGTGCCTACGACCCACCTCGCGACCTTTTCCTGTGGCCCCTGGCAGTGCTCAGCGGGCACGGCTCATTGTCGGCCTGAGATATGTATGCATACATCATTGAGATCACGGGAGCCAGCTTCGAGGTGGTGTGCCGATAGCGCCTCCCCGAAGATCACAGCTAGGTTCGTGCTGCCAGGCTTCCGATCTGAGAGTGGCCGGCGAGCGTAACCGCGGTACGCCCGGGCAATTGGAACAGCTACGCGTGCGAGGGAGATGTCCAGGAGGCACGGAAAGGGTCCGATCCTGCGAAGGTTTCAGCACAGGACCGGGGAGGTGCAACACGGGGAGAGGATCGAAAAGGCCAACCCAGCCAGGCGACCAGCATGCTCAACACCGAGGTTTCGGGGAATCCACGGTCCTCCCAGGTGATCCGCGCGCCAGAAATGTCGCAGGACGTCATGATGTGCAAAGCACAGATCGCTCACCTTGCGTTTTCGATGGAAGAATGCCAGACTGCGTGCAGGATGCGCTGCAGTCGATTCCAGTGCCTGCGACTCCTTGAGTACGTTGGCATCACAGGCGTCGGCCAAGACTCGTGCGAGAATGTAAGGAAGGCATGTCGGGCGGAGGTCGTATAGAGATACGCGAGGAGAGGCCGAGAAGATGAGCGTGTGCTGAGCGCAACTCCCAGGGGCTACGGGAGATGCCGAGCGGCTCAGAAGACGACGAGCAGCGACGACGTTCATTCGGCACTCTGTCACCGCTGTCGCGCTCAAGAGCTCTGGGCCGATTCGCCTGCCAACGTCTCTGAAGCGAGAGGGATCTGAGTTCGGACACCCGCCCCGCCATGGCCTCGCCCACAATGTCCGCGCCAGGCCTCTAGGCTCTCCACACGCCTCATCCTCGCTCGATATCCTCGCACCAAAAGCTGGATAATCGCCTGCGCCGACGCAGCGTGCTCGCCAGCTAGAGACTACAGACGCTTCACGACGACCTGTGCGCGCGTCGACGTCCTCCTGCTCGTGCATGCGCCCGCGGTATCCAACGACGTACTCTCGATGAATCGTAATCCATCTCACATGCTTCTTAGTGAAGCGATGTGCGGCGTTCCGCGATGAGGACCCGATCATCGTCCAGAGGGAGCACGGATGAGAAACACGGCCGCCTGGTGGATTCATGGCGCCCACAATCGAGGCAATGGCGAGTTCTCGTATGCAGCCTGTCTGTACCGACGTTTGAACCTAACGTGTAGCTCCGCAGCCGGAACGCGAAGCCATGCTTATCCGTATACAACACAAGCGCGTTGAAGAACGTCCGCATCCCGGAACCCGTCGCGATACCCTTTCCGCTCGCTGACGAAAGTATTCATACTCGTCGGAGGCCCGTGCTTCATCATGTCGAGCTCTTGGAAGATTGCGTGGGGCGAATCGTGCTTCGAGATGCTTTTCATCAGTGCGCGCCTGCATTTTTCCTTCCTTCCGGTTGCTGACGCCTATTGATTCATAGGTGTGGAGGGATCGTACCCCTCTCGTAATCAACCAGGTTCAGTGTGAGTGACGTCGCGCTCTTAATAGCTCGAGTACTATCGAACATGTATACCCAGTAGCATCCCGATGGGGATGGCGGCTCTCAAATATCGAATGGTTGACAGTTAGCGACGGCGATGCGTGGAAATCGTGCGCAGTAAATCTCGACTGTAGGTAGTTCTCGCTGCTGCATGTATGGCGTCTATACTACATGCTCAACTTGTTGTAGACGTGGCGAGCTGGAACACGCCGGCGAACGTACGCTTCGCCTGCCCTGTCGAACCTCGCACATCCCCTCGTTTAATCAGGCTCTTCCGGACCCAACATGGGCCCCCATGTGCTCTCCTGCACGTCCTGACCGTAACTCGAGGACGTGCCGGGCCAAAGCCTCTTCCGTGAGTCGACCATTTGATATCCGCGCGGGTTCTCAGGGGATACGAACGCTTGCACTAGCTCTTCCTCAATCGCAGATCCATCCGCTCCCGCGTTTCGAATGCAATTGACGCCGGTGTCGACCACCAACTCCAACTGGCTGCCATCATTCGAAGACCTCACGTTAATGGGACACCATCGATCAGCGTCCAGGAGCCCGACGTGCCGGGTCGAATGGAGTTGGGGGCGGATGGACGGTGAACATTCAAGATGCAGGCCCCAAGGACGCTTGGCGGCACCCGGCTCCGCACGCCAAGAACGGTCCAATCACAAGACGGCAACAGAACGGAGGATGGCATCTGAGAGGCAAGGTCGCAGCCTCGACACCCGCTAGTTTTACTGATATCACCCCTAGGTTCGTCGAGCGCATTCTTAGGACGAAGGTCCAAATGGTCGCCCACGTAACTCGCAATCGCAGCTTGCCGGGACCATCCCAAGGACGCGCGAGGGGCATTGCTTTTCTTGTTGATGCCCGCGCCGATCCTCAACGAAGCTCGTGGCCATGCCAGTTCCTCGCCCATCCTTTATCCAGCCTCCCGCGCGATTGAACATGACCTACACGACGAGGCCCATGCCGTCCGTCGATCCCAGCCGGCCACGACCGTTCAAAGACCTTCGCCCATCAAGATGCGCCCACGGCCTCTTCTCCGACGTTCTTCCAGTCACTGGGGAATTCAGCAGGTCAAGGCTACGGGAGCAGGCTGAGTACGCGGCGCCTTCCGCCCCCTCCGACGTGCTGCTGAGGTGTATCAATCTGCATCCATCCTTCGCTCGCCGCCCCGGACCGTCGACCGATGGCGTCTGCTCGGTCGCTTGTCGTCTCCAAGCCATGCACGAACCATGCTGGACGTCGATCGCGCCGGGTCGAAGAGGGCAGCTGGGAGGGATGGATGACGAACATCTGTCCAGGGCGCGTCGAAGCACCGGGGTCCATGCGCTGGGCGACCTTCCATGGGAAAAGACGGCGACGGAACGGAGGGATGACAGTTACAAGGTAACGTCGCATCCCAAATGTGCTAGCGTTACACTGCACTCAGTACCTCACTCCCCTCCGTCGAACGCCTTTTCTCTCGATGGATAGTAGAAAACTTAGTCGACGTCGAGATATTTTGTTCCTGGGCACCTTAATCACTCCCCCGCCGTTGTATTTCGTTGTTGTATGAATGTTACAGCGTCGCCTCCGGTGAACCGCTTTATTCAGGGCGTGTGGTACACAAGTGCACTACGTGGACGAGAACGCGGAACCGATGCAAATATACACGGCGTACGGTACGTGGCACACCTTGGAAGAACTGGGTATGGAAACACGGCGGTCACTGAGTCGCACGAACGGTCCCTGGTGCGCCTTTCAAGCCGCTGCAAATTCCAAGATAATATCATAATTATACGGATGATGTTTCGCGGGCAATCTCCACTTCATGCGCTTCTAGCCGGTGGACGCGAATCAACGCCGTCAACTACCATTACTCGTCAGGGAGGCCCATACACGACGAAAGCGGATACGCACCTCGAAACCCTTCCCATCCCGATACCCCACGCCGGCCTAATCGACCTCTCCATCCCATATTTTCACCAGATCGTCCCAACCCCCAGAGACGACGCGCTTGCCATCGGGCGAGAACGCAACGGAGAGAACCCCATATTCGCCACCGTGAGCTTCCCAAGGCCCCGCCACTGTCTGTCCCGTCTGCGCGTCCCATATCCGCATCGTACCGTCAAAGGAGCCGGAGACGATGTGCTCGCCATCCGGCGAGAATGCCACAGAGCGGACCACGTTTTTGTGCCCTTGCAGTGGCCCCACCACCGTCTGCCTTGTCTGAGCGTCCCAGATCCGGATCGTATTGTCGTCGGAGCCCGAGACGATGCGCGCGCTATCGGGGGAATATGCAACTGAGCGAACCCAGTCATTGTGGCCTCGCAGCGGGTCCCCGACTGGCTGGCCTGTTCTGGCGTCCCAGAGTCGAATGGTCTTGTCGTCGGATCCAGAGGCGATGTGCTTCCCATCCGGTGAAAATGCGACGCTGTTAACATAGTCAGAGTGACTCCGGAAAGGCTTGCCGATGACCTGTTGACCCCGTAGAGGCTCGCCGATGGCCTGTCCCGTCCGCGCGTCCCAGAGTCGGAGCGTCTCATCGGATGAGCCCGAGACGATGCGGTTGCCGTCGGGTGAGAATGCGACACACAAAACCATCCACGTATGCCCTTCGAGCGGCTGCCCGATCTGCTGCCCTGTCTGCACGTCCCACAGTCGCACGGTGAAGTCATGTGAGGCCGAGGCAAGGCGCTTTCCATCGGGGGAAAACGACACCGAGTTGACGTAGTCCGTGTGCCCCCGTAAAGGCTCGCCGACTTCCTTTCCGGTGTCCGCGTTCCAAATCCGGATCGTCTTGTCCTTTGAGCCCGAGGCGATTTGCGAGCCATCCGGAGAGAAGGAAACGGATGGTATAGCATCAGAATGACCTTGCATTGTATGCTGCAGAGCTAGCCCTGACAATGAAGTCAATACAACGCGCGCAATGCATCCAAACACCGCGTACCACCGATATGGCTGGTGAATTTCTGCGTCATCCTGGCAATCGCCTGCTGGATCCCCGGTCGCCTCTTGTCAACGTGAGGCACAAGTTTGTCCATCACATGTCTGGGATATCGCTTCAAGTTCACGTCTGGCAGGAACGACGACATTGTGCCGAGGATCCAGATCATATCGATTGCACACGTCTCGCGCAAATATGAGTCTGTTGATTCGCCGAGAATGGTTTCAAGAGACTTAGAAAGTGTGCTTGCATCAGCGATATTGAAAATAGCATTCCTGCCCGTCTCTGTGCGAGTTCAGTACAGAGCTTGTGGGAACATGATGACGCGGCCAACCTGTAGAGAGCATCTCGTCGAGACCTTGTCGATCCACCTCCGCAAGGCCTTCATCCAGCAGCTTCGCAATCAACCGTCGAGCGGTTTCATACCATTGAAGCCGATTTAGTACTTCCGAGATCCGAGGTCGCTCAGACGGATTTGCTACCCAGCACGAGCTGATGGCATTACTCCATATGAAATCGTCCAGGCCTGCATGCAGAGGACGTGTTGGTCGTACACCGTCAAGAACCTCACGAATGACCAAGAACATGTTTGCAACGTGGAAAAAAGGGTGCCTCCCATCAAAGATCTGCAAGTCGGATCGGTTTACGTGGTTCAGCGACGTCGAACTTGCGCTCACCTCCCATGCGGTCATCCCAAATGCATACACGTCAGACTTCCACGTTAACCTCTTATCCTGCACCATCGGATCGAACAACTCAGGGGGCATGTAATGAAACGAGCCCCAATTTGCTGATGGCCCGGCAGTCGGTGCCAAGGAGGTGGTACCAAGTACGGTCGTGGCGAGACCAAAGTCACTGAGACGCGCATACCCAAGGCTGTCAACAAGGACATTGCGCTGTGTCCAGAAGACTGAATCTTAATCGACTATTCAGGAAGATGCTAACTCACGCTTTTGAGATCCCCGTGGACGACGCCGCTGGCATGCATGTACTCCAAGCCACGAGCAATGTCCGTGATCTGATGTGGCCCTGTGAGACTGACACGGTGCGCATCAAGACGCAACGCTCACGAGTTGAACGCGATTCGCACGCGGGTGACTCTCAATGTACGACATGACGTCGCCATGTTCCATCCATTCCGACACGATACACGCTTGGTTGGATGGATCGATGCCGATGAAGGGGACAATATGTGGGTGATTCAGTCGTTTCCAGACGACGGCCTCCCTGCAGAACACCTAATCGTTTTCGCCAGTTGACCGAGCGGATAATTGTGGCCTGGCATCGTAGGTCACGCACCTTCATGAACGATTTCCCATCCCTGACGTGCAGTCGCATGCACTTCAAAGCCACAAATTTGCCATTGAAGGTCCCCCGATATACGTCGGCGAATCCGCCAGCGCAAGGTGGATCGGTCCCAACCCTGGCCAGTCCCGACAACCTGTACCTGGTGGGTACGAGCCCGCTTTCGCCGCACAGTTCTCTCAACGAGCGCAGAGTCGTTCGAAACGCATCGTCCGTTCGACGTATCTGGTCGAGGCCCTAGGGAGCACGTTGGGTTTCTCTTTTTGCTCCTTTGTGGTCCATGCGATCACCACTCACGTTGTCTAACAAGTCTATCTTCTCCTGCAAATCCGCGGTGTGAGACGCCAAACTGTCCTCCATGTACCGTCGTTATGGACGCAGGTGAGGAAGCGTTGGGGCAAAGGGTCGGCCACGGATGCGCCTCGTTGATATCGTCGATAGCTTACGGCGCGATTAGCGCCGAGAGGCCCGTCTGGGTTAAAGCGGCAAGTATGGCTGTTCGCACGTGTATAATACGTCGCGGCAGCGCGATAGGCTATTGTGCGTGCATTGCCATTAGACTGAGTTATTCATACGCGTATGGGAGAGCATGCACATAACCATGACTTCTATCTTGCATTAGCCGTGTTTCGCTGCAAGAAGCATGAAGCTCGCACATACCTTACTGGAGCCAGGATTGTGGCAGGTGGAGACAACAGCGAGCCGTGATGCGTTCGGAATCAGAGACCGGGGATACCTGGCGGTGATGCGCAGTGAGAGGCGGCATTTTCATTCTTGCCCCATATACCGCCTAATGCTATTTAGAGGATGTGCCTGTGAGGATAATTAGCTTTGACGATCCGACAGACACGAATTTAGTAGTTACGTGAAGCCGGAAAGCTTTTGGGCAGTGAAAGCGGAACGTTCCAGCATTCTGCTACCCGTGACCCGTCGCACTTTTCGATGTAAGTGCGTCGTCGGGTTGAGCGTTGGACCGTTGAGGGGACAGATCCGAACGGGCGCCTTTTGGGCGCTTATCGCTTTCTCTCGACGACGCCGTATCCTATGGATGCACCTCAGTCACCCCCAAAAGGCCGACATCTTAGGGGTATTTAACATCATTTAATTGGCCTTATCAGGGCTCAGACACATGACTCCTTCCATCCTATATGGGTGCTTCCATGTGGATGCTCCCATACTTTGGGTCAATCACACCTTCCATATTGGTGGCATAGGTATTGCATAGGTAGCCTTCGTTTCCCATGACCCAAGCAATGTAGCAACAATATACAGAGCTTACAATATCTTATATGGTTGTGTCAAGCTGTATTTCCTCACCTGAACTTGGGCCTCCATACTGTGCAGGAACCTACCTATCTCCACACTTCCAATGTGGAATATGGACACATCCCATATGTCAATGGTTCCAGATGACGGGGTGTTGGGGGTCTCTGTACTATATATAGATACAACATATGTAGGATAGGGCTCAATTTGGTGGGCCAGGTGTGGCATATGTTGTGATGTGAACGTCACTCACTACCGCTGGACGTGTGGGAAAATGTCAAGAACGGATATGGAAGGGTTAACGGAGTCGGAGGACCGAAGTCCAAAAGGTATGGTAAGGGAACAAGATGAATCAGAAAGGGAGAACTCAAAGATAAAGATGAGAGGAGTCGGAGACCGCGTTGGCCGTTAGGTCGGTAAGTCGGAGAGATCAGTG